ATAGGATAATTTTGAATTGCTAATAAAATCCAATATCTGTTTATTTACTGCCTCTAAATCGAAACAGCTCGCCTGGTCAGCTATACATTTCTATTATGAAACTATTTCGAACAAAGTCGCGGTCAAAAGCTAGTAATACATATACTATTTCCAAGTTAAATTAGATATACATTAATATATAACCGGCTCTGTCAATACTTCACAACTTTACTTCACAACAGTTTAGTCAAACGATAGTTCATTATTATTAACCGACTGTTACCTATAAAGAGTGTAATGCCGTCCGTCTGCTTTAATTTATTGGAGCGGTCATTTAACATTCGGGAAGGACCGTAAATTTCCGTGTCAGAAAATAAAAATATTCGCCATACATTGTTGGGAACTAAAACACATTATAAGTAGAATGTTTTATGTCCATTCTCAATAATAACTGTTGCCACATACATGTGTCATATACCTATATGTCTATTTAAATGGACTACGAATGTAGGTTGGACGGTTGAGTGTCGTTGAGATGACGCGTGTGAAAAACAAACTCACCTCTCCAGCTTTCTGACATCTATATTACAAGCTGCCGCCCACCGTCAATCAAAACAAAACCCAAATTATATAGCAATAGATATAATAATCGAATGTCCTACTGTTTGTATGCACAGATTGCGTCGTAATCACTTGTGTCAATTGTTTCAATGTGTTACAGAATGATGGGTGATATGTGATATCGAAGCGTTGGAAATGTGACTCTAGTTTGATATGTCTTAGTGTTCAAAATGCATTGTGTGTGATGATGAGGAGTGTGTTTGTGTTAGATGAATGGTCTGTACTTTGATCAAACAAGTCGAGTCGAATAATTTGGAAAATTCGCTGTAACATAGATCGAGGCGTGTCGTCGGCGAGATGAAACACGGATGACATCATACACAGCTTTATGGTTAATATTTTTGGCTATTATAATTTTATTATGTACGGCTATTATAATTTTATTACTTTAAATTATTCCGCAAATAAAATAGTCGAAAATCGTTATGTACATAAGCTGCGCCGCTGTTGTGTTAGCTCGGATTCTTTATAACATTCGACCATAAAAGCCCATGAAAGTGAGCCTGTTCTTCATTTAATTAACAAACTGTAATATCTGTTTCCATTTCACAACATATTTATTAGTCGAAGGCCTATCTTGGTTAATGATATCGGGCTCTCTTGACCTTTCTCACAATTATAGATAGATATGTTAATTATGGTCCCCAACTGCAACGAAAACATTCACGCCGCGGGGTCAGGATACACTGTGTGTGGAGAGCTGAAGGATTGTAAATATTCTAATGGCGATCGCACCGAATCAAACTATGTATAATGTATGACGTAGTGATGTGTATACTGTATATATCGATGTATGGATGTATCGACCACCGGGTCGGCGTGACCGTAAGATCTAACAGCGGGGTGTTGCTTCGTAAGAAACCTCCGTAGGTATGTTTGTGTAGACAATGGGAGGTATTTACGCACAAATAGGCACCAGGCAGGTGGGACAGCACGAGCGGCGCCCCGCGGAGCGACACGTGTTGGGCGTTGGCGATATCGATTGTCGATGAAGCCGCTACAAAATGTATCCCATCACTGTTGTTATAGCAGATTAGATAGCTTTGGATGTATCTGAGCAATCAGTGCGATGTATGGATATTGTTGTCGGTTTTTGGCACGCGTTTAGTTTATATTATAAGTATGATAGTATCGATAACGGAGCGCATCACTAAAGATTTTTTTCGTTCAATTCACACCTGCCGTCATCCGGCAAATGTTTTTTTTTGTCTCAAGTAAAATATAGGATTAATTTAGCGAACAATATGAGATGAAGTGGCCGAGTGAGATCGGTGATTTAAATCCAATAAAGATTGAATTATATATATTTCTATTTGTGATTTGATTTGATTTTGATGTACTTAATCCGTATTAAATTATTTTTGTTTTGAGTAATAATTAAATTTATCCGAGCCATCGTTAATGTACATTTTTTTGGTTAGATGTAATACATATAAAATACTTAAAATGTTGTATGGCCAAATCTTTTCAGACATAAAGGACTGTTAATTTAAGACAAAAATAAAAAGACTACCTATAAAGAATGTGTTGTAAAACACTAATGTAATAGTTCCTTGCGTTGTAGAGATTGTGGACTATATATCAAGTTATTTGTTACACTAGCATTTTTCTCCTAAATACATTAGAAATTCTTATACACTTTCAACTATATATTGGCAAAGTTTCATCAACATTTGTTAGTTCTGTAGTTTCCGATTTTGTTAATAACAAACAAATATATATACCATATACATATATAACAATAACTAAATATTTGTAATAGTTTCAATCAAAAACATGTTTTTTTTCTACGAATTATGCTTTTTTACTTCTCCTGTCAGCATAAATGTCACATAGGTACTTTGAAGTCGTATTACTCAAAATGAAAACGCCTCCTTGTACCATAATATGTGTGTGTGTGTGTGTGTATGTGTGTGCAAAATATTAAAACATGTCCAAAGATGGTTAGTTTAATTAAACTGAAGTCATTTATATCAAGATGGCCGACTGGACGATAAGTCATCAAATGTCACCCGATAAAGTTATACTTTTAATAACATATAACATACAAAAAGCTATTATTTAGTAGGCATTTACTTTTGTTTTTATCCTACTTTAAAATTGGAAGTTATGTATGTACCTACATATATTTCTGTGACCACATAGTTTTAATGTTAAATTTTTTTACAAACCACGGCATTTGTTGTAGAATTAGTTACGTATAAATGTAATCAACTTTGACGTTAAAAGTCGCAGGATTCAATCAGTTATTTTTGTTTCTTTTTTAATATATATTGTATTCAATAATGTTGTCGTTGTTAGCCAAGAAGGTTGAACATCTAATGGTAGTTTGTCTTTCTTAAACTTGTCACAAAAAATAGGAGTAATGTAAATTGTAATTTTAGTCGTAAAAAAATGTTTTCAATGAACTCACGTTTCATTTTTAATAAGTTTGGATTCCACTTTGTGTTAAGTATTTAATACATTTTATGTTATAAATTATTAAAATAATGTCATGTATATTTGGACCAATAAATTAATCGGTTAACATCTGTCGGTATCGTGAAATGCAAATAATTGAATCGGACGATCGGCCGATCCATCGGTCGGACAATCGGCCGCTCGGGAACAGCCCACGGTTCCGAACAAGTTTTAATTAGTTTAGAATTTTGTTTGAAAACGCCATGAATATTAAGAGCCGACCGTTTAATTTACTACTTTCCACGAAGCCGACCTCCGAGCAATTAAATCCGAAAAACACAGCCTTATTAATATATTGGGAAGCAACTGGCGCCCTCGGCCGTTGTGGAACGATCTACGGAATTTATACCTCGATACTTTTGACGGGCATTATCGTAAAACTGGATAGTATTTAATAGTTGGCACAAGCGAGCCGCGCCTATTACACCGATGACTTATATGACAGTTACTGCGACCGATACAACCACCCCCCCTCTCCTCACACCACCCCCCCCGGGACGTATTTGACACCGGAGTGATCGGACCGATTTTTTTCATTAAAGCCTCGCCTCATTGAGACGTCCCAAACTCCTAACGAACCTATTTACGACGTCAGAATGACTTTGTACGGTCAGAAACATAACAAACGATATCATTCAAGTTGTATAGATGATATTTTTCGGTGTTGTTTTTAATTAAAACTTTTATATACGCAAAACTATACCGGGATAATGTCTGTATGATTTCAAAGAGAATACTAGTAAGAAAAAGTATGGAACTTTATAATTATTTTCATATTAAATAAGTTTAAATTCCATAGTTAGTTTCTATAACTAATAATTCGCGTGCATGATCTTCAAAGATAGTATGTATATATGTGAGTATTTTGTTGTGTTAACTTGTTTCGTCCGACGGGGGGCGTCCGTCTCATTGTTTGTAATTAGTATTATAGTTTTGAACATATAAAAAGCGAGGCACCTCGTGTTTATTGGCTGTTTATTGCTTAATATGAGCCCGATGTTATTGAGGATCAATTTCGATGTTATTTAATAGGCACAAGCCGACAGAGGAATCTTCGTAGCGATTAAACGCATGCTTTCCTATACCCGATGGTGATACGGCACCGATGTGGCGCCTTAGTTAATTCAGTTTTAATATTTTTTAATAACGTTTCGGGTCAATTGGAATATCTATCTGTTATAAACAACGTATTGACGGATTGGAATTAGTTATTTTATGTTCACTTTAAAACGTTTTAGTTTCCCATTCTCTAGATCGATTTGCCTTTGAAATATATTTGAAATTGTATTATTTTATTTTTTACTTCAGGATCGTAATTTAATTTTAGGAGTGGAAATATTTTTAATTGTTTTTGTATGAATTTTTAATCTTAAAATAAATTGTTTTTTTGTTGTTTTTCAAAGTATTACGTTGCGATGTAAGTACTCGCATGAGTGTAAAAACTTGTTACATTTCGTACTTGTGTATAGTGGTAAAAAAAATTAATAAATTTTGCAAAGAAAATAGAATGATAGTAGATAATTCAATTCATTTCTTGACCATGATGCTAAGCTATCTTAATCTTGAGTTTATCCTTTGCATCACATTAATGACGTCATATTTCTCCCATTTGTAATAGAAATCCTACTAAAATTATAATTGCGAAAGTTTGTGAGTGTGTGTGTATGTTTGTTACTTCTTCACGCTCAAACGGCTGAACCGATTTTGATAAAATTTTGTATATACAGGAAGCTGACGTCCAGGAATAACACATAGGCTATTTTACATCCCGGAAATCCGCGGGTAAAACCGCGGGGCGCAACTAGAAAGAATATAATAACTCAACCAAGAATAACTTGTATATTTTTATATATACAGTATACCTAACGTAAAATAAAAAACGGTTTCCCTGTCGCCTTCACAGACGTGGCCCCTGTTCATATCTGTGTATTTTTTCTGTGCTGTGTCCGCCTGTGTCTGTGCTGTGTCGACACTGTGACGTATGTGCAAACAGCTTTGACGTCACAAGCCACGCCCAGATCCGCCCGCTGTCGGCGCCCGTCTACCCATCTTACACGGAGCCACGAGAAAAGAAACCTTATAATGATGATAGAGAGTTCAAAATTGATGCGATCTACGTCTTTGAACAGTTGAACCATTCCGATGTTTCTGAAGAATTCTCAACATCGAGGGTCAGGATCCAGAACAATGATTTATAATTCTGGGGTACGATAGCATTGTACGTTGTTTTATATGACATGAGTTGTATCAAAATAACGACAATTCATATATACCTACCTATGATACGGTGGCTGGTTCGGAGTGGAGTCCTCAAAACATCTATTGCTAATATTTTTAAGAGTTTTACTTAACAAAAATACCAATTTTTTTATCTCTATGAAGTCTTAAGTATAACAAAACCTGTCAATCTCCGAACATTTCCATCGGCAGTCGTTTCCGAGAACATACTCGTACCTATATGTAAATTAAATCCGATAAAGATTGAAAGAGTTTGAAATCATAAAATAAAATCATATTTGTTGTATTATAAAAAATGTTTCGCACGTATTGTTTTAAGTAAATGGGAAGGTTTAAACTAATCTAGACTCAGTGTATATTCCTCTTACCACCTGGCGTTGAGAGCTATGGTAGTCGTGAGTTTGAAGAATGGTCTGTTTGACCCCGAGAAAAAACAGCTATCGATAGTGTATGGTGTGAATGTGGCTGGATCACGCAGCGTGAGCCCGCCCTTTGTGCTGCCCCGCGCTGACACACATCGTTTATATCCAATCCTTTGTTGTCCAGGTGGCTTGAATCATAAGACCGACGCCGAGCGACGGTAGTCTTGAAAAACAAACAGTAACTTTTTGATTTCTAAATATTTTCGCATAAATCGGGAACGTTCAAAGCGAGATCGCTTCCGTCCTGAATACAAAACGATTCGAAGGAGCTGCCAATTTTCGAGATTGACTACTGTTATGGTAATGGGAGGAGGAAACTGTTACTTGTTTGTTATTTTTACTTTAATATATACTGCTTGTTGTTCCTCGATCGATGTACACTTATATCACGTTACCAACATTTTACGTTCCATCGAACAATCGTATCATTTATTAAACTTTCTTACAATTAAATATGTAAAATAGTACGTCAAAAATGTAAAAAGAATTCCTCAAAACTATTCAATAGCCGGGCGCGCGCTGTGCGCCCATTACACTTAATCTTAAAAATACATTTATCATGTTCAGCCGATAAAAATGCCATTGAGATCAGACGCACACAATGAGATACAAACGGTTCATACCTGACGTGAGACCGAAAGTCAATTATATTCAAATATAAATCGGATTTGCAAACGTAAGCCACTGACAATGGCATAGAGCGGGCGGCGCTAAGCCACCTTTGCGTGTCGCTGGAACAGTGGCAGACGGGACACGGGACACGGGACACGGGACACGGGACAAGACAGTCTTAACTACCGATTTGGACATCGTAAAAACAACTGCCTCATAATTTGTAGCTCCGATAGAAAACCGATTGACCGATTTTAATATAAAGTAAATCATCGCCGATGATATTTACTGTGTCAGTTGATTAAATTGAAATCAGAACAAGTTTCATTCTGTTATTATGATTTTATGAATAGACGTATAACATAAATTTTAAAGTCCAAAATTAATTTGCATTTATATATTTTTATGTCGTCCGTTGTATTGGGAAACAATCAATTTTTATGGATGTAATTATAATATTTTTACTTTGTAGGTAATATAAAAAGATTGTATAACTTAAAGAATGTGACTTATATCACGAGTTAAAAACGAAATGGAATTTATACTTGAGAATGCGAGCGGAAAACTTTAAGCAGTTTTTAATTGTATTAATTCGATTAGTTTGAGAATATTAAAACTCCATTATCTGTGTAAACTTGACAATATTCTCATGGTTTGTAAAATCGGGAACAAATTCCCGTAAAAGGGAATAATGCGGTGAACCCATATCGTTGTCACGCCCAACGAATCAACAGAGACGACTCAACAATGGCACTGCTATATCGCAGTTGGCCTTTTGTCAAGCCACGTCGCCCTCAGCTATCGAAAACATAAAAACTTAGATGTATCATTTCACAGTTTTCGATACATCTTTAATGAACTGCAACTTTTTGTTAACAGACTGCCACAAAAGCTGTTCAATTCGATCACTATAAACTTGAGTTATTCGGTTGTAAAGCCACTGAAATAATTTGCAACGCTACGCTGGATGATAAATATTAAAGCGAATAAAACTCAACGTGCTAAACTAATTTTATTGTTATTATTATTAAAACACTAATTCCGTTAAAATCATCACACAAAACTATCAAAATTATTCCGATATAACAACAAAAATCTCACGTAACAGGGATCCCTCGCATTTGCATAATTTTACCAAAAAAGGAGCAAACAAACCTTTCCAAATGACGCGTTAAATACACTCAAACAACATCATTATGTGTGAGTAGCTGGCTCGATCTGAGTCCATCACAAAAACTGTCATAAAAACAGTAAGAATCAGCTGAAGAAGTACAATGTGGCCACCGGGGTGTCTTAATGGACCCCTAAGAAATTTGTTCCGTAGAGTGTGATAGGTGACAAGTCGCATTGTTCGCGGACCGCAGAGCGGGGTGTATGCGGTACCAGCTTCTCCCTATTATCGGTGCAGGAATTTGTTTTGGGGTGGCGGACCGGCGCTAAATGGTAATGTTCCTATATTGTTTGTTATTATTTGATCGGCCGGGTGCGTCGATGTCACGCCATTATGTGTTAAGTCAGGATTGAGTGGAAATTTATTAAGTCGAGGGCTGTTGACTTTGAAATATTGTACACAACGGTCTGTAGTGGATGAAATATACAACATTGAATACACGGGAGTCGGGACGCGGCAGTTTGCGGTTCATATTCTGCGTTACACCCCGCATACAAATATTAATAGAAACATACAATGATGTTACAGCTTATAGTCATCTGACATTCATTTCATTATGTACTAACTAATGTTAATACAATAATAATTTGTTTTGAAGACAAATTGTTAAAATTAAGTAGTCAGTCAGTTTAACAGTCAAGAATCATACTAATTTCTTGACATTTCTGAGTTGGTGTACAACGATACGTTACCAAGCTGCTCCCCAGGGTACCTCCACAACGCGGTTAGGGTTAAATGAACTTCCAAATAATTCAATTAGAAGAATATAAAAGTAAGGGAATAATACATAATACTGCATTATTTGATTTAGTTGTATAAGCTCCAATTTCAGGCAGCAACTCTTCTCTTCGACATACAACATAAAAATATCCATATTTAACAAACGTTCAAATAAATAATATCAATTCTCATATATATTATATATTTCTCACATATAGTTTGTGGTACAAATATTATTGTTTTAATAAACAATATAAACCCCCGCATTACGAACGCCGCGAACCTAACAGCTATGCCAATAGAATAAAGTTTTATTTGAGTCACGTAGCAAATATTTGACTAAATCAATTTGGCCGTGTTTGATTATCTCAAAGGGGGACGCAACTCTATTAAATTATGATTGTAACACCCCCAGCAATCTAATGACGGAGCTTACACATGTCGCCTCTGAATCATTGTTCGATAAATGTTACATTGTTGCACCAATAAATTAATTATACCCAAGCAAAACATGGCCATAGAAAGGATTGATAAACAGAAGCTGTGTACGAAAACTGTTGGAATACAAACATTATTAGATGATATTTGATAATGATTGGGACTTAAGCGTCAGGTAGATATAGATTTAAGACAAAATACACATCTCGTCTGCTCTTTATCACGGTTGCTGCAAAATAACCGAAACGTCGGCAGTACGTAGTTTTAAAAAATAATAAAATACGCTTAGTATACGCGGAAAATATTAGCTTCATTTAAATATTTTTATGTAAAAACCCTCAGTTGTCACATATTTTAGATGCAGTATGTTGTTTCATTTTATTGTTATTATAATTGTCATAGTTAACTAATTTTCCTCGTTCAGACGGAGCATCGCACGTGTTGTGCCTGTGGGGAGCCCATAGCTGATCGCTTTCTACTGGAAGTAGGCGGCGGCGCTTGGCACACGGGATGTCTGAGATGCTGTGTTTGTGCTGTGCAATTAGATAGACATCCATCCTGCTTCCTAAGAGACAGACAAGTGTATTGCAAGCAGGACTACGCCAAGTAAGTACACTTTACTTATCACTAGCATTACATATTTAATACGAAACATATTGGCAACATTTCATTCGTCTAAGTTCCGATCAGATTTTAGGCAAACTAAATGTTCAAGTCATCGTTCATGCTATCTGCAGTCGGTTAGCGATATGCTTGGCTTCATTTGATGCGAGGGTTTTTTAGTGGTCGCGATGGTATGCGGGATAGGTTGCAGGTGAACTCTGACCCACGCTGTGTGGCCCTGACGCAGCATTATAGACCATCAACGCTCAGCGGCGAGGTGGGACATCAAAAGGATTTTCAGCCATTGTTTGGTTTTTACTAGCGAGTCTAGTCTCCGCGAAATAATCTTACCGTTTTAAGATTCATAAGTCAGGGGTATTTTCTAATTCGATCGTATGTAAATTAACGAAGAAAATTATATTTTTAACAATTTATAATATTACAAAAAAATAATGTTAATGAAGCGACAGGTGCATGTGAATTGACACTCACATCAAAAAAAGCGAGGCCGATGTCCTAAGAGTGGTTTTATTGAAAATGTCCGTGTGTGTAGTAACAAAGCGTCGACTGGGAATGTTACCGCCGCGCCGTAAAAAAATATCCAGAGTGGAGCAGTGACTTGCTGGAACTGAGTTTTCATTTGTCATTTATTTTGATTGTGATAAGTCGATGCGACGTTCAACGATATATTTTAATCGGGACAGGGTTACCTCAGACGGTGTCGGTGGACCGACCACCGGGCCTGGCGTACCCCTTTATTGAATCCTTCAACGTTTAAGGAATTCATCTATTGTATGAGTTTTTATCAAACTTATCGAGTCGATATACAACAATCCCTGATATAATATTCCTAATAGATAATACTTTCGCATTCATATAGCTATATTAAACACATAAAAATGCAAAGTAACAACAGAGATGTTTCTAAATCCATGACTAAACTATTTATCCGTGTACAAAACGCCTTATTTGAATCTATTGAATCTCACAATCATCACTTGAAGTAGGTATCACAGCACAATGATAGGTCGCGGCGAATCGAGCCGCTGCTCCTCCAGAATCGAGCGAAGCCTTGACATTAAGTACAGATGCCCCATAATAACTATCTATATATTATTTACACAATAATTACACTCTTTGTTAAATGTTCTTTTGTACGTACACACGTCACATCACTCGAGCCAACGTGAAATATTAATTTCCCAACTACTAACAACTATTTATGATCACCGCCATATAAGAACACGGCAACGAGGAATTATTTATTACAAACTTTGTTAGTAAACATCGATTTTTTACGAAATTAACGAAACGACAGAAGCTACGCTTTCCTAATATTAATCTTTTTTCATCAACACTTGGGGAGTAAAGCTCTTTTAATTTTGACAAATGAGAATTCCAACGATCTTGGGAATATAAATATTTGTGAGAAATATTCTCATAAATAACTCGAGTCGTTGATACGCACCTGTTGTATAGTACTTACAATTATACAGATGTGTGTATTGTGATTAAATTTGGTCGATGAGATCTTCCAATAGGCAATCTGGAGGTTTTAAAAAAGGATGATCGTTGTCGCAGTCTGAGCTGTGTTCGGTCGTTAGCAGCGGTCTTGCTGTATAAATAATGTTTGCGTTTGAACGCATATAACGAGTGGTGTCGATCGTAAATCGAATGTCGCTCGCGGCTACCGCAATGATTGCTTTTGTTGATATATCATATGTTTATTGTTTATTTAGCGCGCCTTTTTGTCAGGTAGCGCGACTACCTCGCCCCTCTCCCCTCGCCCTTCACTCCTCGCCCTTCCCCACCGTTATTTGTTTTTATATCCTAGCCAATACAATCCCGCGAGTCCCGATGACTGCTTATATGTTATCTGTTTCTTCCCCTATGTCATCTATGTACCTACATAATTCTTTCGGTATAAAAAGTTCAACAAATTATTATGAATCACAAAACAATTATTCTACTAGAATACAGATAATTAGCATCTTCTAGTCGAGCACTCTAACCGCTTAAAATAGAAGTCAATCCGCGCTTGTAACAAAGACGGCAGGTATTCCAATAAGTTTGTTTTTGCTGTTGCAAAGAAATGTATGAAGTTAGCACGAGGTCCGCTCACGCGATCTCGCCCACACCCGTTCGGTCCAAATGCGCACACCATGTCTTATGTAAATGGGCCATGTCGCCCCTGAGTTTAATTAATCTCTAGTCGCATAAATAAACCCGCCGTAATCGATTCACCCTGAATATTAAACAATGCAGCCTCAACGGCGCCGACGCAATTGCATCCGATACGCGAATATCTCTCCGTCCATCTAGGATCTCGATCTTGTTCTGAAATTGGTACAAGAAGTCATTTCGTGGGTGTAAACGTAATGTTTGTTTTATACCAACCGCGAAACAAACATTTATCACGTCCATAAATATTCCTGCGGCATGAAAGATAAAGTCTCAACATTGTTTTAATGTACATTGGTATAAGTTTATAGAAACGTTGTACACTCTATTACCAGAAGCACCCCAAAAGGCGTTGACAGAGTCAGCCTCTAGTCGCGGGCGCCGCTGGCTCTCTGTAAATCCTTCTCCGTTGATTGCTCCAACCTCCCCCTGCCCCCGTTTTAATACCCTTTCAGCGCGACGTTTCACTGGCCGGCATGATTTAAGTTATTTGTTTTAGAAACACTAGCGAGTGATTCATTTGTATATTATGCTGGTTTATTCAACAGTTTCGGCTCGCCGGCGGCGCTTGGCCAGCCTCACAATACTCGCTAACAACATGCTCGTAGTCCCACTGACTGATAGCTATATATAAATCGTAATTGCTTTTCTGTTATTGAGTTATTACAAGCTCACCTTTTTTATAAATTATTTTCTTAGCACATCACATTACCCGTATTTATTTTAATCAGTCACGCTTAGCACTGATTAATTAGTTTTTAAATGATAGTCTTCGTATGCAGCCGCTATATGAATGACACATGCAAAAAGTTTCAATAGAAATGAATACTTGGATGACTGTCTATTACTGAGGAATACGTTTTCTATACCATTTAGTGGATATATTGCAAGTTTAGTAGTTAATAGGAAGCTGCTAGGACCACCCTAAGCAATGGCCGTTGAACGTGAAGGTTTATCGACTCTACGAGACATCTTCATTACTGGCGAGTGTTAAAACTTGTTAATCTGTCACTTAGTTAATTACTATGCAAGCCGCCTTAATTGATTCAAGCGACAAAATGTTAATAAGCCGTGATAACGGTAGCGAGGAAACGTGGCCAGCGTTTTGAAATGCAAATCGCGCTTAAAACATTACTTGCCTAACTGATATGTTAGGATCAATTAATATAGGAGAAAACAGGCGATTCTGCACTCTAATACTATCAAGATGAAAGAGATTGTTATTTAGTTAACAATAGGGAAATTGTATTAATACTTGTTTATATAGAACAAGTACCAACCCGGCAACGATAGCAAGACTATAGTTTTAAGAGTAAAATTGCTCTGCTTATAAAATGAAATGTAAAACATTTTATATATAAACTGAATAAATCAGAATCACTTATTCCAAAGTTAGAACACATATGTATATATGTTTAAGGAATAAAGAAACTCTCGGTCTGACCGACGATAATAACGTTTTGGCTTTATTTGTTTTAATTTTTATGTTAACCAATAGTTAGAGCAATTAATGAATCGTTAAACGAAAATCTTGTAAGTTATAAAAATGTTACTGTTATACTAAATCTCACTAATAAATATCTCAATTCAATTAAATGCGTCGAGAATCAAACTATAAAAAACGTTGTACCGTTTGTCTTATTGTAATTTTTATGATAGCCGCCGCTGTCTTAATAACAACTTTTATTTGTACAATCCAACAATTCTTAAAGACTGTTTCTTACATAATAATAATAAAAAGAGGTTTTATAATGCGCTTGGGAACTTTTACCGAACGGAACGTAAACTTTGCATTCTTTATCGTGAATCGGCGAGTTCGTTTCCAACTTATAATCGTGATGTGTTGAGATGATAATTCATCTGAATGAAACTCCGATAAGAGAAAAACAAAAGTGTCCCGAGCGACGATATTATAGCCTGTTAATGATTTGCACGCGTATATTTAATTAATTAAATATTAAGTCTGCGAAATGGTAATCAGCTACGGGCGATAAGTGTCGGCTGGTGAACGCACATACTCACAGTGGGGGCTAAATAATTGGCGTTTTAGCGACTCAAGCCCAGCCACTGCGTATCTTATCAGCGCTTTTAATTTTTGTTCCAGTGATTAAAGATTTAATGGCGTGCCACGATCCGTTTTGATGTTTTTGTTGTAAGCCCCGATCTAAACAGTGTATGCAACTTTATCTCTCGTTTTACTAATGTTTAGGTATGGATCTCGATGTTTTGATACTCAATTAAAGTTAATTGCGTGCTAGGTCGCGATAACAGGGCATTTCCAATAATAATTGGATATGATTTACACAGATGCATCGGACATGTGAGTGTATAGGACAAAAATGCTTTGTGGACGGAGAGATACATGATGGTAACATTCTCAGTAATAATATTAAAGTTTTAAATACACATATAATGCCCCTTTAAATTTTATAACAAGAAAAAATGTATAAAAGGAGCTAAGTGTAAGAAGATCACAATGTACTTATTTACTCCACAAAATTCTGACGTATACAAAATGAACCCTTTAACAAACTCAATCTATTCAATATCACAGATTTTTGCATCTTGTACATAGGAATCACATTTTGTGACATCCAGCTCATGAAAGTATGTTGAACAACTTGGTCTTCCCAGATTCTTACTTTCCTCAAAAGAAGTGATGTTTAAAGGTGAGATGGTAACAATGGATGTTACGTCCAAAGAAGAAAAAATTAAGATATTATTTACATTGGATATGAGCATCTTTTGGTTTGGAAACTCCTGGCTTATTAGTTGAAGAAATTGATTAAGAGATTATAATATATTTTGGAGTTTTGTTTATATACATTTTTTAGAACTTTTACGTGTTCGCAGTTTGGTGAGAAACTTTTAATAACTAGTGTCGAAAAAGTGTCACTGTTGAAATTTTTCTGAGTCTATGGTATTAATGATAAAGGTCTGCTATATTTATTGCAATAAAAATATAAAATTTGCACTATCCTGTGACGGCGATGATTATTATTGCGATTTTGCCCGGCGAATGTCTGTTTATTGTCATATAATTTTCTATGAAATATCCAATCATAGTGGTATTCGTAGAATTTTAATTTCAGTAGCTCCTCTTTATGCGAAATATATGTTTTTGAGATTATGTTAGTGTTTTTGTCTCTACTAAATTTACTAACATCACCTCCACAATAACGAGAGCGGTTTTGCTTAGGAGTTTTGGAGCGAAGTGTTCCAAGTGCTGCCGAGGCATCTCCTCATCAGACTGGGTCCGCAAGGCTCGTGAGCAGGTATACCATCTGGCCTGCTTCGCCTGCGACGCCTGCGGCCGTCAGCTATCGACGGGGGAACAGTTCGCCTTGCACGAGGACAGAGTACTCTGCAAGCCACACTACTTGGAAACCTTGGATGGTGGATCTATTTCTTCAGACGGTAAGTGTAGTTCTCTTCTATATTCATAAACTTTGTCTATTTTTTTATTGTTATAATATCTTTACACGTTGTTACTGGTAGCCTGACAAAAAATATCTAATCGATAAAACATTTAGGGATCTAGTTGAACAAAGATTTTTTTAATTCTAGACGGCTGTGACTCAGAAGGTTACCACAAAAGTAAAGCGAAACGCGTCCGTACGACTTTCACGGAGGAACAGCTGCAAGTACTCCAAGCTAACTTCCAGTTGGACTCGAACCCTGACGGCCAAGACCTGGAGAGGATCGCGCAAGTCACCGGCCTCAGCAAACGGGTCACGCAAGTCTGGTTCCAGAACAGCCGAGCCAGGCAGAAGAAACATCAACATACTGGCAAAGGAAAACAGAATCAAGGTTAATATTTTAAAATATTGTCAAACAATTATATAATATTTCTGCTTCAGCGCCATGCGAATAAAATGTTACGCCATGCGATTTATTTTACGCGAAATTTTTGCTCTTATTTTGCCTGATATTATATGTGTTGTTGATAAGAGTGCGTCTTGATATAGTGTGTTGTCCACAGCTATGTCTCGTGAAGATGCGGTGGGGTTTGGTCGGCCCATCAACCTCCACCTCACGTATTCCTTCCAGAACAAACCGCCGTTCGTCCCGATAGGTACGCTATGAAGACTGCTCTACTAAAACTTCTGTACTGGCTATATGGATAACTATTAACACGCATCACTTCTGTTTCCAGATGGAACTTCTTTCACTGATTCTTCAATGGACGAACTGTCCGAAGATTCCTCGATACACTGCATGCAGAGCGAAGTATAATTCTAGATTCGTCTAGTTTGTACTCGACACACCTCAATACCTTGTAAATTACCTGCTCTTATGTATAATGCTTTATTTAAATACTCTTGTAGGATATAAACGTACCGCTTATGTACTAAGTATATAATAGTTTAGATATAATAACCAATAATATATAACTTTTCGTGTAGTTTAATTTTAACGGGAGACTTATATATATGGATATTTAACTGTAATTATTCCCAAGTCATAATGATACTGCGATCCCGAATTCGACAGGCAAATAAATGTATAAAAAAAATATATTTATATTTATTTAAGGAACAAAATTTGTCTTTATTGTAAAAAGATGTATTTATTTATTTATTTTAAGTAACTGTGATAAGTTTATTTTAGTAAGTCGGTCGCATTCTAGCAGTGTTTCAATCGAGTCCACTTCTGTGCCAAAATAGTTAATGTATTAACAACGTGATTGATTACTATGAAAAGCAATATTTTGTAACGCCTCTTAACATTAAAATAATTGTTAGTAAAATGTTAACTTTGTTAAAAAAATCATACACGTAGTTTAGCTTTCTAGGAGCAGTAAATAAATTTAAATCTTGAATTGTATGGAGCCTGTATTATATACGACACAATAGGTTGTTTGAACATGTTTAACATTTTCAAAACATTACTTTTAAACTTATTTTCTCTTAATAAGTTATCATAGACGAGTATTTTCACTTATATATAGATTTTAACGTATTTATTGAAGTCGATAAACTATTATCATTGTGCTAGTTAAAATAAACTGTATCTTAACAGCCGTTAGTAAACTAGACTTGCATATAACTCTTATATTATATAAAATATAATTATTATTTAAGTAAAAATAAATATAGATCATTTTACGATTAGCATAATTTCTGTAAATAAGCTTACTAGGACTTTTCTAAGGCACAATTACAACACAATGTATGTAATCAAAATTTCGAATTCATCATATAAATCTATCTTTGATTATTTAATCTATATCGAACAATATTTATTTTTCATTGAGCAATATAAATTCACTAACTTTTATAATACATCCCATAGTTGGAAAATCTTTTTAAGTAGATATAAATTAATACATTGTACACGTTTTCATCTACAGTAGAATAGTAATATGATAATTTTGGAGTCATACGTCAATAATATGCCTCTAGGCGTTTGTCAGTTTGTAAATATATAATATATATTATTGTATTATTCTTGTATCCATATCTTCTCGTCATTTTAAAGTATCTGTAACTGGTACTAGGTACTAGTATGTACAAATTTATTAATTATATTACGTTGATTAAATTATTGTTTTATTTCATTATACAATATATATACATTAATATTACATCTTATATACTAGAGTTACTCTCTAACAATAAATGTTCACTTAGATGGTTTAACAAAATGAATGAATGGAAAGAAAATTTTGGAAATTATAGGAAAACTATGTTATTTGCTATTTACTACAGTTGTTATGTAGGCATAACAGTACCTACTTTATATAAAAATATAACAAAAGATGTTAAATCAAAATAAATAATTTTCATCTAACGCCTTCACAAACATATTCAATAACAATTTCTTTATCTCTTTTTGTTCTATTTCATTTTATACTATAACATAACTTTATTTTTATTTGAAGAACTTAAAAAAACATTTCAATACAAATGAAAACCATATTTTAAGTCTTTAAAACGGAGGTACAAATTTAAATGGAATATCACTAATGTATACTCTCGTACGATATAAAATAATCACTTTTACATAGTACTAAAGATAATTAAACCTATTTAATTCCTATATCTTATAGTTTACGTTATATATCTACAATTTGTCCATGGTGCCAAGGAGTAGTTCCATTTCTTGGCGGATGCCTTTCAGCAGATCTTTCATTTGTCGTGGAGAGTCAAGGATGTCAATACTTTGGGTGTATGGGTTGTATCTCACTCCGAAGTCACGTGGTATTGTTTGGGCGAATTTGCTGTAACATTATATAATTAATGTTAAATTTTCAATAACAAAACCAATTTCTAAAGTTTGTTTTGCAAAGAGAGAGAGAGCTATCTAAAATGAAAGAAAAAACTTAATAACTGATATTTTTTTTATAAAACATGCCCAAAAAAGAGTTTTGTACATGCTATAGTTTCTGTTAACACATATTATAAATGGAAAAGTAAGTGGCTGTCTAACGGCCTTTGGGTAGAGGTGTGTCAGAAGTGTAAAGAATAATAAAATTCAGCAATAATTGTTTCAAAAAAAAACGAAGTAAAATTATAAATCATTAAATTAACACAGTAAATGTAATTTTAAAACTTAAATACATATACATAAATACTCACATCATCTTTTCTTTAGCACTCTCAAAACTGTTAGCAACGAAATATATTGGTTGGTATTCAGTGATGGGATACTTCTGTTCTCCCGTGATTTCTGGTTCAAACTCCTGAAGTTGTGGCTTATCTGAGAGACAGTATTGAAGCTCCCCGAATGATGATAGCAAACCGGCGCCGTATGCCTTCAGCTGACCTTCTTGCCGACACAGACCAAATTCAACGGTGAACCAAAAACACTGGAAAAAGACAAAAATAAATGAAATCCTTATTTAAAACTTTTGATATCAATAATATATAGATGAGTGTATAAATTTACCGTTGCAAGTCTTTCGATAAAATCGTCAGGAGCTCCCAATGAAGCTAGGCCGATTTCTTGAGAGAACTGCGCGAATGCGGGGTCAGCGAATAATGGCGCGTGACCTAGGAGCTCGTGGCAGACATCAGGTTCAGGAGTGTATAGGGGGCGGGAGTGATGCCTAATGTATTGAGTACTGTGAAATACACGGAACGCCAAGCCAGCGAGGAAATCTCGTGAAGAAAGTAGACCTGCCACTGGGCGGAGAGTGAATCCAGTGCAATCTGATGAAGAGAAACATTTAGGTTTAAAGATCTTTATTCTCAACAAGACAATACATAGTCACTAATTTGAGAACATTACTAACTTAAACAATAACATTTTTAACATTCGTCACACCAGGTTTTATTTAATCTGTAGTGGTTAGTAGGAAATTAATAAGAGAATGAAAGAAAAGGAAAACGCACCCACTGTATGCGTTAGTTGGTAAGATATTGCGCGAGTTGCGTTTTAGATGCCCTAAGTGAATGCGTCTTCCTTATACAAGAAGGTATTTTATTATAAAGCTGTGCTCCTTCAAAAGTGATCTTTTTTTTCCATAATTAGTTCTGGTACATTTGATTATTTATTCTTTAATTTAATTGACATAGTCATTTGTAAAATATTCTATTGTTAATACCTTTGAGGAAATTAGATACGTCTTCGAGCTGTGGAATATTGTCCTCCCTATAACCACAGTTTTCAATTAACAGCGGAAAAACATGATTGTGTTCTTTGCAGGCGTGAGTCGGGTACAATTCCGTGAGCTTCCTAAATACTACTCCCCAGGTGTTGATTTCTTCTTTAGTATAGTTTACATGTGGTAGCGGCTGGCCGTGTTTGTAGTTGTAAGCGATGTCGGCAAAATACTTCCTCCTCGCGCGGTACTCAGGGTCTGTGAAGCCTGGGTGATCAGCATCCAGCTCAGCTCCATAAGACAATATCTGATTAGCGAATCTATCCAGATCACGAATACGGCGAGGGAACCACGGCACCGCAGCTGGAAATAAAAAATAACACTTATCTTTGCATTTCATCGTTACTATTCCAATCGCTAAAGCATTCTTTCAAACTCATATTTGATACAAAAAATTACAAATATAAAAAGAAGCTTACATCTATTATCCTTGTAGTTCCTTGAAATAATGTTGAGATATCCAGTGCTCTTCTTCAGCTCATCCAAAGCAGCCCCAAAGTCTCCAGATTCGTGTTCACACTCAACCATGAATTCATATCCCGGCCTCCTGGCAGATGAACGAGATTCAATGTGGCTCAAGTTGACGCCGTGAGATGAGAAGATGCTCAGAAATTTCTCCAAAGAACCAGCTTGATCCGGAGTCTCGGGAGAAAATAAGAGCCATGTTGATTTTTTAGAGTCGCGACCCTCCGCTATGTAATTGCCACCCTGCATTAACTTTGGCTGCAGGAAAAAACACACATATAAAAAAAATATGTTTTTTTTTCACTAAAATGGTCAAAATTATTGGTTGCGTATAATTAAAACTTAAACAAGCATATACATAGTGACTTTTAAACCATAATTAAAATTATTTTCTGTACATTGTTCAGAAATACTTGACAAAAATAAAAGCAGCGGCAGCTTTGTTAATTGACAATTAAAATCAACTCAATATAGAGATTTCAAACTAAAGCGAACGAATTAAAATTATCACGTTATCATAATATATACGATGATATAAAATATATTTGAGGCTGCTTTATCGATATGATAACCCTCACTGGTTAAAGTGGACGGCCGATCTGACCGCGTTGAATGAAGAGACGTCATTAGTAATTGAAATAAATTAAAATATTATCACGAGTTATGTTGAAAAACAACACGACGTTTGATTAATGACGTTTTGAGTTTGTTTTCAAAATAACTTATAAATAATATAATAATAATTACTAAATAGAATGAGATCGAAAGTTTTATTAACAAAACAACACTATCTATAGATTTTTTTATCTATAATAAGCATCTATAGATGGCTATAACTAATTGGAATGCGAATTAAGTTAACATAATTTGAATGAACTTTATATAAAAAGGCATTACCGCATTCATTATAGTTTTTGCGTGTGGCGATTAACAAAAGAATTATCTGTTGTAGGAATGCAGTTATTTGAGCCCAATTAGAGTTCGCTTTGATTGTATTATATGGTTTAATAAATATATTTCAACACACAATTTAAGATTGGGTTATTGGAAGTAATTTGCAAATTTCTTTACGTGAGCTTTTAAGACATAAATCTATGAATAAGCCAAAATTCAGTGGCATATATTATCTACAAAAAACATAGAATAAATATTATAAATATTATTAACATAAAATAAAAATCGCAATATATCGCATTATCCATACCTTATCCATAGGCGATGTAGATAGTATATTAACACTCGGCTCCATTTTCCGTACTTGTTCAGACGGTGGTAAGAACGACACAGAAACAAACTTGACACTACACAGCCCCTTTTATGAGACGGACTGCGTCATTAACATTATACACTCGCTTCAACTGATAATATTGTTTTATTAAACGAAGAACACAAAAAAATAATGTATTTATTTATTTCATCACAATTGAAAATTAATATATATACGTATTTAAAACAAATTTTGTAGATACATAGATTAATTTCAAAGAAATTTTAGGGTTTGATATATACTAAGTAATTTCTAAGTAAAGCCTGCATCGGAGGCTCGATGTGTTATCTCTGGGATATAAGTCTTATCATTTTGTTATGTCGATGTATATATACGTCATTTGATATTGTGTGCGAAATTATGTTTTACGACGTTTGTAGAACCTACTGGAATGTTAATAAAAATATTTGGCACGAATTTTATCGACGGCTTCGAATGATGAAAGTCTTAATACTGATAAGGTATTTATATATACTAGTATTTTTATTATTTTTTACCGGTTTTCCTTAAATAAGTGATGCTTATTAAAACTTTATTCATATGCGATTACAATCTACTTGGTCAAAATTATGACATGACGGACTTAGTCTTAAGCGTCAATTAAGCCATTTGTTGATAGACGCTAGACAAATTATTATAAATAATAATAACAATTATTTTTGTATAGTAATGGATGTTGGTAGTAAAAAAAGGGTATAGATTCATCTTGTCTCTTGTAATATTGTAAAATGGTTCAGTTGAAACAGGTTTCTCTTCGTTTGAAGTCTATTAAAAATATTCAGAAAATCACTAAGACTATGAAAATGGTGTCCGCTAGCAAGTAAATATATTTATATCAATAATAAAGGTTTTAACTTTATCGTATATATACAAATAATACAAATTAAAGGTTTACGAAAGCGGAACGCGAATTAAGTTCTGCCCGACCTTTCGGTTACGGACCTCGGAAATTTTACGAGTCCAGTCACTTGGTGAAACCAGAGAAGAAACCAGATGATAAATCCAAAGATGAACCGCCGCCAGAACCGGTTGTTGGGAAAATTGAGGAGGGAAAAGATGCGAAGAAAGTGAAAAGACTATACGTCGCTGTGACTTCAGATAGAGGTGAGGTTTGATAGCACAAAAACTTGTAGGTAGAACCTAGCTGTAGTGAAGTAATTACAGCTCGAACATGTGCTGCCTCGACCGGGGAAGTACCACCCTCTAACAGAAAATCGGCGTGAAGTAGCTTATATTATTTCGTCCGATGAGTGAGAGGCTCGGTTGCCCTTTCCTTATTCCCACTATTCCCTGACATACACCCTTCCCTATACCTAAATAACAAAGTTGGCAATGCATCCGCCACAGAGCTTTGGTAGCTAGTGCCCATCAATTAGGCCATTTCATTTGCCACCCTTAACATAAAAAAATATATATAAACAAGTATATTACAGCAATATGTAAATCATTTATGAATTGCGATGTCAGTAATTAGGATGATATATCAGATGGTGACCCCTGGTTGATAACTTGTCGCACTGCCTCGGCACACGCTCCCATCATGTGCGATACTGCTTATCAATAGGAGATATTACTTGTATCACAAACCCGTGTCAATAATTCTATGATCTATATTAATATTTATACGTAAGCGTTTATAATAAAGAATGTTAAGAGAAAAAGGCGTTAAACTAATTTATTGGAGTCATAACGACAAGGTTTTCGGGTCGCGATAATACTGAGCTATTAATACGCAAGTAGGTACAGGCTATCACTTAGATCACGGCCGATGATGCTTTCGTATGATTTTACCTCAAGGCTAATATATAGTAAATAAAAAGTATAGAAAATGTACAGAATAATAGACTTGAGCGGCGAATTCTTACCGTACTTAGGAGTAAGTATTGACTAATGAAGAGATCCAGAAAATGTATTCTAGACCATTCTGTAATAAGATATTTTTAAATAATTCCATTCGATGAAAATTTCTTGCAAGCATATTGTATAAATAAACCAAGTACAAATAAAAAGTTTTTGGTATAGATAACAAAGAACCGAAGATACACTATATACAGTCGAAAGCATAAAAATATATATATATTAATCTTATAAGTTTTTTTAATTAACCTAATTTATTATATGACGACATATTATTCGCACATTTCATATTTAGAGTAAAACATATAAAAAAAATCACTACAATCTACCTTTAAATTCTTTTGCGGTCAAACATAAGGAAAACATAAAGTGGAACACTCCACTGAATGGCATGCGTCGTATTATATGACTACATACGACGTGGTGTAACTTTGTTGATAATTTTCATCATATAGACTTTTAATTTGCTAAGTTATCTACATGTTAAAGGTCGTATTATAATCGGAAAGCCCAAGTCCATACATAGTTATGATGCACGAATATTATGTACCATAACAACATCGAAATATTGTTGACTGAAACATGACTTGTATCGTACTAAAATAACTTTACTAGTCTTCAAAATGTATGATATATAATATGGATTTTGAGCATTAAGTTGAATCACTGTAGTTGTTATCTATCAAAAATCTTTTCTGGTTTGTTTGAGGCCTGTGTGGTGGAGTGCATTCTGGTATATCTCGTCGCATCAGGAAGAACCTGACCGATCGTAGTGTGGAGCCCGCCAGCAATAAACTGATCTGTATCGGTGACAAATCCAGAGCGATCCTGAGACGCATCTTCAGCGAAAATATGCTCATGAATGTCAAAGACGTAATTATTGTTTACTTGTATTTTACGTAATTTTTGTTTCTACAAGAGGTGAGTGTTTAATGCGTTAGATAGGAGCCCCTTAAACCTACACCCGGGTTGCAAGTCCCAGGCACTGTTGAAGCTCCTCTCGCTACAACTATGGACCAGACATCGCATCGTGAATACATGGAATGCTGAGAGATTCCGTCTCGTCTTTATACAGAAACTAAGGCTTTGAGATAGTACGCGTTCGTTATTATTTTACAACGACATAATCCCTACTATTGTATACAATGATACGAGTTGTACTATCCGAAAACTTTAGTTTTTATTTAAATGAATACACGCGAAAATCTCAGATCACATTAGGTACATAATATGTTCGATTTTCGTAATAATATGTAATTCTTATTTCTCATAACAATAGATAAAATAAAATTGATTAGTCATTTTTCGTATTAAAATACATTGAACCGTCTTCACATAACTTTTAGTAGAGAACTCACTCAATAACTATTAGTTAGTTGGTTGTTTGTAATTTTATTTTATCATAATGAATCTCTGTCTCAGATCGGTCGCATTTCTCCAGTATTCGCGGATGCGTCCGCTATAGCAGCATCTATAATGCAATCAGGGTTCATATACGATTTAGGAGAAATCTACTACAATAAATATTTCAGTGCCGTTAAATACGAGCTAACTATCATCCCTGTCTTCCACAAGGATAAAATTGAGGTTCGTTTCAAACTAATTATCTATTTATTAGACTTATAAATTGTGGGGGGAGTAAAACATTTTAACACGCTGTCTCAATATCCATAAAAGTTAAAGTAAATGCACGTAAACTTTTTTAATTAAATTGCACTACTGTTAACACGATCATGCAAAACGAATGATTCGAATAATAGTTGTTATTATTTAAATACGATAATTATTATATGCAATAAATGTATTTTATTATATTTTTATTAAGTGAAAAAGCTAATACTTTAAGTTATACTTAGAAATTAAAGATTCTAAATTATTCTAGTATTGAATAACTCCAAATAGTTTTTTTTCTAAACTACAATATTAATGGTCTATTTTATTCCATAAAGTTCAAATTATGATCCAGAATTAATATTCTTCCAAATCAATTAAAACATGACAAATATTTCTTCCAGCGAGCACCAAACATGCACGCCTTTGATGATGTTGAGGAGGATCAACTCGAGAGCTATTCAGAATGGACGTTGGCTGCTCTTCTGTTCTACGCTCTCAAGGAATCTGCAGCATCAGAACAATCAGCTAGGATGGCTGCCATGGATAATGCCACCAAGAACGCTGATGACATGATCAAGAAGTTAACTCTCCTCTTCAATAGAACTCGCCAGGCAGTTATCACGAGAGAACTCATAGAAATTATATCTGGAGCAGCTGCTCTCTAAGTTTCAAATACTATTTACATGAGAAAATTTGTTTTTAATCTTAGAACTTTTAATGTATACCTTGTTATTGATAATTTTTGGTAATAAGGTAATATTTGACAATGATCTAGAATGTGTTATTTAGAAAGAGATAAAATAATATTACTTAATAAAACGTATCTTATTTCAAAGTACCATATTTAGAATTAATTTGTTGCTAGATCAAATCAAAAGTACAGATTTAATTTCAGACGAGACGTGCTTAACAGATTTTGAATACTTCAATTTGTTTTTTGGGACCATCAGATTTTTAAAGAAAAGTATTCATTGACGAAAAATAAAATTGATAATAACAGAAATTAAACTGCAGGATACAATACCTTTTTTGGAGCATTTAGAAAACTTAAACACATAAAAAAATATTTTACAGTTTCTGAAATAGGTGTCCATCTTTAAGCGGCCATAAATTTTTAGTTTGACTGCAGTTTTTTATGACCTTCAAAATTTACAATATTTCATATTATAATTTGTATCCAGAAGAAAATGTAACAAAAGTCTACGACTGCATTTACATGAAATGTATGTAAAATATATAGAGATATAAGTAAGACTGAAAAAATCTATATTCTTTAGCTTTTTGGTACTTCAACAATAAAACAGGTATGAAAAATCTAATACTCGTACTTTGGTTAACCTGAGATTATCTTTAAAATAGACCAAAAGTTAGGTTTTTCAATAAGAATTAATGAAAATAATTTCAAAACACATGATTTCTTTCCAGTTGATTTGTTTATGTTAATTGAAATAAATCGGGCAAAATTGTTTGTTTGGCAAAATTGTCAAATTAAATAAGAAATGTGTTTGAATTGCCAAAAATAAACCTTTAGACCCAGTTCCACCTAACTCTGTTTGTTAAATCTAAACAAGGCATTTACTAACGAACCTTCAAAAATATAATGGTCCGTCAAAGTAAAATAAGTTTTAATTTTATCGATACATAAAAATGTTAATATCTGTATAATTGTTAGTGTGTCTTTCCGTCATTAGTCTATTGGTGTTAATAATGTGATAGATGAACACACATAATTTAAATATTTAGAAAAAGAAAAAAAATTGTATAGTTTTAGATTTCACGAACATTCACAGAAATTTATTCTAAAGTTTTCAAATTAATTGAATACGGAATATCTATAGCAATATAATAATATTAATTTTATTTAAATATTGTATAATAATGAGTAACAAATTTATATTTGTCGAGTATATATGTAAAAAAAAATGTTTTTGATAGACAAATCAACAATTTCAAATTTGATTAGATAGAGATAGGGTCTTAAACCTACACCTGGGTCGCAAGTCCCAGTCACTGTTGAAGCTCCTCTCACTACAACGATGGACCCGACACACGCACCGTGAATACATTGAATGATGAGAGGTTTCGTCTCTTAATATGTCAATCTTAAGTTTACTTTGCGAATGAGAGTTATATTAATGTTAGCGTCAAAATTAAACCAATTCTAAGCACGCTTTTCATCAAATAAAATAAAAATTTCTTTTTTTTTTCGTATAAAACCTTATTTTAAATTATGTACAAAAAATAATTTGAAAATTAATCAGAATTCTCTGTGATCACATCAATCTTCTCCCAGACCTAAATAAAAATATAACCTAATTTACTGAGCATTTTAAATAAGAATACGTCAAGACTTAAAATATATTTAATAAAATTATGTAACAGATTCACAACTAATATATCGAGAATTATCCTTTTCACTTTATCATAAACTCAGTTACGATTCCACAATAGAAATACAGGCATTATACATATTTTAAAAGCTTACAACAGTAGAAATTCACATTGCTTTTACATATAATGTACATTGAACTAAATTTCAAAAAGATATCTGAAATAAACTGAGTGTTTTGATGAGTAGAGTAAGGTCAGTGTGATTCTTCGAGGTACTTGTCATATGTCTCCTGGTCCATGAGAGATTGCAGTTCTTCTGTCTTGCTCAGCTTGACCTTGAACAGCCAGCCGTCTTCATAACAAGATTTGTTGATGAGGGACGGACTGCTCTCCACGGCGTCATTCTTCTCAGTTACCTAATGATAAGCATTGAATTTATTGGATCATACGCCAAAGGTCGAATGCTAGGAGTATAATAAGAAATATTTGAATATTTAATTTAAAAAAATATTTGTTTAGGAATTGTTCATAGTTAGAAATGCATAAAAAAGTTAAACTATGTGATAGTTAAAATGTAATATAACAATTTATCACAGAAAAGACAAACTCGAAAGTCGTATAAAAAATCTAGACACACTTAATTGCTTAGAGATTAAAAACTTAATAGCTTAACTTCATAAAAAAACTTTCTATAAAAAAACAAAACAATTCAGGGATTTACGCTAAAATAACTGTCCTGACCTAACTCAGAAGTAGTAAGTAATAAAAAAGGCATTTTTATTTGAAAAACTTAATTTATAACACAATTAGTATAGGTATGTGTATTATAGAGAAAAAATTTCCTAATATATTAGTCTTTTAATGCTTGTATTTTAGCAGTATTTTGCTTAGACGACCCACTATCTTTAGTAACGCCGTCAAAGCTAATTGGACTTGCAGCAACAGTCAAGTAAAATAAATATATATACAAGTAAACATATACCGTTTAATACTAAAGAAATATAATATTTATAAATTTAAAATACTCTTTTTTGATAAATATAAATGTTTGTCAAGTTTTTTGTTTATTTATATTTAATCGAATGTGTATCTAACTGATTGGGTGATCGTGATGTTTAAACTCTTTTGAGGCATTTATTTGTTTTTGTTTGTAGTCAAATATTTTCATTTAGACGTTAAATCTGATTTAACATAAAATTCTTTGATAATACAAATCAAATATTTTACATTGGAGTATAACTTCACTTGATGATTTGACATAGAAAGAATAAAAGCTAAGTCATGGCCACATAGTTTTTTATGTGTTTACGTGATTTACTTAAAAATTCCTATTGCCCCTTAATATTTTATTTACACACAAGTAATTGTTACACTTCTTTGCTTCTATCTATGACTTTAAAATACTCCATAATATTGGTGATAATTTTACCTAGCACATGTTCTTAGGGCAAATTAAAATTGGTATACTCACAGTCCCTGATACAGGAGAATACACCTCACTAGCAGCTTTGACACTCTCCAAAGCACCTACTTCTTCGGCAGCAGCAACTGTTCGACCTACTTCTGGCAACTGAACAAACACCACCTCTCCAAGAGCATCCTGTATAATAAAACACATTAGTCAATAGTACCATAATGTTCTTCTTCTTCTACCTGGCAATTTCCCAGCTTCAACCAGGGTCTGCCTTACATGTTGTGAATAGTTTTGGCTAATTGTTTTTACGACCGGTCGCCTGCCTAACAACTCTCTTTGGGAATCATAATGATAATAGTTGTAGCTAATATATCGCATGATACGATTCTAGAACACTCTATTTATTAACAAAGTAAGATAAATCATATACATACTTTGAAAAATTAGTTTAATTATAATTTGAATGGACATCAAACGATATTTATTTCTAATTACGATAATAATTTATAATATCTACGAAGGCCTTTCATGTATTTGTTGTGAGAGACGGTAACGGATCTTGTACCAGAGAAACAATGCCATTTGTTAAGCTTTTGACCCCAATAATCAAGTATTTAACATCGACTGACCTTCAGAGCACAAAAGACAAGATAACATGAAGTTTTTTTAACAATTAAAATACTTTTTACCTATCATTATAATATAGATAATACAACAGAATTGATATTTATAATTATATGATTAAAATAACAGCGTCGTTATTAATATGCTTTGTTTAAAATAGCATTTAGCATCTTGGTTATTTAGTCTATTTAGTTTAATACAAGTATAAAATATAATAATTTTAATGTCATTTAATTATGTAGAGTTATGTTTAATTTATTGAGAAATACCAATAGTCATAGCAGGGTTTAAATAGTTTTATCTTTTTAAGACGATTTAAAAATGAAAATTATGTGTTAAAATAATCACCTGTGCATAATTAGAAATGCCGATAGTGCCTATACCGCCCTCCAAAGACACCCACTCATGCTTCTTTGTATAGAGTCTTCCTGAAAATTAAAAATACAAAAAATTAAAGCTTACAATAAATTTTAAGATAAACAATAATTCATAAATTATTAAGATGATTCAATGCTATATATACTTAATAAACACATCTGTATATACCATCAGTATTGATGTTCGCAAAGCAATTTATACTTTATGCTATAGACTTAAGTATTAAAATGAATATCATTAATTCGCTAACGAAACCCACATTGAAAATAATTCTTTTTTTTAAATACTTCGCTGTTAAAGTATCATACTCATTTGTGTTAGAAATGAATGTAAAAAATTTCATTGATTTAGACAAAATCGAGCCAAGCACTTGAACATATTAGGAAATTTTGAGTTAATATCAAAAGAAAATAATGTGTTCGTGAAATTAATTCCAACATTGACATCTATGTATTCAATACTAAAGCAATTTTTTTAATTTTAATACACATATGAATGAAAACAAGTGACGCTGAGTTTTTAGTGTGACGATGTAGACTTGTAGTAAGTACGTGTCTTTTAAAGCTAAATTTAGTTAAATCCTGTTGTGACACAACTCACTTAACTAATAAAGTATAAACTGAAGATATAAACAAATCAAACGTGTCATACATATGTAAAATAATTATGTTTGATTTTTTACTAAGAAGTTCATGTATTAGAATTACTATTAAAACTCGAATAGACGCTAGCAACTATATGATAATACAACTCGATCGTATATGTTGTAAGTAAATTACCTTTTATTTGAGTACTGTAAACAGCTCTACTGCAGCAATTTGTCACTCCAGCAAATCGCGCCGTGGACCGTAGTAATTTTGCTAACACCATTGTTTCTTATTCCTGTAAAATTAACTCTTGAATGATTGGGAGTTTGTTTGTCACACTACGTTGAATACTATTGCAGATAATATCAATTTGTAATGCAAATATCATCTAAAACAAAACGGATAAATAAATTTTTCGTTTTTTTCAAATCTATAAGTAACTTTTTGTCGATGTAGAAATGAAATACAAAAATATAGGAGTGATAAAAAATGTTCAATTGTTTTAAAGAAGACGTAGTTTCTTCAGACTACATAAATTATTATAAAAACTAACAATTATGTTTGTCTGTTAAATACTCAAGAAAAACTTTTTATTTAATAGTACATACTACTAAAACTGTCCATATATTTCTAAATCTCTACTCCCTATAAACAACGAAGAAGCGAACGATGCCGCGGTAAACACATAGTATGTGTGTGTAATGCGTATGAATGATTTGAGTACAGTATTTTGGATTTACTCAGATACACTTCCAATGACCTAACGCGTAAGGTTACTATGCCAACGTGATAATCACGCGTTATGCCATCACACTTAAAATTATTTAAATTCTATTAGTTAAATATATAATATTAAAATAGTTATAATAAGAGCTTATATGTATCAAAATAATATTACAAATTTTAAGATATATACTATGATTTAGATAGAATATACTGAAGAAACATAATATATAATATTATCAATTTAATCATTATATATAAATATAATAAAATATATATTAATGATCCAATCATATTGAAAATTACACCAAATTCACTATCAACTTGTAGTACATTAAGATATAATAATTAAGAAGAATTAATATGTAATATATAAAAGTTTTTTTGCTACATACCTCTCTCAAACGCGTCTCCTTCGGGCCAGGCACGAACGCTTTGTGTAGCCGGCCGCTAGATCAAACTGACTCACTATATTATCAATAAAATTTAACTAATAGTAACCGAACTGTTAAAATTTAAACATTCATAAAATAAGGTATAGAAAATATATTGTAACTTTATTCTTTGAAATATAAACGAAATTATCGTACAAGGAGAAAATTCACTGTACAAGGAAAATACGGCAAAATGATTGTATTTTTGTTATTTTTATTATTTATAGTAATAGAAGACATAACGGTAATTTCAAGATATGTATAAAATATAATTTAAAAATTGAATTGAATCCATCTATCAGTTTTGTCACGATATCTACACAACAGTAATCATCTATAATGTAGCTACGATGTTCAATCTATTAAACCAAAAAAAACACGCTTTTATAGCTAAGCGAAGTAAAAAATAGAAAAAAAATTTCAACTATAAACAAATTACTTTAATTCATAGTAAAAAGTTTGGGAAGTTTAATATTTAGTTTGTAATAAAATATATTTTATATAATTCTAATACCTAGCAACTATCTATGAGAGGAAAGATTTGGAAGGAAGTCAAAAGCATGTTAAAAAGCAAATATTTGGAGCTACTTTATTGTAAGATTTAAAACCTAATTTATTTGTGTTATGTCAAAAAGTACTATAATAATTACTTTAGCAGTACGTGTAATGTAAGGAGCTTTAAGCACGATTGAGTATTGAGATTTTTTAAAATAGCTTTCTTACTTTAGTGAGAGCTAAGATATTTGTGGACAAATCTATCGATATATCTATTTACAATAATAGAGTTATTTCTATAAATGAAACTAATATTATTTACATTAGTACGTGTATTTTATTATTTTAAAACTACATACACCCGACGTTTCAGTTACTTTTCAGCAACCGTGATCACGGGCAGACAGTAGTTTTTTATAATAATAAAATATGGGTAGTAATCAGAATAATATTAGTTTCATTTAAATACTCGGGAGTCTTAGATGTCATTAGAATAATTTATAGTTTATTTTCAATGTTATTAATGATGGGACAATTAATTTTCCATGACGTACCATATCAGCGAAGCGTATCTTTGTTTTATTACGATACTATTCGATCTTGGTCTAATGACTCCGACACTAATTCCGTGTCATTACCAAAAGATTCCATTGTATTTACAAATATGGAGAAATTACAGTTTTTCATTCATATATCTGTTACTCAATAAGTACCTAAGGCTTTCGAGTAAGAACTTTTGGTAGGTAAATAAAGGTTTATTTACTTTTAATAAGAAACGGGAAAGGGTTTTTATGTAAAGTAACGATGCTTACTTGTGGTAGGTAAATATAGTTTCATTTGCTGAACTTGCTTGTCCTCATAAAAGATAAAAAAGGTAAGGAATAACAGATACCTACAATAATTATTTTAATTAGAAAATTCATATGATTTTGATTACAAAAATATTAACTTCATAACAATTTATTAAAAATATTGATAATATAATTCTTTTTAATATATAAGTGTTACATATATATCTTATTTATATAAACAGTCCTTTACTAATTAAAGTCGTTTCTCAATAGAATTGACTTGTTTCTTCATTTAGTTTATCAAGTCGTTATCAGTATAAACAGTTCGCAGGGGGCGATTACTAAAGATATTTTCATATTTAACATGATGAAAAACATAAACATTGAGATCAATATTACTTTAAAACTACGTCAGAAAATAAATATATACATAACATTTAAAATATATGTATTTAAAGATTTTATGTATAAAGCGCCATCTACAATGGTTTGGGAAAATAATACACGATTATTTAAATCAATCTCTTTATTCAAATAATATTGAAATTTAAAGCAATCAACTCATATCGTGTGTCAGAACACTACGAAATTAAGGTGGATTAATAATTAGATAGTACAGAATGTATAAAATATAAAAAGTGAAAAGACAATAAATGGCAATTTTTAAAAGTGTTACTCGAACCTAATATTGAAATTGAAATAATTAAGAACGTAATTATTGAGTGTAACAGTTCTTACTGCTGCTCGTTTTTAATAAGGAGATTCTCTCCCTATTTTTCAATAATTATTATATTAAACAGCATATTAGACTTTTCTTTTCTCTTGGAAATTTACTTACTTCATTAAAAAGTAATAACATGATATTATTTTACCAACACAATTAAAAGATATTGTATAAAACTTATATTTTTTCGAAAGTTAAAGAAATTAAGAGTACACATTTAACAATACGAATAACGCCATCTATTATTGTAATGCCGCAACATCCCAAACGTCATAGCGGTTGCTTGTTAGTCCGCTAGATGTCGCTAGCTAACTACTTGAGGTAGCACGGAACGGCTTGAGCTGTGCCAAAGATGGCGCTGAGAGCACTGTAGGTAGCCGCTGCGCCTCCCAAGATACCAATGACCAATACTTCCCAGCAGACCAGCTTAACCCATCCCGCTACCTCACTGGAAAAAGAATACAATCTTATTAATACTTTAAACTTAACAATCATCCCCTGATATATAAAAAATATCGTCGGGGATAATGCAAAACCGCGTAACTAGCATTGGATAATTCCGCGTATCTACATTAGAAGCAGATTGACAGAGGAAAGTTTAATATGAAAAATGTTCTAAATTAACGACTTTTAAAGTAATTTCTATCACAATTAGTAATTATTTAGTTTTTAATTTATTAGTTATTGTCAAAAATCACCAATTTGAAAGTCACTCAACGAAGTTCTGTTCATTTTAAAATACAGTATTACAGAATGAGAATACTTACAGAGGCGCCTGTCCTTCCCTTGGTGGCTGGTTGACAAGGTTGAGGTAGCAGTAGGAAGGCAGCACGTAGGTGAGGAGAGCGATGGTGGTAGCTCCAACAAACGCCAGGATTGTATAGAAACGAGGGATGCTCTCTCCAATGAACAGTATACCAGCCATGATGGAGAAACGTACGAGTGTACGGTAACCGATGGCATCTAGTATAAACTTGATATTAAAACACAGATATCTATTAAAATTAGAGTAACTAATTCAAAACACAACTATGTAGTATACGTAAATTAAATAGTGCGATTATCTAGCAACTTAAGAGACTTAAAACATTTCGTAATTAAGTTTAGCCTACTGGTAGTGAGTGACGAGCTATACTACATTTACTTACAGAACTTGAACAGCGTTATTTCACTGTCTGGAAATATATTAAATTTTACAACGTGGTGTTCATGAAATAAATTATTAGGACAAAAAAGTATGTATTATTAGAAATGTAATGATACTTATTATGCAAATATTGGTTTTCTAACATCCATATCTAAAATGAAGAAACTATCGATCGAATTTACATAGGAAATATTACTATAATCCTCTTACCACTGTTGATGTTGTAGAGTTCTTCCATCTCCTGGCAGACAGGGTTGATGAGGATCACGAAGGCGCAGACCAGGTGAATGGCCATTAACACATTTCCTACCAGAGACAGGGGCGTCGCAGACAAGGAAGTAGCGAAGTTGTTCCCCACAGACTCACCGTAGATCGCATAGCCAGCGATCGCGATGGGCAAATAAATGGCCAAGATTGCTGAGAAAAAACATATTCTATTAATTATTCTGCTTGATTTTTATTAAACTAATGTAAGTATGGACCTACCAATGAATCCGTACTGCAGGCTCTTATTGAACTTGGTTTTATCAGCCATGTCGTTCTGAAGAGTTGGGAATGTAGATGCTCCGCCAAAAGCGAACATGATGGTGCCGAATGCGAGGAAGAAGTCCGTAAAACCGTGGATTCCCCAACGGAAAACGGGGTAAGGTCGGATGTCGTTCATCATTTGTATGAAGTAGAGAATACATGCCACGACCGCCGCGAAGAAAGCAATCACTCCCAAGAAACTACGGAATAATATATTCATATAAGTATATGTAATACAAGAAAATAAAAAATCGATAAAAAACAGGACAGGACAGGTCGCTGAAAAGTAACCGAAACGTCGGGATTATGTAGTTTTTTACAAAAGTAAAGCACGCGTTTTATATCCGATAAATATTAGTTTCTTTTAAATACATAATACCAACAAAAAAATATGAGAATAAAAAAGAATTGTTGTATTATTTACACGTAAAATTACGAAATATTTTATAATTTTTGTCAAGCTTAACATAATTTTTAACCAATTAAAGAAGTAGATCTTTAGTTAAATATTTAACAGTTATATGTGAAGTATTGCTTTGTAATGATGGTGGTGAAAGAAGCAAGTGGCAGCGATGATACGATTATTCCCATTGTGAACTTATAATAGACTTCCGGGAAACCAATGAAGTGTCTCATTGACTGAACCTGGGATGCTCGAGTCTTTTAGAGGGTTCTGGATGATTTCTTACAATATTAAGACTATTAGGATTCTATAATTTTCTAGGAAATATTATATTATAAATATTAATTAAATCAAATCCAGTTTTTATCCTTTAGTAACGAGAATTTGGAAGTTAGTCAGTTTGGAAGTTAGTCAGTCTAATAATAGTAAAGAAAATGGAAGTTTCTTAGTTTCAAGGACACGGATCGTAAAAAAAGTTGCAGTAAAATTAAAGAAATAATACCCACATATATTACTAATAAGCCGTTGAAGGAACAGTTTGGAGCATTTTCAAAGCATTTTTAATGTCTATTAGGGTCACAAAATTGCAGAAAAACAGTAAAAATAGGTAAGTAGTGCAACGTATCCAAGTTATTACATATTTTCTTATCAACATAAAAATGCGCGCTTTCTTAATTGGATTCAGACGCGTTAACACTTAATTCAATAAGCATAAACAGTAAGCTTTTTCTAATCCTTTACGTTTTTCTTACAAACGTAGGTGTTGGAGAATCATCAGCTAGAAATAAAATACTCACGAAAAATCTTTGGGCGTGCCGAAAAGAGTGAGTGGGGTCATTGCCCCCACCACTACCAGGTACCAGATGCATATGGTCACAGTTGGCGCGAGGGAGAGGAACACTTGCTCAATAATCTGAGCAGCGAGCAGTAGATAGACTACCGCCACGCCAAACTGTGTGACTATCATGGCGAGAGATACACCCACACTGGAAGAAATATAGGCATTAATATTATGAGAACTTTGAAGACTATTCTGATGAACAATGTATAATTACCAAGAATTTCATTTGACTTTAATGTGATGAGATATTTGCGAGTTTGATTCATTTAAAGAAACTAATATTTTTCGGATTTTACTAGATTATCTCGTCTGCTCGTGATCATGGTTGCTGAAAAGTAGTCGAAACTTCGAGAGTATGTAGTATTTTACAAAAATAAAGTCACGTAATCCGAAAAATTATGTTTCATTTAAATTTCTTTGAATTTATTGACTTATGAAAGAAAATTGTCTCATTTATGTTAAATACAATAATTATTAATAGTATTTTGTTTTGTCTGTATAAACTACGTAATATGTTTGTACTAGATGACATCTTTGATTTTTTTTCACAAAATTATGTTTAAATCAGTACCAGCCCAAAACAATTCAAATGGCATTAGCAATTTTTTTGTTCAATTTAGGTAATCTCATGTCCTAAAACGAAAGCAAAGCATGTCCAAGGCCGTTCAAGTGAAGCCATATAAATATTTTCATTTATTAGTGTCAGACCCAGATTATCTAATAATCAGACAGATAAAATAACACGTCGATAAGGTTTCACTGAAATTACATTAAAAAAAAGTGACAAAATAGAAATTTCTGCATGAAAATTCGTTAGCCTGTTTAATATTACAGGATTTATAGGGCAAAACCAAAATAAATAAATATTTTCATGTAAAACGTTGTTGATTTTGCGAAATTGGCATACAATGGCGTAAAAAATATGACATATTTCTAATAGGTAACACAGTACAGGATTGACAAATGTCAATGAAGGTTTTTTATATCGACTTTATCGTTATAAAATCTCGAATGATACTTTAAAAAATGAATACTAATAAAGATTATAAGATACATAAATTAATATAAATAATTCTATATGTAAATGACAAGTTTAGTAATGCGAACTGAAGTTTGGCGATCCGTGTTGTGGACACAGATTAAATAAGTATCATGCAAACTTATAATATTCAAAGGAGTTTTTATTTATAACAAAATCTTTTTTCTTTTTAAGGCTAGTTAGACTTTTCTTAAGCGTTATTTTATTGTATAAAATATATAACTGCAATTAGGCATTACAACTAAAGCCTTTATTAAAGTTATCGTAACTTTTTCAAACCAATCCACGTGTTAATCATACTATACAATAAAAACAAGTTGATACAACCATTTTGTAACTTTACATTTTTGAACGGATAAATATTAGTCTATTTAAAATTTATTCAAACGATTACCATCTTGACCTTTTCAATATTATATCCCCACTAATTTATCGACGTATCATTATATAATATATATTTTATATATACATAACCGTGGGAACGTTACCTCCAGAATTTTCCGAGGGATTGTTCAGCTATGATGGCGTAAGGGTTCCTCTTCCTGGTCCTCATTTCAGGATCCCGGCTCTCGAGGATGGTCCAGCAGTCTCCCAGCCTCCTGCCGCTGAATGCAGCCAGGAGACACATCAACACTATCAATGGGATGCCAACCCATCCTGGAATTGACGGAATGATTAAAATACCAATATTAATACAGGAAGCACGCTCATTTCTAACTTCGCATATTCTAATTATACGATTAAAATTCATTTAATAATTTTATATTGAAAAATCAAGAAGGAAAAATTAAAGTTTAACATTAATGGTATTCGACGAAATATAAAATTTAAAATATTTCGTCATTTTAAAATAAACTCATATCGCAAAGCTAATGATTTCAGATTTAATTTAAATAAGTATAAGTAATATTAATATAATATTTAAATTTGAGACCTTATTATAAGACTACATACATACATGTTTTCTGTATGTAACACCTACATGTATGAATTATATTTAATTAATTAATTTCCATTTTAAATGTTGTTTCGTCGAGCCGAATTATCAAGACTGAGGTCTGATTATCATAAGTTGTTTGACTTGTTTCAATATCTCTTTCTCTCTCAGAGTATTAAATGAGAGAGCTTGTGTTTTTTTTTCTATAAATAGATTGTAAGTCGAAAAAGTTGTTCTATAAAAACTTTGAGATAACGACCTTTTACGTATTTGAAAGTTTTTTGGGACTGAGTTTAAAATTATTACATTTATTTAATGAATTATAATTTTATATAACGTTCAATGTTATAAACATTTTGTTATTTTTCTATTGATTCTAATATTTTATCTACAATCATTAATTTATGTTAATATATAAAAAACCTCGTAAAATGAAACTCGACTCTCGGTTTTATGTTACGAGTATGGCAACACTAAGAACGTTGACTTATAATAGAAAAATATGTCATTTATGTATCGTATTATAATATGAATAATATCTATACATATATATAGACTATTTACTTTTTATCATTTGTACTAGATAACATCTTTCATATATGTAAAACTAATTTACTTTCCATGATTGTCTAGGTTATTCATCAAGTACTAGTTTGTTAGTACCTAAATAAGTCATAATAACAATTACTAGGTAGTGGATACATAACTCTGCTACTTTACACTTAATACTATTTCAAGATGACATACACTTATGATATTTCGAGTTTATCTTAAGTAGGTATGTGTCGAAATTTATCAAAATAAGGGAAAGGCAAATTAAGGCAAACATATTTACTTATCTGATAAGTTACAGTGCGTTCGTACAACCACGAATAAGACATAAGCATTGTAAGAAGCAAATTTTATAGTTATAACAGTATTTCGATTGTTTTGAATGTATTCAAGAAATAAGGCATTTAAAAATAACTTTCATAATCAAATACCAAATGTATTAAATTTCAATGGACTTAATAGTAAATTTTATTTTAATATAAAACAAAGTAGTTAACGTAAAACAACCATTTTTAACATGGACATTACTCAAAGATATGTCATATTACCTATTAAAACTATGGTTTAAAATGCCTCTTTGTCTACTTCTACATATGTGGCATTTAATTCCTATCACAAAGTCTAAACATAAGATCATAACTATTCAAACTTCGCTATCGAATACCGTTAACAAAAAAAAGGTATTCAAATAAAGAGGTTTAATATATTACAATCAATAAAAATTTGATGAAAGTCACCAAAATTCCATTCCAAAGAAAACAGTATCAAAACCAGTCTGTGTGTAAAAAACAAGATTACCTATGTATGTTTTCGTAACCGGTTCCACAGATGAGAACATTCGCTATTGGCTTAATAATTTTGTTATTATAATATATCAAATATAAAACATTCGCAAGGCACATAAATATCTAATTAACAATAATATATACATATTGCTATTTTGATGTATTCTTTTGTTATTTATTCAAATAACCACTTTGATTTAGTGTAAAACAATATAGCTTGCATCCAATAATAACATTTAAAATAAAGGAATTATAGTGTATTTCGCTTTGACGTATATACATAGTAGTAATATATCATACCAGTTTTGACGACAGCCTTAGGAAGAGCTAGGACACCACTGCCAACCAGCTCACCAGCGATTAGAAAAGCTGTTTGATTCATCGATAGACCTCCACTGACGCCATTCTTGCTAGGTTCACCGCCATTACCACCTTCTTCGATTCCCTAGATATAAAATTATATTTAAAACACAGGAATTTTACCATTTATCTAACAACTAGCTGCGCCCCGCGGTGTTAAGCGCGGATTTTTGGGATGTAAAGTAGCCTATATATTATTCCTGGACGTCAGCTTCCTGTATACAAAATGTTATCAAAATCGGTTCAGCCGTTTGAGCGTGAAGAAGTAACAAACATACACACACACTCATACACTTTCGCAATTATAATATTAGTAAGATAAGATGTATGAAAATATTAGAATATTCTAGACGAATTCAACCTAAACTATTATTGTTTTACAATATATATAATTATACTAATTTTATATTAACGTTTGCATGTCACAGAGAATATTACGTGAAGCAACCTGTTTATAATTACTTTAATAATAAAATCCTTGACAAATAAGAGGACATTGGTTTTTAATGTATTTTAAGAATTTAAATTTACTTTTAAAAATAATATTTATTATATAACGGTCGGATTTAAATGAAACTTTCTTATAAACAAGTATTTAATAAGTTCGATTTTAATTTAATTAAGTAACTAATTTCTTCTTAACTTGTAGATCAATAAATTGATTTTTTTATTATGATTGCAAGTATTCGGAAGAGTAAATAAATATTGTCATCATACTGCAATGAAATAAATTCTATTATTTGTTATAAAATATATATTTTAGGTAAACAGTTAGACAATACAAACTAGAAATATAATAGTTCTTATCGCTTTATTTACCACGGACACCTGTCAAGATAATTATGTTCATTTGCATACTGTGTAACTATTTTTGTTAACCAACTTCAAAATAAGTGGGTTCTGAATTCGACTGTGAACCTCAGTGAACCATTTTTGGTTCTTTACAGTTCGTCGCACTTGTTATAATTTCATTGAAATTTTCTATTTAAAGTCATTATATCGTGGAGGAAGAATTTTGATACTAACATTTCCGAACAACTTGTGTACATAAAAACCTGTATATACATAATTTATATATATATTCACATCTAAATGATACCCTTAGCACAAGTTTGCATAGTTACTATACACGCAAAGTTTCCCGTTTCTTATTTATATTAATACGAAAATATTGATTGAAATACTGTTAACGTTACGTATAGTCTAACAACGCGGACTTGGGGTGAGCCACAAGCTACTCATGCCTGATATTTGATACTGTGGGAAATATTAGTTGAAAGCATGACAGGTATATTGAGGGCGATTATTTTATTGTACCAGCCTAATATTTATCAGTAGAGTAATATATATGGAATAAGTAATTATATTTAAAACAAAGCTCCCTTTGTTTCTTATCACATCGAACACTAATAAGATTCTTCAAACTCGATGACGCTATTCACAGACGCTTATTAACATATTTCAAAATATCAAGATTCTATATATATATATACAGAAAATCGTTATAAATTACTGTATTTCTTGAATGAATTATACTTATTATATTTGTGTCGCAAGTCCCAGAGACATGCACAATGTTTTTTCATGTGTCGACTACGACAAAATCTTTTAAAATTAATATACTTTATGTGTATAAGTATTTAAAACTTTCAAAATGAAAGCAAATGACTTAATGTCGGTTATTCTACAAGGAACTGATACATTTCATTCTATTAAACAAACTCGTTTGACTATGAAAAAAATAATTTTTATAGATAATTATCTATTTTTTAATAATGAGGTAAAACATTTAAATTATTCTAAATTTTGTAATAACTTTAACGACTTATTTAATTAAGTGCCATGGACTGTTAAATGTTGTGCAATACATAATAAACTTATAGTTCGCCTTCATAGCTTTTAAACCGGTTCTAACACGAAGAAGATTCCATTCAGTATCTAAAATGTTACTGGTTTACTTATTAACTTACAAAATATTTTGATATAACCACATAATATCACATATTTAATAAAGAAGATATCAAAATAATTACTCGTAAAAAAGTTTTTATATGTAATATAGATTATTTTTTTTTTAATTAAATAGATATTTTTTAATTTCTCACCACTTTAGGAACGAGGGGTGTAGATTCCGTTGCAGGCGACCTGCTGGCCGTCAACGATGCCTCCAAACCGTTTTTCTTAGACATGTTTATCTAACAATACACAAAATAATTTAAATCATCAATAATCACCAATATTATGGTCATTTCCTGAATCGACCGGTGCTATAGTTAAGTATAACTTCCGGTTAACAATAGTTAAATTGTACGGTTTCTTACCCGACACAACGCTCAACACATCCGTCCACAACGAAGATCCGAATAAAACTCAATCATGAACTCAACTCAAGTCAACAGACGCTCTTGGCGTAGGAGCGGTTACATTTTTTATACATTTCATATTTAATAGTTCGGAACTATAAAACGACTAATGTTCTCATGTTAATGTTTTGTTTAGATTACATTTTGAGAAAACTATAAACTTAGTTACTATAAAATTACTTTCTTTACATTAAAACATGTTTTGAAACTATCAACAACATATTAGTGAAGGTATCTTATACTAACTTGACTTATACCTTAAACAGTTTGTCAACTACGAGCTAGGTTGCTATAATTCTTATTTTAATATGGTTTATATTAAAAAATTAAAATAAATAATTATTACCAGTTTCCCTTAATAATATTTTAAAAATATGAAGTGTTAATCTTTTATAAATATTGAGTACTTAAATTACAGCATAATACAGAATGTAAAATCAAATTAATTAAAAAAGTTTTTAGTATTATATCTTTCTCAACGCTATTCTTCTAAAATTCAACTAATTTATTTTAGAGAGCCTGATATTAAAACATAGCAAAGACGTAACAAGGATACTTAGTTTCTACGTTTATTCTCAATTTTCGCATACAACATTGCAGAAATATTATAATTTGTTGCTTTTTACATATTCGGTTATTATTAATTTATAATATAGTTCTATAATTTATATTTCTATTTCGTTTATCAAATACGGCTTCATTTCAATCTACTATGCTGGTATTTTCATAGCACTAAAAGATAGAATAACAATAATGGTACATATACATATATAATTATATTTAACTACCCTCACCAATTGGCATCAAAGTTATTGTTGATATTCAGCGTTGCAGAGTAATTATTTTATAAAGAAAAAATAGATGACAATGGAAAGAGATAAGAAATTTTTTTAAAGAACAGACGAATTACTTTATTTCATAAAAGAAGCTTACTTTAGCATGAACATCTAAAAACAAGTACTGATAAAACTTACGTTAAAGCTTTGAGCAATGTTACTATTAGCAAGGAGAATGGAGATATACCACAAAAGGGTTATGACATAAAAAATATTGTAAAATTTGAAGGGTTTTACAATACCTAAATTTTACAATCAATAAATTTAATATTTTTTCGCATCACACATTTGACTTAAGATGCATAAAAAGAAACCGAAAATTATTCATAGACAATATAAATCGATTAAATTTCAGAGTGCGGTGACCTTCACAAATCGTATAACATAAACGTATATATTTTACTTGGTCGTTTAATCCTATGTGTCAAATAAGATAAATGCTATAAAATCTCTATCAAGTATCAAGTATCAGAACCGTAATAAAACAGCTAAATTGCTAATGACGACGAGATTGTGGAAAATTTTATTAATTTAATTCTATTACAGTTTATTTATTGTCTTTTTCGTTAATATGTTATCATTACCCGTCATCGTTGGAACCATGACAGACTAGAAGACTAGGTATTTAAATCTTATTTTTAGCTTGTTTATCAATCCTTTTGTGTTATGTGTTCGCTTTTAATGAAAAATTATATTTTTGAACAAAGATTTTAATGCTAATATTGTAATTTTATGCACATGCTGATCTTAATTTGGAATGTAATTGTGTCTATTGATTGTAAGAGCATACTTGAGTGTAACAAAAGTTCTTACGAAAGGATAAAAATCAACAAAACAAAGCTAAAACAAATAGTAATTTTTATTATTTCTGTTAAGATTTCTGGACAGCTTAATGAAAATTTATTGTTTAGTACAACTGGTGCAATGGTGACCTAGGATATTGAAAATAAATTGGTTTAAAAAGTAATTATGATTCATCATGAATCTGTTTGAAATCATTGTACTTTCTAATAAGCATATCCTCTTTATATTTTTATTTTGATAAGCAAAGCGAACTGTTTTGATTTTAAGCCAAGCACATTAATTTGCTGTTATGTTTTTGGTTTAAATATTGTTTTTTGGTACTCAATAATACTTTATACAATATATTTCATACCAAGAAGGGTTTGATATGGATTAAGAAGTCAGCCTAGAAGAAATTAATTCACATTAAATAGTATTAAAATCAAAATATATGCATTTAAATTGGAAATACTTTTTATCCAACACATATGAAAGAACAATGTAATGTTGACAAAAGATATGGTTACTATTTCTAATGTATCTTTGATGTATGATATCAATTGTTGCAAATGTTGCGGGCAATTTTTAAATGATTCAACAAGGGCACTACTATAATAGACAGTTTATTCCGCTGTTGCTACAAGCTCTTGTGAATTAGTCAATATGGCCGAGCGATGTTTAATTGAAAAAGAGTTCAGCCGATCAGTATACTATCAAGTGGACAATAAATGCTGCTTTTTTCATACAATAGTTATATGTTGTTGTTAGTTTAATGACAAATGTTTTTGGTATCGTTACTTAATTTGATATGTTCTTTTTTTGTAGGAAACATGTTGCGGATTGGAATTTTGCCTTACAATGTATTTAGAGGTAAAGCTTTTAATTTATGTATATCAAACTCATTGTTAAGCTTTGTAGCAACATTTTAGATGACTATTCATTTTCAATCATATTATTATTTTTACACAGCTTAATGCTTCCGCATAATACATTTTATATATAATAGCATAGCGAACCGGCTAAATCTCGTGTCTCTTAATGCAATGCAAGCATACACATAAGAATTACAAACATATAGATGGTTTGAATCAAATATGTTTTTGCCACTTACATCATGATACCACAGTTTTAGCATTAATTGTTTGTGTATTTTTTTGTTTCAATTTTAGTGAAATAATCACAATCCACCATAGAAACCTAGCAGAATAGCTTGTATTCAATATGATGACTTCCGAAGAGTCAGACTCTTTGAGTAACATACCGTCAGATGGACATCCTGAGGATGCATCAGGTTTGTAAACATTGGTACAATCATCAGCAACCACATCATGATTTATTATCTATATCTTTTACATGTGTATAAAAAATTAATTTAATACATGTAAAACATATGTCTAAATCATTTTATCATACTTTTTTTCTTTTCTGTTTTGCTTTTATCTGTTAGTGATAATTAAGATGTTATTATGATAATATATTTTTAATCTGTTTTTCCGTCCTAAACCTTAGCCGATAGAAGTTCTTGTGTTTTAAAAGTATTATGGTTCATAACGCAACCAAACAATTAGAGATCACTGGTGCATGTTGCCACAAAACCACTCACTACAATTTTATAAGCTATACATTTATTAGACTTCATTGTATTATCCCACTTCAAATGAGGAGGTTATGTTTTTACGACAAAAAATTCTGATTCGTGTTGTATACAAAAACTACAGAACCGATAAAAACAAGTAATTAAAGTTGGAAATAATTTTTATTACTTTGAGTATTTAACAAGTTAAACTGTATATTATAATAAATATTTCCTCTTATACATAATTATTTATTATCTTTCAACAGTGTCGGGTACAGAGGAAGCTCCATCATCCATGGTTTCAAGTGAAGCAGAGTCAGAAGGCAGTGTGGTGTCTGAATCACGTCATGAGACTGCCCTCGCTGACCAAGACTCGAGCTTCCTTGATAAGACAGCCACAGATGTACGTGCTGTTGGCAGCACATTGGCTTCACTTGTATCTACAAGAGGTAAAGAAATATACATATATTTGAATGTATCATATATATGTAAAAAAATTAATGTTAGTTACACTATTTGTAACTCAAGAAAGCTGTACGGATTTGGATGAAAATTGGTGGCTTAGAACATATGTAGAAAGGACATTGGATACTTTTCATATGATAGCGAAAGAAAAATATAATTTGAACAAATCCAAAACATTCTTATCTACTGTAAAGAGGAATAGAGTTTACCGGTCAGCTATGCATTTCTAATTCTAAAACTATTGCAGACGAAGTCGCGTGCAAAACTAGTGTATAATCAAACATATATGTACATTTCAATTAACATATAATGACATATAAATTTGAATAGGTTTACCTAATGCAACTTAGAAAAATATTTGTTTTGAAACTCGTACTCATTATAAAATCAATGGGCACTACTGTGTAATAGTTACTAGGTCTGTATATAATTTTATTGCTGACCTTGATATCTACCCATTCATTAGTTCAAAGCTATATCAATTGATGGTTCAGTATTAATCAATACATATAAAATGTATAGAAAAAAATATCATATATAATGCACTTGAAAGTCCACACTTCAAAGAAGAAATTTATAGAGAACTAGAAGACCCGGCGAACTTCGTATCGCCCTATAATCAAGAAATATCTATTACGTTTTTTTACTTATATTTTTGAAGTTTACCTGTAAGCCAAAAATCTCCGTGTTTTGAAGTGCGACAGAATGATTGACATATTAGTTAGTTGTCAAATCTAATGTCAAAAAAAAAATAACGTTTGTATGGGAAATAGAAAAGGGCTGTTTTTATGGTTTTCCCAGTAATGAATAAAAAATTCTCAGCTTTTATACCTTCCCTGAACCTCCGCGAACATTTCAAGACTAAGATAAGATAAATCCGTTCAGCTGTTCTCGAGTTTTAGCGAGACTAAGGAACAGCAATCCATTTTTATATATATAGAAGATATATAATCAGAATCCTACTAATATTATAATTGCAAAAGTTTGTGAGTGTGTGTATGTTTGTTACTTCTTCACGCTCAAACGGCTGAACCGATTTTGATAAAATTTTGTATACAGGAAGCTGACGTCCAGGAATAACATATAGGCTACTTTACATCTCGGAAATCCGCGGGTAACACCGCGGGGTGGAGCTAGTTTGTGATAAATTTATTATTCTGGTTCAAGGGTCAATGCTGCCATGGGGTCCCAACAAGGGCGCCATAATGCCGACAGCTGATTCTGACCTTCGACCCGGAGAATTTGTGATGCGACTGCTGTTCACAGAGTTCACGGTTCAAGCTGAGAGGAAAATGGAAGCCGTCATGGCAGAACAACTGGTATGATGATATAAAATATATAAATAAGTATATACTAATAGCTGACCCGCAAACGTTGTTTTGCCATATAAAAAATTTAGGGTTGTATGTATTATTAATGCCATTATAAAAAAATTAAAATAATAGACCAAAAATTAAAAAATAAATTAATTGTGACCAACCGTTATCACTAAGAGGTATAAAAAATAGATATTAGCCGATTCTCAGATTACTGAATACGCATATATAATTTGCTAAGATAAAGCCTTTTCGATGAGTATGGTAACTGATATTGTGACATAGAAATCTTATATATTAGATTATTTTGTTCTACACTTATATCTGTATTATGTTGCTTATGATTATTCCATATAATTACAGGAAAAGCCATTGAACAAAACCCTTCAAAGAGGAGAGGATCCCCAATTAGATCAGATTCTGTCAGCCTTTGGTACGGTTGCCGAGCACTGTCTACCATCACTTTTAAGAGCCTTGTTTGGTTGGCTTGAACGGCAAATGGCTGAATCACCACAACTTAATGAACAAACAAAGAAACCTCACCAGGATCTAAAGAATAAAAGGTGCTTTTGAAACATATAGAATACAAAAGAATTAAAAATATAATATCCAAATATTACATACATTAATACTAATTAGATTAAAATATGATAATTAATGGCAATATAATTTAATAATTATATAATCTATCTGTTATGTTTATATGTAATTTTGATACATGGAAATATATAGAATACTTTTTATATGTTTCCAGTATAATCCACATAGTATCAGGCAGTGGGGCCGGTACAGAACAGGTTGAAAGAAGTTCAGAGGAACTTCAAGCGGAGAGGCGAGATCTTGCTGTAGAATTTTTGTTCTGCCTGGCTCTGATAGAGGTGTTAAGACAACTGCCATTCCATCCCGGCCATGAAGATCTAGTGCATTACATAGAAAATGTTGCCTTCAAGAGATTCAACTATAAAGAAGGGTGAGAAGATATAAATGATATATATTATTGTATTTAATAAGGAATATAAAAGACCATCCATATAGATTATGAGTAAAAAAAGTCTAAGCAAAATATATCTCAGTTATGCAAACATTTTTCATGTAGAATTAACTATCATTATCTTCTTCTTCCTGGAAATTTCCCAGCTTTAGCCAGGGTCTGCCATTATCATATCTGTCTAATTATCATTATCATATCATAATTAATGATATAAATAAATGTATCTATCATCATTTTATTTCCAGGTTGCAGTCAAATCCCAACGCAGCTAATGTTCACATCATAGCCGATTTGTATGCTGAAGTTATCGGTGTATTGGCTCAATCCAGATTTGCGTCTGTCAGGAAACGTTTTACAGCGGAATTGAAGGTTAGAAAAGGCCTATGATAAAACTATATGCTATTTATTTTGAAGCAACAAATTTGATGTATATAGATTTGTGATGTAAAATAGTAGTCAAACAAATTATTTTGTATGTTAATATATTATGTGTACTTATTATTTTTTATTTTATAAGGAGCTGAAAAGTCGTGAACCATCGCCGCACACTACTCAGAGTATAATATCATTGTTAATGGGTATGAAGTTTTTTCGTGTGAAGATGGTTCCTATAGAGCAGTTCGAAGCGTCATTCCAGTTCCTACAGGAATGTGCTCAATACTTCCTTGAAGTTAAAGACAAAGATATTAGACACGCACTCGCTGGATTATTTGTTGAAATACTTGTGCCTGTGGCAGCGGTGAGTTGATTCTTGATTTTACGTTTTTTAATATAGTTTTATGGATGTTTTTGGAAATGTTTTTACGGCTATGTAGATATAAGTCCGTTTGAGATTTTATTACAATATAGAATTATAGTTAAGGCATGATTGCACTTATGCTATCGTATGTAAAAAATGTTATTGCTCGAATTGTATAATATATTTTTTCTGGTGTTTATATTTCTATTTTAATATATTTACAGACTGTCAAAAACGAAGTGAATGTTCCATGCTTGAAGAATTTCGTGGAAATGCTATACAGTCATACTCTAGACGCGAGTACGAAATCAAAACATCGCCTGGCGTTGTTCCCTCTGGTTACTTGTCTACTCTGTGTATCTCAGAAGCAATTTTTCTTGGCGAATTGGCACTGCTTTCTGGCTATGTGTTTGTCTCATCTAAAGAATAGAGATCCAAAAATGTGCAGAGTAGCTCTTGGTAAGATTTGGGTATATTAAGTTTTTTGGGACAATAAATAGAGCAATTTTAAATGTAATCTTTTTTTACAGAGTCTCTGTATCGACTGCTATGGGTGTACATGATTCGCATCAAATGCGAAAGTAATTCGGCTACCCAATCACGTCTTCAGAGTATCGTCAATTCGCTATTCCCCAAAGGTTCCAAAGGTGTTGTTCCAAGGGACACTCCACTGAATATATTCGTCAAAATAATACAGTTTATATCGCAAGAGAGATTAGACTTTGCGATGAGAGAAATAGTATTCGATCTTCTTATGGTCGGAAGGCCGATTAAGATAATTCTTACGCCAGAGAGAATGTCAATAGGACTCCGAGCGTTTTTAGTTGTCGCAGATAGTTTGCAACAAAAGGAAGGCCAGCCGCCAATGCCACGTACATCTGGAACATTACCTTCGGGAAACACATTGAGAGTAAAGAAAACCTTCTTAAACAAAATGCTGACCGATGAAACAGCGAAATCCATCGGCATGAGCGCATATTTCCCATTCGTCAGAAGAGTTTTGGTGGAAATACTAAGAGCATTAGATGCACATTACGGTAGACCGTTGATGTTGACCAATACACAGAATGTAACCAAAGAACAGGAAATTAACACTGGGGAGAGGAAACCTAGGATAGATTTGTTTAGGACGTGTGTAGCAGCTATACCGAGGTAAGAAAAATACGAAAGTTTATTTTATTATTAAAATATTGAATTAAATTAGAATTTGATTAAACTTTGCTATGATGTAGCCTACAGCAGATACTAATATTTTTCGGAATATTTTACGACTATTTTATTATTTAAAAACTGCGTCCTCCCGACGTTTTGGTTACTTTTCAGTATCCTTAATAAGCGTAGTGTAATCAGAAAAAATCATTTTAATTAATATCTACTCGCGAAAGTCTTAGATCTCATTATGTACATAATAGTTTATTTATAAGTGTTTTTTCATAAAGGACACTTTGTGAAAGTAGTATTTTGTTAATAAAGTGTGTTTGAGTAAATTTCTCTGCCAGTTGATTACCACATCTATTTTATTTAATTTCTCTCTAAACCTTATTTCTAACTATAAACTTGTTTTAAGTTACCTGGAGATATACATACATATAATAAGTGCCCAAAAAAATACAGTTTGTGTAAAAAAACATTTGCTAGAAGTTTCTTTGTTAGAACTTTGAGAGAAGTATTTTAATCATATTTATTTTCCAGGTTAATTCCAGAAGGTATGAGTCCTAGTGAGTTAGTGGATCTTCTGTGTCGTCTGACTGTTCATATGGATGAAGAGCTTCGAGGTCTTTCCTTCCAAAGCCTGCAGACTCTTATAGTAGACTTTCCAGAGTGGAGGCAGGATGTACTGGCTGGCTTCACGCAGTTCTTAGCTAAGGAGGTTCAGGTAAACATATACTACAACTATACTCAATGTTAACTCTGCTTTAGAAATTGGATGTAATATAGTCGGGGATAGTGTGAATCCGCGTTACTACCATTGGATAATTCCGCGTACATTGGAAGCAGAATATCAGAAGAAAGTTTCAGCTGAAATATTTTATATATAAACGACTTGTAGGGTATTTTTTTCACAATTAGTAATTATTTTATTATTAATTTTTTTTAAATTAATTTATTACTAATTGTAAAAAATATATCATCGTTTGTGTGTGTCTCAATACGGTACAGAACTAAATCTATTTTTATAATAATTTTCCATATAAGTTATATACATAGACTACTCTGGTTTAAAGCATGATCACCGAAACATTTATATATTTTCACGTATTTATCTCTACTTTTCAATATATTTTTCCATCCAAAGGTGTTCTCAACTCGAATAAAATGCACATCGTTATATTGTCTAGTACAACAAAGAGACCAAAACTTGTCACATAAATTAACATGACGTATAAGTGAGATTTTATTATACATTTGATATTTCCAGGACACATCTCCACAATTGGTGGAGAATGGTCTTCGGATGCTGCTGCAATTGGTTACCAGTTGGAAGACAGGCGAGGGTGCAGCCAAGGAGTTAGCAGCGGTAGTGAGGGGTGCTGAGGCATTGGCTCTAGTGATGTTGTGCCAGTGTAAATCATATCCTAGACGACTGGCAGTGCATATACTTAGGTATGAATATACAGGGTGACTGGTGAATTACTATCAATATTTAAGGAGCATACTCAGTACATGATTCTCATTCGAATTATGTAAAAAAAATAGGTACTTAATTTTTGACCAAATTTCCGTATAAATAAATAAAGTGTGTACACGTTCCAAGTGTTTCAAGTGTGTACGCGTCAGGCGGCGTGCTGATACAACAACACGCCGCCGCTTAGAACTAGGAGACAGACATTGGATATTTAATGCTATTGATCGAAATTGAAAAAATTTAATAAAATTCCAATATATACATAATTATTTATGGCCTCTAGAGTGAAATAAAGTTTGCCTAATCATCTATACATTTCTAATTCTAAAACTGATTCAGACTAAATCGAATAAAACCTAGTATGATATAAATGCTTTATGGTTACACCATTATATTAGAATCTTTCGAGTCATTAACACTAATATACTTCCAGAGAGACGAAATGTCTTCTTGAACGTCTATCTTTAAACCGTGACGAGCCGGCGCTGATCGACGCTGCCGATGCTCACGTGCCATACTTCACGGAGAAATGCCTCCCAATACTACCGCCGGCAGAGAAACAAGCTGTGTTAGCCGCGGGTCAACCTGACCTCGTCTGGGTGGCTGAGAGGAACCACGCCGTATGGACAGCCGGTGAGATAATTGACCTATAGCCATAGAGCTTGGAACATTTACACAGTTTGTGTTTGTAAATGGACCATAGATCTTGTTACCGATAGAGAGTTTCTTCGTTGCTAAATAGTATGGAATAACCCTGACTTAGACTTATATTCAGACTTTATAAGACCGCTGGTGAGATAATTGACCACAGAGTTTAGACAGTTTATGTTTGTAAATGGACCATAGGACTTGTTATCGCTAGAGACCAGTGGCGGCTGGTGGGTAATCGAACTGGTGGTGCACTTTACTAAAATATTAAAATTAGAAAATGCAACAATAACGAAATGTCAAAAACGGCCGGCTCATTTCGTCATACATCGGGTGCTCTCGGCAATCTTCGGTCGCTCGTGCGGCGCTCGAGAACGGAATCATTACTCGGTACATTTCTATGAACTATCTTTTGTTTCACGCGTCAGGCGTATTAGTTCGTATCTCATACAAGATGTATTAGGAGTCCTCGTGCGCTCGCCGTAGCGCAAGATATTAGTTTAGTAAAGCGCTCAAACTTTTTGACCATAATTACAAAATTTAATTTTTTATACGTTTTTATATGGCTAAAAAATAAATATTAAAATGGTAATTTAAAAATACAGATGGAATAACATTTTGTAATTTTTAAATCTTTTGACTTGGTGGTTCAGCGCACGAGTGCACTTAAGGTACAGCCGCCACTGCTAGAGACGTTCCTCGCTAATAACTTCATGTCTGTTCAAATAGTTTAGAATAAACCTGATCTTAGGCTTTTAGATTGTTAATAAGATCTATATGTTTAGGTTTGCAACACGACGACACTACATCCAAGAACAGTTGGAGCGGAAGTTCATCAAACGGCGCTGATCCTTGGGAGGTTGGGAATATTAATATTATTATACTATTAATAATGTAATAGATATCTATATGTAGTCTGTTTGATTATTAGGTAGTGCTGTTTGGACTATTGGAGCGTAGTCGCGTGCCAGCGCAATGTCCCGCCACTATACTACAAGCCTGGCCGATACTACACGCTCGAATACACGCACTATACACTATCATAGAACCAGCGTTAGTATAATATATAGTTTACTAGAAGATCCGGCGAACTTCGTATCGCCCTATAATCAAGAAATATCTGTTACTTTTTTTTATTTATATTTTACCTATTAAAGCCATAAATCTCCGTGTTTTGAAGTGCGACAGAATGATTGACATATTAGTTAGTTGTCAAATCTAATGTAAAAAAAAACGTTTGTATCAACAACTACTAATAAATTAAAAATTAAGTAAAAAACATTGTCCAGTGGACAAAATTGTGAGTCTAAACCATTCCCAGATCCCCTTAAACACACACAAAAAATTTCATCAAAATCGGTCCAGTCGTTTGAGAGAAGTTCAGTGACATACACAGTCACAGAAGAATTATATATATATAAAGATATGAAGTGAATTTTATTAACATTGAATAATTTTCCAGGCCGGTGAATGATAATAGAGCTTCTTTACTATCACGTGGCCCAGCTCTTCCTAGGAAACCAGAGAAAGAGCGCGATGGATATATGCAAGTCTGGAAGTATTACATGACCATGGCATATCTCGTGGTACCGGCTGTACCAAGTCCAGTAATAAGATGCGCCAGCCCAGATTTAAGTCTCAGGTACAAACAACATAAAATATATTCGGACTGTTCTATATAAGAATAACAGCATCCCCATAATGCACTCCTCACTGAGATTTTTAACTATCGATCCTATTGAACAATGAATAACATTATTTTTTAATTAACTCTTATTATGAATACAAACAATAGTTACTATAGTCACACGTCACACAGACAGACGAATGTCACACATATATATATAGCTTATTATTGACATTTATATGATATGTAATTTTGTTATATATATATATTTTGATTGCATTATTATGTTGATGATAACCCAAGTAGATGTCCCTATTTGCTGTCGTGTGAAGTTACGTTTTTGCTACACAATTGTGTCTGTATAATATAGTCCCATAGATATGATATTCCCATACTATGAATGCGATTGATACTCACACACATATATATTTATATTAATATATTTTTTTATTTAATAAATGGCCGAAGCTTCGTCCGACAGAGATATTTATATTGTCGTTTACCGATATGACAGCATCCGAAGTGGTGGATTGAATTGTTCGATAGCTGTGATTGGTGGTTAATATGATAGTGTTCCGTGATTGGTCGTAGCGCTGATGCGGAGCGCCATGATTGGAGCGCTCCAGCGCTGAGCTCGTCCAGCGAGAGCCTCAACGCGCCGGGGGGTTTCTTCACGCTGCCCCTAAGCTATGCGCGCTCGCACAGGCACAAGCGGACGAGGTGGCCCCATGCACGTCCCATCAAACTATCCGAGCTTTATCATTGTCTATGTGAAGAAGCACCCATGGCACCGCTATAGCATCCCATCGATACTAAGATATATATACTCGGGCCCTTCAAATTCCATCACACGCATAGACGAATCGTTCAAGAACTACCCTCACATCCTCGAGGGTTCATTGACCTTTTGTTTGTCGAATGTAACTAACATTGGTTGGTTCGTACCACGAGAGATGCTATCGCAAAACTATCTGTAGGCTATGAACTTCGTATGGCAGCATTCTATTGCTATGTATATGCATGTAATCATATTTATATACCCATTTACTTATTTACACACACACACACACACACACCTACACACACACACACACATACAGACGGCCAGTTTTACATCAGCTGCTTGATTTTCTTTTATATCTAATATCATTACTTGTACATTTCTGTTCACGGATAGCGCGCTCTTCCTATCTGCGTGTCCGGAAACGCTATGGGGGTAATGAGTATAGAAACATACATTAATACATACATGCATATTATTATATATGTATATAATATATGTATGTATGTAATACAATGAATTAATGTATGTTAAAAATTTGATATTCGACGTTAGTGTATTGTGATATTCATGATAGATTTTTTTAATATTATTACACGCACATTTGTATCATAGTTATTCTATTTCAATACTGAAAGTTTTTTTTTTGTATCAAATTATGAATTTGCGTGTATGATGCTAGCTCTGTAGTAAAATCATGATATCGGCCCACGTCGGTCAATTCTCGCATGTAATGTTGCCGAATTCATTTTATTTAGACTCTTGATGTACACGCACCATCGCACTCATCAGTTTTGTATTTATACGTAACACAAACACGCAAGCAAACACACATGATCCAGACGAGTTCGACATACAAATATCTACCTTATTTCGAATTAAAATACTGGCTGATATCGTATGAGTATGTTCAAAATATTCCTATTATATTTCAACGTACACAATTCTAAGTTATCATGTTGGTTAAGGAAAATTGTAATTGTTAATTCACATAACACAATTTAACACTGGCTCTTAGATAACATTTCCATGTTGTGGTGTAATCAGTCATAGCCATAGGCGTTATTTGTTCTCACACCATGGTTATATGGTTATTGTCTTATCGTGTTCAATACATGCTTTAACTTAGAATAGTTTGTGTTTAGTTTTTTTCTATCGATGCCTGCAAATTCACATCAAAACCTAGCTGACATCACATGATTTCAAAAGTTTTGTAGTTTGATGTTTGGTTAATATAAAAAAAATGTTAGTGATAAAGAAAATACTGTTCAGGTAAAAGATTATTACATATTTGTTATGATGTTTGAATGTATTATAATGGGTCAAAATAACGTGTAGCTCGTCCCCGGATTCATTGAGTGAACGCAGCGGTGGTGAAGGGCGTGGCCAGGCCTCGCCGGCCTCCCTCCACAAGCTCGCGGTCCCTCTGGCGAGGTGTGAGGTCCCAGAGGTCCGGGACGCGGCTGTCTTCGCATGTGGACACATTAACGCGGAGGCCTTAAAGTTAGTGTCATATAAATGGATACTTACAAGTTACAAGATAGAGATAAAATCATAAAGAGAGAAAAATATTACTAATACTATGTATAATTGCGAAACTTTGTGAGTGTGTGTGTCTGTTACTTCTTCACGCTCAAACGGCTGAACGAATTTTGATAAATTTTGTAAACAGAAGCTGACGTCCAGGAATAACACATAGGCTACTTTACATCTCTGAAATCCGCGGGTAACACCGCGGAGCGAGCTAGTCATTACAATAATTAATAAATGACAATTATATCAGTTTTAATGGTTATGGGATTTTTTTTATATACTCATATTATATCTTTAGGGATCTCTTCGAAGAGTTGGTACCTTTGCTAAGAGAGGCTGTTGACCGGAAACAAGAGAATATGCGTCGCCGTAGACGCAGAGATGCTTTGAGACTTCACCTGAACAAAATGCTACTCATTATAGCTCAGAGGAAGACATTTGCTACCAGGTACATGGTAACAAGTATTATTAATTTATATATTATTACAATGGATACTCTCAAAGAACAAAGAGACATCTGTATTTAAAAGCATTGCATTTTTTGTGGTCTATGTAATAACACTCAGCAAAAGTATCTTACTTTTTCATATAATTCATTTTCACTGTCAAAAGCGTTTCTTACGAGAGATAAGTTATCCTTTCAGCATGACATTTCTTTTATAATAACATAACTATATCTACTTTTAGTACTACTAACTCTATCTATCTAATGGTACTTTAATACATATAATAATCATGATTGATGTTTCTATCAGTTCATATGCTCTGGAGGGTGGTGGGTTACACTCCAGCATCACGGAATATCTGGACGGTGTACGTCAATGTTTGGAAGTAGAGGCTGAGAAGGACGCGCCCGCTGCCAGAGAACAAAGGCTCACCTTCGCTGACTTCGTTACAGAGCTCATTAAGAGTTTCCCACGTGAGTTGGGCCTACCACAATCCTAATCTATACTAATATTATAAAGCTGAAGAGTTTGTTTGTTTGTTTGTTTGAAAGCGCTAATCTCCGAAACTACTGGTTCGAATTAAATAATTCTTTTTGTGTTGGATAGTCCAGTTATCGAGGAAGGCTGTGGGCTATATAACATCACGCTACGACTAATAAGAGTAAAGATATGGAGGTAAATGTGTAAAAACGGGAGAAATTATTTCATCTTTGAAGCCTTCCGTTGCGTGCGCCGTGAAAACTGTTCAAGATACACTAAAAATATGTATTAAAGAATAATAGCTCTTTTAATGATCTAAAAAACAGTCCGCGACAGTATATGTCTATGTATATTCTATTCTATGTCTATCTTTTAAGATTAACTCACAAAAACCATTTTTATGGTACCTAATTTTGTCGAAATAAATTGTTTAAGTTGTATCAACATAATAATATTAATATTTATTCAAAAAAACAAATAAATATGTTGTTTGCTAAGAGTACTTCATTATTAATTTAAAAAAAAACAGGTTTTATCCTGAATATTCTACGGGAACTCGACCATTCCGAGAACCCCGCAAGAACGGGAACTATGTGGGAAGAACCAAAAATCTGTCGGAAGTAACTATTCCACGCGGACGAAGCCGCGGCAATAGCTAGTCTATTATATACTAGCTTTCCGCCCGCAGTTTCGCCCGCGTGGAGTTCGGTTATATTGCGTTTCCAAGAGAACCTTTCAAAAGTCTAGGATAAAAACTATCCAATGTTCTTTCTCAAGGTCAACTCCATCTCTGTACTAAATTTCATTAAAATCAGTTCAGTTGTTTAGGCGTGAAAGCGTATTTTCCATCGTTTATCCCCCGCAACCCCACTTGTGGCTGGAATTACATAAAATCCGTTCTTAGCTGACCTCTACTCGGCGAAAGGAATAATCCTACCAAATTTCAAGTCGCTACGCCTTATGGTTCAATAGATATCGTGATGAGTCAATATATATATTTTTTATATATAGATTTTTTTGGTAGTGAGATTTATGTTAATATTTGAGTGTTTCCAGTGGAAATGTACGGGTCGTTGTTGAAGCGAGAGCTTTGTAAGAGCTTGTTCGGTCTGTTCGCTGGCTGGTGCGGGCCTTTAGTGAAACATTTGGGAGCTCTGGTGACACAACCTGCTACCACAGAGGTCGATGAGAGACTGAACCTCTCAGCGTTAAAGGTGACATCTTATACTACGTGAAGAAGAGAATATTTGGAACTATTTATATAGCATTTGATTCACTGGAGTTGTAAAAAACTATAATAGCAGAATAAATATTAAAATTAATATGCATACTTACAGAATAGTGAGTTTTATGAAAAAATCAGACAGTATTTAATTTTGAAGATAATTTTTAAATTACAATGTCTGACAAGTTCGAGTGTTGTATATTTTCTATTTAGTTTAAGAAATGTATGGTAGATTTATTTGATTTGTTCGAGTATTGTAATTAGCAACCTAGAAGATCTAGTCTTTACTTAGGCCGTTATAATTTAATTACGGCTAATTAGGCGTAGAACTATATGAAGTTATTTAACTGATGATAAACGAAAAATAGAAAGGAGTTCTGGCTTCGCTACATTTACAATATTCTAAGTAAAAATTACATTTAAAGACTACAATATATAATGAATTTGACGGATTTATTTTCCAAAATACTTTAATATGTATAGGGATGTTTGTTATTCTTTTAACTTTGAAACTGAAACTCACTGAACGGATATCAAAGATAAATCAAGAAATAAAACTTATGATTCATATATAAATTACAAATGTTTTTATTGGAATTTCATAACAGATGTATTTTGGATGAAGATACATGACTCGATGGCTAGATGGCGCTGCTAGTTGCTGGACTCAACTATTTTCATTGATTTCACATTAGTTTTATAATGAACTTGACTACGGCATATTATGTAATACATATATATTGTTAGTATTTACTATATATGTATATTTTAATAGGCGATGAGCGCGTTGGTGTGTTGTGGTCCCTGCTTCGCTCCGAACGCCCTCGCCGAAGACGGCTCCCTCTATCCTTGGCTCAGTGAAATGTTGTCATCGACTAACGACAAGGTAATTGAAGGAAACATACACATATAACAATAAAACACTACTTCCTAATAATATATATCAAATAATATAAAAATTTGTATTTTTATTATGACATGAACGCCCAAAAGGCGTTGTATCTAAAGTAGATTTGTGAAGATTTGGGATTTATGATAATGTTCTAGGCAGTATTCAAAAGTATTAATCAAACCTATAGGTTGGGTTACAATACGCTCTAAAAGTTACAAAAAATCCCCTAAAACAATTAGTTCATGTAGAGAAACGTAATGCTTGTGGAATATCATGCCCTTTATCTAATCATCACACAAACAAACTATAATTATACAATACATTCATTTATCCGACGGATTTTGTTGATCTTATTCATACGAATAGAACAAATTTTCATATAATATATGAATGACTTAATTTATAGGCAACAAAAAACTTATGTTACCTTTCTAATGTATATAATATTTTCTAGGTGTACGAGTTAGCGCGTGAGACTATAGTATTACTACTGGACTGTAACCCTGACATAGGACCACTTTTAGATTGGACTGTAGACAAGTGCTTCACTGGTCCGCCGAGGGTCGCCGACGGCTGCTTCATGGCGCTAGCGACCATATTCAGTGCCAGGTGGGTAAAAAATACTATAACACCTTTTAAACTTTACATAGCGATCTGCGATGTCTTCTAAATTGAGAAGCAAAGCATCCCCAAAAATATAAATGATTTTTTGTCTATGTATATGGTAATTAAGATGTGTTTTCCATATTGTGAAATTACCTTTATTTGTGGTATTTGTGCTAATTGCAAATAACCAATTAGGTTGATATTGAAGTGCATCATAGTTAATTATCGAACTATTGGATTGTTTATTAAGGCATCCTTATTAGTTATTATAATTTGTTTACTACATTCATTTTACACTAGTTATTACACGTGGCTTCGTCCGCGTTTTTTGATATAGTAGAAAATTTTAGTGTTCGAAACGACACAATTCGTTAACCATAAATTTCATATAGAATCTTTATATGAAATAATAAATATTATAATTATTTACTATGAGTTATTTCATATGGATAAAATTTGAAAACAAATTGTTTTTTTTAATTATTCACTAATGTATCACAATTAGAAATGAGCTTTTCTATGCGTGATGCGGAAATATCTTAAGCCTTCATAATATTGTAGCTTATTCAGATTTACTAATACCTTAATTTAATTAAGTTTTCTTTTATTATGTTTGTTTCAACGCTAGATATAATTAATTGTTATTATACAAATATCATCAAAAGTACCTATACATATACTGATAGATGCTTTTTTTAATGTTGTATATAAATATTTAGCGCGTTTTTTGAAAATATTACTCTTAATATACATATCTGTAACTAAATGAATCTCGGACACAAGCATCGATATAAACTTTTAACGTACAACGAATATGACAAAATCATATTAAGGTAGAACATTAAATAGTTAAAGGACTTTCATTTATGAGTTATCATGTAACTACATATAGTTGTTTTATAAATATTGTACGCTATTTAATTACTTAGAGGCGAGATTGTATATATAAAATGTATAAATTAGCAAGATTAATCTAATATATAAATAAATATAAAATTTCCATACCACAATGGTACTAACCGTACTCCTACGAAACGGCTTCACCGATTTTACCAAATTTTATATTCGTATTCAGTAGGTCTGAGAATCGGTTACTATCGATTTTGCATACCCGTAAATGCTAAGGATTGTTCACCCTTAATTGTTTTACAAAATTTTTTGTTTTTATATTTTATAATGTGACAATCCTACATTTTATTTTTTCATCACCAACCTCTACTTTTGCATATAGCTAAAAAACGTTTGCCGGGTCGTAGTAGTATAGGTGTGCCAGAATCTTTATTTTCCCTTCATAACAAATATATGTGAGTATTTTATTCGTTTTAATATGTATGAGCGTCATCTCGGCGAGGATAGTGTCGATGTTTTTAAATTCTCGTACGGTCAACACGGTTCATGGCTAAGTCTCTGTTATATTGAAAACTGAAACTTTAATGTAATACTGCCATTGAAAACCTGTGATAACTTGATGAGAATTTTAACATATATATTATACTAGCTTTCCGCCCGCATCTTCGCCCGCGTGGAGTTGGGTTTTATCGCGTTTCCAAGAGAACCTTTCAAAAGTCTGGGATAAAAACTATCGTATGTTCTTTCTCAAGGTCAACTTTATGTCTGTACCAAATTAAATTAAAATCAGTTCAGTGGTTTAGGCGTGAACGCGTGACAGACAGACAGACAGAGTTACTTTCGCATTTATAATATTAGTTGGGATAGTCCATTTCAATAGAAGTTAGCAATCTTGTAATCAAACAAAGTGACCACGATTACTCTTTTCTTATGTAAAATTGAATGTCAGTCTTGATAATAATTATATCTCAATGAACCCACCACTGTTTTTAACAATAATTTCCACATTAAATATATGTGTATATATGTTTATTTGTTGTACATGATAAATAAATAGTGGATTAGTTTTTGCCCGCGACTTCGTCTGCATTTCTTTCAAAATAAGAAAAGTATAGCTGACCGAGCAAACTCTATTACTCCTTAAAGGCAGTAAATAAGAAGATTTTGGATTTTATCAATTTTTTTACCGGGTTCTGAACTATCTTACTTTTAGCGTAACCCTTAAAGCCGATCTTGAATTATAGATAGTGCAACTGACACGACTTTCTTTTATATATAAATACTAGAAGACCCGGCGAACTTCGTATCGCCCTATAATCAAGAAATATCTGTTACGTTTTCTTATTTATATTTTTGGAGTTTACCTATTAAAGCCTTAAATCTCCGTGTTTTGAAGTGCGACAGAATGATTGAAATATTAGTTAGTTGTCAAATCTAATGTCAAAAAAAAGTTTGTATCAACAACTACTAATAAATTAAAAATTAATTAAAGAAACATTGTCCAGCGGACAAAATTGTGAATAAAACAATTCCCAGATCCCCTTGAACAACACACAAAAAATGTTATAAAAATCGGTCCAGTCGTTTGAGAGAAGTTCAGTGACATACACACTCACAGAAGAATTATATATATAAAGATATTTAGTCTTTTTTATGGATCTTTAACCAACTCTCAAATATTAACAAGATCTGTTCATAACAAACACTACAGTGTGTTCAACAGGTTGTGATGAAAATCAGATGACATGGGCGAGTCAGTTGGAACGCATTGAGATAAAATTTTAGCATTTTAATGCTATTGGGAAGCTAAAAGCTCGTTCTGTATTTCTAAAGCCAATAAAAATCTCACGAATTTTTAACAAAATATGAATAGTTGAAGTATTTTTTTATATAAATACTTTAATCTAATCCCTATAATATTATAAATGCGAAAGTAACTCTGTCTGTCTGTCTGTTTCGCTTTCACGCCTAAACCACTGAACTGATTTTAATGAAATTTGGTACAGAGATAGAGTTGACCTTGAAAAAGAATATAGGATAGTTTTTATCCCAGACTTTTGAAAGGTTCTCTTGGAAACGCGACATAACCGAACTTGACGCGGGCAAAGCTGCGGGCGGAAAGCTAGTAATTAATATTAAAGTATCTTGAAGAGTACTCACATCACTAGGGCCATAGACAAGTCAATGTTTGTTTACGAGATTGCTAAATTCTATTGAAATGAACTATACTAATTTTTGACCGCGACTTCGGCGTTAATTTCGAAATTAGTAATATATATATAGCTGACCGGGCGAACTCTATTCCGCCATAGAGGCCGTCAATAACCAGATATTGAAATTTATTAAGTTTTTTTTTTCTATTTCGATCTAACAGAATTAAATATCCTAAGTCCGTCTTCTGGTTCTAAGCAATTTCCCCGCCAATTTTCATCTGTATCCGTACAACCGTTCTTGAGTTATAAATAGTGTAAATAACACGACTTTCTTTTATATAGAAAGATGTCGTCTCGTGTGAAAATGTAATTATATTTTTTAACCATAACCATATGTAATTATATTATTAGTATTGAATATCCTGTGCAGTATGAAGTACAAGGTAAACATTGTAATCATAATATCTCCGTTCAAAGCAGATACACTGAAGGTTTGATTGCCGCTAGGGCGTTGTTTTTTTTAAGCGCGTCAGATATTGCCTTTTTGAGAGGGGGATCGCATCAAACACTACTTTATTGATTGTCTGAAAGGTTGTTTGTTGACGCTTGTTTTAATCCACTCCGTTGCAGCCTTTGATGCTCTGCACGGAACCATTCGTGCATATGTACAGCAACAAAAAATATATAAACAAACGAATTTCATACTCATCAAAGTAACAGTTTTAATTTCAGTACGTTACATTTGGTAAATATGATATGGGAGAATTTTTAATCAGAAATCTTTTTATATCTGTACATGAAGTTGTTTATTTCGGTGTGTGGTTTATTTGAGTTGCGAATACGGTTGGATTGAAAAGTATATTAATAATAAATGTATTGAAAAGTAAAGATAAATATGCGAAAATAATATGAAAACATGTAAATGTTACTCGGTAACAGTCAGTGGTGGCCTAGTGGTTAAAGGGCCCGCCTCTCGTGCATGAGGGCGCGGGTTCGATCCCGGCAAGTATCAATGTCATTTTTCCGAGTCATACGTACTTTCTAAGAGTATTTAGATACCACTGACTGATGAAGGAAAACAACGTGACGAAACCTGAACTTATAATTTCACAATTATAAGTTTGCTATCACCAACCCGTCTTGAGCGAGCGTGGCGATTAATGCTCAAACCTTCTCCATACGAAAAAGAGGCCTTTGCTCAGCAGTGGGCTCTGATAGGCTGATGAAGAACCATGTTTTAAACCAGATTTGTCTTTGTATATAAGTTATATGAGAAATTTTATCAAAATGGGTTTAGTTTTGTACCGTATTCATACACATAAGCGCTGTTACATATTTACGCATTCATATCTACAATTTTGCTATCGAGATAACAAAGTTAAAAGTTGATGTTGCAGCGACGTAATAATTTTTCTGACTGATATATATATCTTAATCAGAAATCATACATCATATAATTTCTTTTCTCAAAAGCCCGTAAATATATTCTATTAATTAATATATTTAAAATAATAGCAACTATAACAAACTTTGTTAATTTTTAAAAAATACGATTTGTTTTTGAAATAAATTCAGTGCTATTAAAATGACTCTTCGTATGTTTTATAAATAATATAAAAATGTTTTGTGTCGCCTCTCAAACAAACAACACGTTTATTGAGTGCACTCTAAAAAACAAATTGATGATATTTATTGAAAATATTTATTTTTTCATAGTCTTCAGATATAATTAATAGCTTTATAAGTACGTATAAAATGCAATTATTTTTAAGCGTTTCTTAGCGTCTAGTTTTAACTAAAGAAAAAGGATTGCATTACTGCAAGTGTAATTACGTTTAAAGGACAGAAAAACATTATCATTGGACCTGGGACGATCTTAAAGGCGACTCGGATTGCCGGCACCCACTTGTTAAATAGCCATTTAGACTTGCTCATCGATAGTTATTTATCTGTCGAATAGTGTTGCATTACTAGACTTTATAATGAAAGAATATTATCTTTATATATAAAGGAAAGTCGTGTTGGTTACACTATTTATAACTCAAGAACGGCTGTACGAGTTTGGATGAAAATTGGGGAGAGATAGCTTAGAACATAGAAAGGACATAGGATACTTTTCATCCGATTGAAAAAGAAAAAATAGTAAGTTGATCAAATCCAAAATCTTCTTATCTACTGTCTTGAAGGAGGAATAGAGTTCGTCCGGTCAGTTATACATTTCTAATTGTAAAATTAAGGTAGACGAAGTCGCTGGCAAAAACTAGTTAGAGTAAAAAAGAAAACTGTATCAAATAATGATTATTTGATTGTGTTAAATATATTGAATCTTGTTTTACATTCAAGTGATATTATGTTATACGCCAACCTTCGCCACACATCCCTTATAGCATCACGCAAGGTTGCATCATAAGTAACCTTTAGATATGTGAACGTAATAATATTTTCCATGAGAAATTGAATATAACACTAATGAGCTAGTATATATAAAGAGCATGTCTTTTATAATTTATAAGATATTTTATAGGAATAGTAAGTACCTATCATTCCAGCTAGAAGTTGTACGTCACGCGTAGGTAAATTAGCGAAGTAACTAGACGACGAAAAAAATATTAATTTTATATGAAACTAGTTATTGTCTTACTTCGTCTGCGTTAATTTCGTAATTAGTAATATATGTATAGCGGCCGGGGCGAAATATTTTCTTTTTCTATCGAACGGATCGAAATATCGTATGTCTATCTCCTTGTTATTATCTATCTCCTCGCCTATTTTCAACCATTTCCCTACAGCCGTTTTTGAGTTACAAACAGTGTAACTGACACACTTTTTACATATAAAGATTTTATAGGAATTAATTTATATTTCTATAAAAGTACTTACAAGCTATCAAGCTATAAGCTCGTAGGAAAATTGTGTAATGTATGTAAGATAGACAGCGAAAGAATAAATAACTTTTACCTCTTGTTATTCCATGTTGGTAACATAAGTACCTTATTACCCAGGGAGTATCCCTGCGACCATTACACGGCCATCATCAACGTGACTCTGATGTGCACCGGCTGTCCTCGAGCGCCTGTACATGAGAGTGCATTGCAGCTCCTGCAGCTCTTGGACAAACGGTTCTTCGGTACAGTAGTGCCACTACCCACCGAAGATGATAACGGTAAGTCTTATATATTTGTATGATTCTCGTGGAATATTTGTTCTGCAGGTAAGTGTAGTTTTTTGTATATAACTAACGAATTTTTAGGTGATTTTTACACGATTAGTAATTATTTAGTGTTTAATTGTGAAAAAATTACCTTAAAAGTCGTTAATATAGACAATATTTCGGCTTAAACTTTATTCTGATAATCTGCTTCCAATGTAGATACGCGGAATTATTCAATGGTAGTTACGCGAATTTGTACTGTCCCCGACTATATGTTATTTGTTTATAAGTTATTCAACAGTATTAAATTTCTTTAGTATTAATTGTGGTATTGATTTAGTTAAGAGTTTGATGTTAGTGGTGCCGAAATCGTTGCTTTGTGTTTAGACGCATGGCATGCATTTGTGTAAGCAATAGTGACGGTTTTCGACGTGAAAATATAGACCGTTTATGATGAAACTTTCGTAATCATTCAGACTTTTGAATTGATAAAATAATCGTAAAATCACCTTAAAATATCGTTTCACTGATAATTTTTTATAAGTGATATTTTACATCGAATTCGTTTTAGTTGTGGGGTTTTATTCCAGCAGAGAGAACGTAATAAAACTCGTACTACACAAATAAATTCAACAAAATAAATAAACTCTGATATGTAACTACAGGTTACATATTATGTGTTTTAAGTTGAAGCAGAGTAAAGAAGTAGATTGTGTTTATGTTCGTATGAATGTTGATGTCAAAAACTTTTCACGTATACCATATATTTACTAAACCTTATAAGCTTCAATGTTTAATATCTAGATAGAAATTTTTCTCTGTAACTGATGTATGTATATTTTTCTTTGACATACCTCCTCTATTAGTTCCCGCACGAATATTATATGTCAGTCTCTACTCAATGTTTGATTTTCGTTGCATCTTCTGAAATAGTTTTTTAATGTTTGAAATGATATTTGAATGTGTGGATGTTATATGTTAGGTATAGTAGAATATTATTTATTTACGCGTATATAAGAATTTGGAGATTTTTTGATTATATGAAAATAAATAAATTAAAAAATTCTGTGATTTTTTTATCTTGGTTTGATAAATTCAGATGTAATCTTTTTACGTTGAAACGAGAAAAGTATAAAGAAATTTTCATTGATACTCTAATTATGCTCTCGGAAAATGTATTGACGAAATATTTTTTTATATTTTAACATGTTTTTTTTAAGTTGAGTAAATAATTAAATAAATCTCCGTCTCTCTCGTAATATCGCTATACATAGCTCGGTTTAAGCTGTATATAATAAATGCATACGACCTTTGGCATTTACTCCAAAGTGATAGTTGAATATTTTTAATGTTTTTTTATTAGCTACATGAGTTATAAACATTTTATGATATTCAATCAAGTAAATCGACTATTTAAAGACGGTGATAATACTAAAGTACATATTATCGAAGTTTATGTAAGAAATATTAATTTCCTAGCTTTTGATTTAGCTGTTTTATCATTTAAAATTCTATGTACTTATTTATAGGTAATTAATTATCTTCGTAGAAGACGAATTAATGTTAAGTTTGGCAATATACATAAGTGAATTTCTTTCATAAGAAGTCTTGATGTTATAACATCATATAAATTAATAAACATAGTATATTAATAATAAATTATGTATTTGATGTGGAAGCATTGTTCTATGTATATAAATATTTCTAATTCTCTATAATCATACGAGATTTATCCTGTTACGCTCGATTTCAACGAATTTACAAACTTAGTCAACTATTTTAAGTGATACAAGACGTTTCCGTGCTCATAGTAATATTATACCAATTTGATAAACTGAATACAACTTGATAAGTTACTGGTATATAAGAGAAGGAATGCATTGTCTTAAGAGTTTTTATCACCTACATATGTATAGATTTTTTCTAAAGTTAATAATATACAATACTTGTCTTATATATAGTAAGTTCTGTTATATACTATATTATTTATATACTTATTATATAGAAAAATATCTGTATATACTGCTATGTATATATAACATATATAGTTTTATGAATCTGTCTGTAATTGTCATCTGATTAAATTGAAAAATCACTTGGAAATGTAGGAATATATATGAAATGAAAAAATGCATGTGTTTTATTATACAACTGTTTGTAAGTATCAAAATAAATAGATTTTTTTAAATACATAATATCATGTATCAACTAAATATAGAATAAGTTATTATGTGATGAAAAAACGTTCCCGATTTATAGTTTAAAAGATTAATACATTTATATAGTGATTTATAAAATGTTTGAATTTATATATGTTAAATATTAGTTTATTAATCATTAGTCAATGTTTAAAGAAAAGGTATTTTTACGTTATAATTAAATAAAATTGTTCGTTTGTGTATCACAACAAATCAATAGAAGGTAGATCAATTTTATTGTGTGTTAACTTATATAGGGTGATGTCTAACAATCACATCTCTTAATTGAAACAGTTTTGTTTCTTTCATTCCCATACAAAATAACAATAGATTGGTTTTCGGCTGCAGGTTTCCTTTGTATCGATACTGTGTGTGATGCCTTTTCATATATGTTTTGTAATAATAACATTTTTACTGTACTTGTTATATAATGGTTTATTTATTGAATAAACGAATAAAAAATTACTTGTAATTTCTGGTAAATACATTTATGTATAAAATTAAATCGTTCTTATCCTTCCCTAATATTATACTGCCCTGTTTGTATGTCTGTGTAAACATATTTTTCATTGTTAGTTTTCTAAAAACAAATAATGCTGTATGGATTACAGATTAAAATCTTTTTATCGTACGTAAACCGAATGGTATTTTTATTTACCACCATGATCATATGTTGCAAGTGTTTGTTTTATCTACCCTGGCTTTCATTTCGTCTATTCAGTCTGCTTCGATACAAATCAATGGGAAAAAATGCTAAAAGTTACTCCAGTTAACCCTTTTCGGTTGCTCTGTAATTAAAAATTGGTGAATTCAAACATACGTTACCAGTACTCGTCTATAGTCCAATTATACTCAACATAGTTTTCCACTATGTTAGTAAGTCGATTTTATTTAATCATTATACAGGGTGTGTGGCATTTATTTTATTCAATTATTATACAGCGTGTATTATTTGTTTTATTTAATCATTGTACAGGATGTGTTATTTATTTTATTTAATCATTGTACAGGATGTGTTATTTATTTTATTCAATCATTGTGCAGGGTATGGTATATATTTTATTCAATCCTTATACAGGATGTTGTATTTTTATCCGTTGTATCGTCGGTTGTAAATCAGTTTGTATGGGGAGGCCGTGCGCAGTGTCAAAATTAGATTTCAGTCGTCGTTGTAATTGTATCAGGCTGAATCTCATTAAATGATTGATGGTCCTTACGGCCTCTAACCTCGGCGACACGCTCCATGTAATAAAGAGGTTTGATGTACAATAAGTGCAGTATGAGAATAAGTAGTATTACTGCATGGTATATTTTTAATACTAGTTCGACCTATAACAATTTATTAGGATTTTTCATATTTTGTTTAAAAATATATTAATAGTTTAAATATTTTATAATAATAAATTATTAAGCCTTGATTGAAGTTCATATATAAAATATACATAGTAGTAGTAATACACGTAGTAAATATACATATTATAGTTCACAAATCGATGTGTATAAAAATAACATCGCTTAATATCGTCACTAACTAGATCAGTCACCCTCACTCTACAGATAATTGATTTACTGCTCAGTCAACTATATCATAGATGATTCAAGAGTTATAAAAGTTTCAACCCACGCGATAAAACTGTGCAGGACATAATAAAATTCATCTCATTGTACATGCAGGAGGGATTGATTGTTAAATTTAGTTCTTAATTAAAATAATAAACACATTTTGCAGCGAGTATGATGTTTAATAATTTTTCATATCAGAAGTTTACAAGCTTCATGATGCGTTGCATACAATATGTTTGAACATGAACACCACTTTAAAACCATCCAGTCCATATGGTTTTGTTACAAAGCTGGAATTTTATTTCCATTACTCCTGCTCGCTGAAATAGGCCTAAAATCGATTATGCATTTTTTTTCTATAAATTTTGAAACTACAATAGTAACGCCTAACGCCTTATTCCATTCGTTTTCCTAGCCTACATAACACGTTTCCATAAATATATTTTTTTCCTTACCACATTTAATTTATGTATATCTTTACTATGTACGGGCAGCCTTAATGTTATGTGGAGATATATATTTTATATACAACTCACACACACAACCGACCCGTACCACCGAGCACCTTATAATATCCCACAGTATTGTTCAATTTATTATCAAGGTTACAATTTTTAAATTTTATTACATATATATGAAAAACTCCCTTGTTATTTCTATATATAATTTACATATAATATTTATTTACCCTTTAGCATTTCCAAAGCCATCACATTATGTTTTAAAGCGGTTCGTTCTGTCGCTGCTTGTGACTACCCTATAATGTTTTTTTTTTCCACTACGTACATTTAGATGTTTGAAACAACTACTTTATAATGTCACTTATATACTATAACTTATCAATAATTTGCATCAACTACGAAGCTGTAATGGGCGTTAAATAAGCCCGGCCTAAAAGCATTCTTAAATTTATACTTTTTCAAAAACATATATTGGATTCTGTAGAAAAGTTTAATTCATTTGATCCACATTTCAAATGACAATAGTTTTTATAAAGAATCTAATATATATCAATGAAAATCACCTTAAATATATATTACTTCAACAAACATTAATTTTTCTCTATATCTATAATATTATATGGTATACATTATTTTAATTAATTATATATTTTTTCTTATATATTTATGTTATAGCTATGGTGGCCGTGAACAAATTCAATGGGCTCAATCGGATATGTTCGCGGCCATCGCCTAATCATGAGATTATACATTTATATTCTTTAGATTAGGCGATCTTATTACCTAAACCTTATATCTAAAACACGGGACCCAGAATTCCCAATGGTAGATGTTCTAGTTTTTATTAACTTTTAGTGAGTATGTAAATATTTTTTTAATGACTTTATAAATATAATTACCGCGGACTGTGAACATGTTGGACTTTAATTTTAGTCCGTATATTGATGTTATATGAAGTTTACAGTCCGCGGAGATTTCAACGCTATCAGCTACGTCTACGTCAAACAACATCTACGTTAATTACGTTTAACATTTAACTACAATGCCCTAGTCTGTTGTTGAATAGTCCACAGTTGTTTCTATTTCTAGTCAAGTACGTTTCAAAAATGTGTAAAGATGTAATCAATATTTGATCATAGATTTCACTACGTATTTAGAATTCTGCACGCTTTCATCTTATTATAGATATTTTAATTATGTTCTTAATTACGCAGAAGCAAATTATGTATGTATGTGAATGAAACTTAGCAAAAATACTATATTTATAATAAAAAAATAACATTAAATATATATGAATAATCCGTGGCTGTCTGGTGTTGAACAATTCTGACCATACCGATGTTTCCCATGTGCTTGACCAAGTTGAAAACCGAAAAATAACTTAAAAAAAATAATAATATATATATACTGAAAATTTATAATCGCAGTAGCCTTAAAATACGTTTAATAACATGGAATATATCGCTAAGTTTATATGATTTAAAACCTTACCTAAACACACATAGTCCTTAACATAGTCCTTATTTTTTTGTATTTTTATCTATTTTTGTCGAACAACCCCTCGGGGTAATCAAGGTTCATTTTTTGTTATATTTTATGTTTTTTTTTGTGCTTTTATATATTTTTTTATTGTACGCTAAGTGTTCTACATATTTTTTTTACTTTTTCATATATTTTATATATTTTTTTTGGAATTTATTCTTTTTATCTGTTTTTGTTGAACAACCGCTTATTAAGGGTACTCAAGGTTCATTTTTTGTTTTTATTTTTATATCTATTTAACACTAAATTTCCTCTACATTTTCTACTACTACATTTTCTACTACTACTACTACTACTTCTACTTCTACTTTTTTTGTATTTTTATAACTTTTAGTAATTTTTTTGTATGTGGATTAATCTTTTTTTGCTTTTTTTGTTGAACCACCGCTCATTGAGGGTACTCGAGGTTCCTTTTTTTGTAACTTTATTTATATTTTTTTTCAATTTTTTATTTTTTTTTATGTTTATATCCTCAAAATTTATATTGTTATTATTATTTAACTTTTTATATTTTTTGTTTTGTCTCTATTTTAAAATTTTTTTATTTTTATTTTTTTTGTTGAACAAACAGCTCATTGGCGGTATTCAGCTTCGGTTTGATTTTAGTTTTATTATTTATACATATTTATTTTAGTTTATTTTATTTTATTTTCCTTTTCATATTTCCTTTTTAATATCCTCAGCATAATTTTTTTCTATTTTTGTTTTTAAATGTTTTATTTGTTTTTAATTTTTGTTTTACATAATATTTTCACTTTACAGTTTTTTCTTTTAATTGCGCTTTTACTCTATTGTATTATAGATTTATTTTTCATTTTATTCCATTCTATTTCAAGGTAAATCTGATCTTATGTTTTTATCTTTTTTATTTTTTTTTTTTTCATTTATTATTTCTATATATTTTTTTACTTTTATAAGCATATTTTGTTTTTTTTTTACATTTTGTATTTTTTATACACGATTATATCACTACACAGCAAATGTACTCTACCTTTTTTTTAATTATTTCCATTTATTTATTTTTTCAATTTATTTTTATATACATTTTTTTACTTTTATAAGCATATTTTTTATACATTTTGTATTTTTAATCACGATTATATTACTACACAGCAAATCTACTCTATCTTTTTTTTACCTTTTTTATTTATTTAATTTTTTTTTTCATTTATTATTTTTATATATTTTTTTTACTTTTATAAGCATATTTTGTTTTTTTTTTACATTTTGTATTTTTTAATCACGATTATATTACTACACAGCAAATCTACTCTATCTTTTTTTTAATTTTTTCCATTTATTTAATGTTTTTTCCCTTTTTATTTTTATATACATTGTTTTACTTTTATAAGCATATTTTTATACATTTTGTATTTTTAATGACGATTATATTACTACACAGCAAATCTACTCTATTTTTTTTTTACCTTTTTTATTTATTTAATTTTTTTTTTTCATTTATTATTTTTATATATTTTTTTTTTACTTTTATAAGCATATTTTGTTTTTTTTTTTACATTTTGTATTTTTTAATCACGATTATATTACTATACAGCAAATCTACTCTATCTTTTTTTTTTAATTTTTTCCATTTATTTAATTTTTTTTCCATTTATTTTTATATACATTTTTTTACTTTTATAAGCATATTTTTTATACATTTTGTATTTATAATCACGATTATATTACTACACAGCAAATGTACTCTACCTTTTTTTTTAATTTTTTTTACTTTTTTGTTTTTTTTCACAAGCATGTTTTTAGGAACATGCTTAACATTTTATAAATTTTATTCTTTTTTATTTGTTTTTTCATCTATTTATACGATTACAATTTTATTTTAATATCAGCTAAATGTGCTCTACTATCTTCTTATAATATATTTCCTAATTTTATATGATTTTTTTTACTTTTTGATTTTTTAATATTTTTTGTATTTTTTATTTAATTTTTATCTATTACGTGGTTAATCTACTACACATATATTTTTTTTGTATATTTTTACCATGTATTTTGTTTTTTTTTGTATTTTTATGTTTTTTGCTTTCTACTACTAGTTTAATACATCCTAATTTATTATAACACCGACTAAATCTAAAAATGAGTACGTCGTAATGAGTTTGATGTTCTGTAGAAACACAAATATATGGATTATATGTTACATATATGTTCATACAATTATTATATAGATATATCTGTATGCCGAATCGTATTATTAGTAATAAAGCGTATTGATTCATTCCAAGTACACTCAGGTCCGTGTAAACTTCACTTAATTTAACACTTGACTATTGTTAACATTACAATACACACTGTTTCCATAAACACATTACATTTTGTACGGATTCCGTTGTAAATTTTGGGGGGATTATTATCAAAGAACATGCCAATTATGTATGATATAATATATTTTCTAAAATTTTGTCACAATAGTGATTTTTAGCCAATTGTTCCCTATGGTTTATCCGGTATGTGTTTTTGTAAAGATTTCGATATATATATTGTAACAAGAATATTTCCTCTCTTACATATATGAACAGTACATATAAATATTACTATTAAACATGTGTGATAAATGGTATTTTAAAAATATATGCATCTGTTAGTTATGACAATGTTTATCAAAAATATATACATATATATTTATATGAATTCCTTTATGTACTATGATACAGTTTTGTAATAATTTCTATAGAAAATATATGTATCTGTATTATATTATTTTTATATTTTGTACCAAATGTGTCGTTGAAGCGTGAATATGAATCCTTTGGCTCATTTTGGACTTTCCAAGTATGTATATGTCTATATAAATATATATCTGCGATTTATTTTCAATGTTTGTACTGTGGTTGCGTTTTTAATATATGATGTCCAATGTGTCGGCGGTGGATGATAACATTTACGAATTACATTCATAGCTATACATTTAGTTACACCCGACGATGCTTAAGATTACACTTAATTAATAATGACGCTGCCAGTTTGTTGGATACGTTATGATAAACCGTTTTAAACTGCTCTTAAACCTCAAATTGTTTAACGATCTTATCGAATGTCCTAGTCCACATAACGTACCCTCGAAAAATTTGTCTTCTCAGTTAGGTTTAGGGCCGCGGTCGTCACTGCAAGGTAGATTATCACTGTCTAGTATTATGTTTAAAGTCTTTTAGTGGAATGAAAAACGCTCGTATGCGATGGACCCTTCAATATATGTACGGTTTGAAGAGTAAAACGATGTGTCCTTGAAGTCACTGCACTTGTTGTAGTTGTAGCTGTATCTAAAGATTTTGAGGGTAAAATTTTGTATAAGTGTCCATCGCCACACGAAGATTTCAATGCGTTTATTCCACGTACCGCAGCGCACGAACGGGCGTCATTACTCTGGGGCGTCAGATAGTGTGGACAGCTCTCATCTCGATATCCTGATCACGACCCTCAACGGTGACAGAGGCTAGTTCAGATTGATCAGTCTGAGAGCGAGAGTGTGCCATGGCCTGCCTCTGGCGAGTGTTGTCGAATTTCCATCGAGTAATGCAGTCGCGTTGACGGCGCGGGTTGGTGTTGATGTTTGTCATGTTGATGACCGTAGCCTCGGTGCTCACGTGGGATGCTGGGAACAAATGTTATATTCAGAACGTATAAAGAGCAGTCATTAGATAGAAACTATTAAAAAAAATAGATTAAGCCGGGTTTAAAATAATACTGATGCGTCGAAGGACAATCTCTTGGAATTTGAATAAAAATAATCTTAATATGTTTGATTTCCAATAGCATAATTGTTTTAGTGTTAATAAAAATTGCTATATTTGTAAAATAGTAGGCATATATATTATATGTAATCTTATAACATATTATCTGATATTAACCAATATATTTCTAGACATCGATATATTTTAAATAATGTCGGGCATACTTTCCTTCAGTATCAGTAAAGTCGCGGCGCTCCGAAAGTTTTTTTATATATTTTAATATAAGTTCTGCTGGTTTAAGCTAAATTAGAAACTACAGCCTCTTATGCGGCGAACTTAAATTTTGTAAGCGGACTAAGTTTGGAATAGATTTTTTATTTAATGTGGACGTAACATTACACATATATTATACGTTACCAGCTTAATAAGAGTAATACAATATTGGTTGTTTCCAATATATTATTAGTAATAATTTTTTACCACTATAAACAATGTACATATGAATATCGTAAATTTTTTTTAGTAAACAACGTGTACTTGGAATTAGTGAGTTGTGTCTGACGCTTATAAATTTTAATATATGAATATAAGAAATGTGTTGTGTTATTTGACGCTGTTGACGCATCTCGATCAAGGTCAAAGGGAAATGTAAAAATACAAGTCGAATATATAATTGAAGTTCAAGATTCGGATCAGGCCTCGTCAGGCGTCTTACGTTTATCCGACAGCGAATAAAAGTATTGTGATATTCAATTATCTTCAAATTTTTTATGTTAGAAACAAATAAACTTTACAGTTTAAAATTTCAAAAGATATTTCAGTTCCTTGAAAATCTCTCCCGTATGTTTTATCTCACTTACAAGTTTTTTAAATGTAATAAAGTCACATTTGTTTCATACTAAATACGTATGATACATTTGAAGCACTTTAAAAGTGTCCATTGTACTATAAACTGTATGCGCTAACTCTTCACAGAAGCCCTTTTGATGGAAACTTTTAAATGAAATCCATAAACTCAGAACTAGACGTGTTTCCACATTCCTGTGACAGATGTAGTATTGTCAAAAAAAAATGTAATTCACACGCGAAGGCTTCATTGTTCCTGAAAGTAGCTAGCACAGTATTTGATGTCACATATCTGTAACAAACTTCCTAGCTTTATCCTTACAAGCGCGACAGCTTTTGTATGACTTTCTCTAAATTCGCGGAAATCTACCTCCAGTTTAACAACAAACTAAAAATGTTCATACACACAAGCCTTTGACATTTCTGTATCAAAAAGAATTATGTACCTGTAGTCGCGCAAATAAAAAAAATGAAAATTTACAGTTTTAACGCATGTCAGACAATGCTAACTTGTGTTAAGCGTTCAACTTCGTTATTTATTTTTTAAAGTATTATGTTGTTTAATTTAAACATTTGTATATCATTATATCATTTGAACTTGTTCTATCTCTCGTTTGTCAAAGGTTTTAATTGCTCCATTCATTAATTTTTTATTAATAAACTTTCACCAAATTCTGTTTATTGAAATCAATCCGATCTGATGTCGAAAGTGTCCGATGTCAACGGGATCGTCTATCAGTCAGTGTATAATAGATTATCATTAAAACGTATACATTTATTACAATTACGACAGTGATAGTTAAAAGTTTCGGTTCTCTGTAACGTTGGAATAATATTATTATGGATATTTTAGTAATTGTTGTAGGTTTGTAAACAATTTTATTGATAAAAGTAAGCCGTGACATCATTTCGGAGGTACGATCATGAAATTTTGTTCAAAGATATGAAGAATTTTGATATTATGTAAAAGAAAATTCACTTGATTGTATTTTAATCTTCATACTTATTTTCTATAAACAATTTTTCGTTTATTACTTGTAATTTGGTATATAAATACGATAATTTGTATAATCTTTCATAAAACAAAGCAACCCTGATACATCGCGATGATTGAAAACGTTTCTGTAAACTTTGAAAAATAATCCGTACACTTCAACTGATTGATCTGTCTGTACGTCACACCGATAGAGTACACAACATTATTACAAAAAACATGTTCTGTGTTGACAAACGCAGTCACATAGCCGTGTCATTATAATTACTTACACGCTAGATATTTTTACTATACAACATTGAATTGAAGTACAATGTTGAAATACGAATAGTAAAAATATAAAATAGTATAAGTCTTAAACCTTCTCCATGTGAGAAAGAGGCCTTTGTTCAGCAGTCGGCTCTGATAAGCTGATGATGATGATGAAAAGTCTCAAAGTTTTTTTTCCAGTAAAAACGGCATAATTAGAACATCCTAATTGATTTATTAAATCTTGGTTGAAAGTTTAAAATAATGTTGTTTCTCGTCTTAAGGTGCTGAGGTTTTCATAAAGCCTTCCATCCAACAAGTTGTCGCGGTCTTGTAATATTAATTTCTAAATGTAAGTTGTCACCGAGTCCGTCTGTTTAAATACTAAAACCAAACTTATGATCAAATAATTTTCTCCAACTAAACTTTGTTGCATTCCGTAATAATTCTACCTACTGTGAATTCATTTACTTTTTTACCATGTATTTTTGTATTTTAATATAATATTTTTAAAAAAATATTTCATTATATAATACTAGTTTTAGTCCGCGACTTAATCCGCATCAATTTCAAAATTAAAAATAATTAGGGTAGGACCGTCCGAACTCTGCTTCGCCTTATAGGTAGTAAATAAGAAAATTTAGGATTTTATTAAGTTTTTTTTTTATCAAATGCGATGAAAAGTAACCTATATCCGCCTTCTGGTAATGAGCCAGCTCATCACTAATTTTCAGCCAAATCGGTACAGCCGTTCTTTAGTTACAAATAGTATATCCAGCACGGCTTTCTTTTATATGTATAAATAAGTCAGAGTTTCAAAATATTTCGTTGCAATGAATTGAATATTTTAATTTCACTATCCTTTGAATAAATATTTTCTCTGTTAAAAAAAACATCGCATCAACTTTTAAAATAAATGTAACAGCAAAATATCTGAGCGTACTGAAGTTACCTCAAACAATTCGTTTGCTTTGAATTTAAGTTCTTTGAGCATGTAATGTACAAAGATATAAATAACATAATTAATTCTTAAGGAACCTAGAGTTTGAAATTAATTAAAATTTATATTAATAAACGAAATTATAACGACGTCGAACATCGGAGAAGAATATAGTGAAGAAGAATCGGCTTACTTGATACGCTGCTGCCTCTAGGTGGATCTGCTGCGAATCTAACAGCGACGGCCCGTCGGGCCCGGCGGCGGACCCAGGGCAGGGCCTGGATGAGGGCGCGGCGGTAGTTCTGGCCACTGAGACAGTACAACAGGAAATTGATGCCGAAGTTGGTGTGAAAGAACATCACAGAGAGCTGCTGCAACGCCGTCCAACGGCCGCCGACCTCGTTGGCATTCTACAGAAAAAAGAAGACAAAATTATAACGGGAATTTTACCTAGAATTAATAAGCATTGCTTATAAATCATTCGCATGAAAATACTTGTGATCTTCGATGTCAGCAGCGAAGCTTTTTGTTCATATAATCGCTGAATGTACAAGCATCGCCGGGATATGTAGTTGTAACGAGAAGTGCTTGCGTCCGTCACTGATGATTATGTGAAGTAATTCGATTGTACTCGGCCAGTACAATACGGATATTTGTCACTACCAGGATCATCCGGCTAACACGACATTGCTCTGATGATAATTGAATTTGTCATAGCATATAGCCGGTATAGCGTATTATTCACAATGAAAAACCATTATAAATTCTCGTAATAGCGTTTACAAGTACAATAACGAACAGATATATCATGTTGAACTTGTTAAAAGTTTATAAGTTCTGAAATGGTTAGTGTATTCAATAAGAGTTAAATCATATCGTTAAAGTATAGACGCAGGGCAATATCGGAACGATTTATAGTTTATGTGCACTTGAAACTTATATGGAGCAGACGGCACTCGAGTTGGGAGTTGCACCACACCTCTAAACCAATTACTTTATATTCAGTTTGTAAATTATTATCGATGTATTCCCAACACCCCACGAGAGTATTAAGCGGGACTGATTGTGTGGGGCGGTCAAATAGAAAATTATTAAACTTGTATAACATAATATACAGACATCTTGTTTATGATTCTCACAGATTCTTTAAATAGATTATTATGTAGAATGATGTTAAAACGTTCCCGTATCATATATTAAATATTCCAGAAAGACTGAAATCCTTCTGACGCTCTAAACCTTATACAGAACAGCTTTTACAGGAAGCCTCTTGAAATTCTTTAAGTCTTTGATATTACCTTCACAGAGACTAGACATTCAGCGAAACAGTATTAGATTACTTTGTATATTTTCTAGTGTTTTATATATATATATATATATGTAACTGTCCGTCTGTTTTCATATCACTGACTGGATTATATTTATTTTGAGTTCATACAATTTTCCTGATTGTTATAATCTTCATTGTGTTCGATTTTATATTATTTAATTTATTTTTTATAATGAGATCTAAGACTTTTGCGAGTTTTATTCATTTATAAGAAACTAATGTTTTTCGGATACAAAAAACTATATGCTCCCAACATTTTTACTTTACTTTTCACGGTTATCGAAAACTAGCCGAAACGTCGGGAGTATGTAATTTATTTTTTACGTAAGAAACATTCTGATAACCAGTCTTTCTTATTATATTAGAGTTGCCTCCTTGAACATCTTATATATTTTAAAGTTTTAATATTAATATTTTCGGTAACTATAAGCAAGTAAACTTACAGTTATGTCTCCGTCTATCATCAGCGCTTTGAAATTTTAACAGATTTAATAGATATTGTTCTGAGAAGAAATGTATTAATTTTAATTAATGTCCCATAACCATATTCACCGATCAGTATTTCTATGTGAGGCTAAAATATTTTTAACAAATTCCTTTCATCAATAAATAATATCTGCTAAGTACAAAGTAAATTCAACATCGAATTAATTACGATTTACAGAGAATGTGATTAATATTTTATCATATTTGAAATAGATTTTATTCTTTCGTACATCCGTTAAAATAATTATCACTCGGATAATATTGTTAAACTTTTATTTTTGTCATCGGATCCGTTAAAAGCTATCGATTTATTATTAGACTTTTATTACATATTTGTAATGGAATAAATATATATGTATTTTAACTTAAATAGTTTTGATTGAGAACTAAATAGCCTTTCTAAGGATTAAGTGGAGTTTATTTAAGGCTCTATAAAAAGTTCTTATACTTGTTGAGCTTGTCACACCCGTCCTTGGAGCCGCACCTTAATCGGAAGGCTTGTACATACATACTGTCAATAAACAAACGTTTTTGGCGTTATTATAATAAGGAAATGTTGGTATAAGAAACCTATTAAATAATTATGTTTTATTAACCTTGTATATATAAATATCACTGTTCCTAACTGAGCCGTGTCGAACTAAAAGAGACTTAGGAAGCTTAAATAAATTGTACTCAACTCTCTAACTATTAATGATATTATGTCTACAAAATATACTTATTTGGATGCAAATTATTGTATAATATTTTGAAGGTGTTGAAATTATTGACAAAGCGACATTGGTGAAAAATTACCTGCATCATTAAAACCGTTTGAGAAATGAATTGTTGTAAAAAAGTTACAAATAGTTTTCGCTGAATTTTATTATATTACGAAAATGTAAATTACTCCGCTCCAGCTATAATGTTGTAATGAAAAAATGTCATATCTTAATAAAGTCGCAATTACAACAATCGCCGCGCAATATAACATACTACGAACCCGCTGAGTAAAAGATTCTCTAAGAAACGGGATTACATTCTAACAAAGTATTAAATAGCGGCTTAAAATAGATTGTTGTTTTTCAAGAAAAATATCTACCTGGATAAATCCTTTATTTATTTTTTTTAATTCGCAAGGCAAAAAATAAAGAAAAATATTAATTAACATAATATAATGAATATACTCACGATGTCATAGGCGTAAGCCAGGATACGGATGGTGTAGGCTGGCAGGTTCAGAATCACGAACACGGATGAGACGAGCAGCAGCATGCGGGTCACCTTCTGTTGTGACTGAGGACAGCCGACCAGGCGCCGCTGACGGAGGCGGGAGGGGAGGCCGCTCTGCTCCTCCTTCATGAGCGCCTGGCGAGCTCGCTCCAACCGGCACACCCCCACCATGATCCACGAGTTCATGATTATTATCACACCCAGCGGCAGCGTGAAGGACAGCAGCGTATCTATAAGATTGAATCTAGCAGCGTGGTCCAGATACTCTCTATCGATATTACAGTCGTCCTTACTGGGAGAGGTGAACTTCAATACGGGCAGGTTCATGACGATCGCGGAGATACTCAGCAGCACTATCACCTGCCGCGCCCGGTTCACGCTGCAGACAGCGTTGCGTCTCAACGGATACACGACGGCCACGAAGCGCTCCACGGTGAAGGCGACCACCAGCCAGGCGCTCAGGCAGCATGACACGTAGGACACGTACACTATGAACTGACAGAAGCCGGTGCGGTGGAACAGGCTCGTGATACCGGTCGCGCTCAGCCACGGCGGCAGGAGTTGCAGCAGGAATATATTATCAGCGATAGCCAATGTCGACAGGTACTGACTGGTCGACTGTAAGCGCAACTTACTCCCGTGGAACACGAATAATGACAGCATATTACCGATCGTCCCGAGCACCACCAGTATCGGCGTGAAGTACAAGTAAACGGTGTTAACTACTTGCACGATCATTATATCGAAGTCTGTCTGGTTAGCGTTGTTGGGAGGTTCGGTTGATAAGTCCAGGGTGTAGTTTTCGTGGTTGATGAACATGGTTTCGGCGCGGGCATGCGCCCGCCGCGCCTGTCGTCGCTCGACTGGCCAGCTCTGCTCCCATCAACCACATTTATAAGAACCGGGGCCCAGCACGAAGGCATCCTTTCTGGGGGGGCGTGTACATCACATACCGCCCCCCTCACACACATCGCTAACCACCTATCGCATCGCCGCCTACACCTATACCGACTACATAGCACGCATATATATTTTCAAGGCTCGATTCACTTTGTTCTAGAAAATTTTTAGATTCTCGACAAAACGATTAAAATTATCCCCGATTATATAACACTGTACATCAATATCGATCGGTTTTTATATGACAACTAATTTTTTTTTTCGAGTTTTTTTTTATAAAATCCTTGAGATTTTTTAAATTATTGTTATTAATAATCAAATAAACACTATTTACCTTAACAACAGGGACGTTCTAAATTATTTTCCACATAAAGTTCGGACACTTCGGTACATTCGTGAGGAGACAAGTTATTAGCGCGACGTCCCTAGTATCACTAGTAGAGCCGTAGCCTCGTAGCGCTCGTAGACGCGACTGTAGCAGCATATACATGAATATTATGTGCATTAAATATTTTCATGCGTAATATATGCTACGGATATATTTATAAATCTATTTAATATTCGAATATTCGTCATTAATATTATAATATCATTAATATTTATGTTATATTAAAATATTATTCGTCGTTCGGTATTCTATATTCTAATCGGTGTTTTGTTTTTGTATTGATTATCGAAACTTAATTAATTATAAAATAAAATTATATATATATATTAAATATTATATATTGATAATTAATATTTCTCATCATTTCTAATTGAAGTAAGATCTTAAGGAGACCATTTTAGTTAGAGCTCTACCATGTCAGGTCGTTATATAAGAATTTGTTAAGTTTTAACTATTTGTATGTAGTTTAATGTATGGGTTTTTTCATCCAGGTTCAGACAAGGGTCGTGGTACACTGGACGTGCTGCTCTGCACCACATATTGCAGGTCCCAGCTGTACCTTTCCAGGCAACTTTCGCAACTACATCCAGACCTTACGATGCCTATGTTCTCAGGTAAATAACATTATTATATTGAATCAGTGACGTCATATAGATATGAAATATATTGAAAATAGTTTTCTTATAATAGTATCATTAGTGCCTTTAGATTTTCATTATACGACGACTCCTTATTATTGTAGGGATGTGAGACTTCCAGGCGACTTCCTTGAAATAATTTTACAAGATAAATACTTTGATATTACGCTCATTAATAATTATATATAGTACATATATATATGTTATATGAAAACACTTCTATTACTTGCTCCAGTAATTATTTCCTCTCTGGAATGACCGCTGAAATACTTGTAATTACACCCACTGTGATTGGCTCCAGAGATGACTATTTATACGTATAATAATATTATTAAAATTACTTATATAGTATGGAATTGAAATTAAAATGGAAATAAAAATTATTTGTATTATAAATAACGATTTATTTCATATATCAAGTGTAAGGCGTCTTAATTAAAATTGTATAAAAATGATATCCTTTTAAAAAAAATACTATATTTTTTTCCAACATATATATGACGAATTATTTTTTGTAATTAGTTTCAATTAATAAGTAATTTAAATATACATTATAGGTAAATATAAAATATAAAAATCTACATCATAGATATAATAGTTTGATAGATATTTGTACGAGATTTCAGTCTGTGGTTGTACAAGGACAAACTTATTATGCACGGAGATGTTCTAGCGTTTGTTCAATGCATAGCTAGATGTATAATCAATTATTGTATCGTTTTACATTCGAATAAATATTTGTATTGGAAATATACGATATTTATATTTATTGTTATTAATTTAAGGTTCAAAATTGATTAATTATTATATTGTAGAGATAACGGCGCGGTTTCAAACGGCTCGTACTGAAGTACGTCAGCTTCTTCTGCAATATCTTCTGCCGTGGCTTGTCAATATAGAGCTAGTGGATCCGAATGTGCCGCCTGCGAACCCGCTATCATATATACAGGTATACACACACACAGACACATACACACACACACACAAACACACACACACACAAACACACACACACACAAACACACACACATACACACATTGATATCTTTATACATAATAGAATATCGTGTTAGTTACCCTATCTATAATTCAAGAACGGCTGTACGAATTTAGATGAGAATTGGTCGTGAGATAGCTTAGAAAATAGAAAGGACATAGCATATTTTTCATCCGATTGAAAATTTAAAAAAAATTATCATATCCAAAATCTTATCAAAAAAGAATTGAATAGTCAGATATACATTTCAATTTTCTAAACTAACGTAGACGAAGTCGCTGGCAAAAACTAGTATATGTCGTCATTTGATTAGTTTGCAATCTTAAACAAAGCACAACTAACAAGCCAATGTACAGTATTTAATTATAAAGTCCCGTACATACATCTTAAAGTATTACGTAACGTAAACGTTCCGTATCTTTCAATCTGTACGTAAACGTAACTTCAAACGTATCCTTAAACGCTATACCACACGGAGAAACTTTAGAATAGAATGCATCTAGTCTTTCAATACATTCAGCAGATCCGATTATAACAAAGTAGCTGACAAAGGTACTTTGTATCCAAATGAATTCAGGTTAGGCATTAATTAAAACAAAACTATTGTGTGTAGTGGAACGTACGTTAGATTTGATAACAAAACAAAGTTGGTTAAGTTTAAACATATGTTAACTGTGGCTTAATTATTTGTTAAATTTAAATGGTTAGTTAAATGATGATTATATTTAAGATGTTATACTAGTTTTTGTCCGCGACTTTGTACGTTTTATTTTGGGAATTAGTAATGTATGTATGACTGACAGGGCGAACTCTATTCTGAATTAGAAGCCGTGAATAACCAGATATTGGAATTTATGAAGTTTTTATAAAACAGAATTAAATACCCTATGTCCGTCTCCTTCTTCTAATCTATCTCTCCACCAATTTTGACCCAAATCCGTACAGCCGTTCTTGAGTTATGAATAGTGTAACTAACATGACTTTCTTTTATATATATGTTATATTTTATTTCTTTAGTATTATGCTTCGGAGGCTGGTCGTTCAGGGAGACGTGAAGGTCTCGGTTCAGTTGAAGCTACAGAGATGGTGCTCAATAATCTGTTCTACATAACAGTCAAGGTAAGTAGATTTATATTAAAAATTCATTAATTTTGTATACCAAAAAAAACTATCTATTTTAGTTCATGAAAATCAAGTTATTCTTTCACTCTTAATTTTAGAATTATTTATATATATAAAAGATACTTTTTCTTAATAATCTCTGACATTAAAAAAATTAATACTCTTATAATGTTTAATTTAAAATAATAGTGTATATAATAGATGATCTTTTCAAATAAATTTTATGATAGAAATTAAATACATAAGTTATTCCTAAACAAATGGACACAGAACACTTTAATATTTAAAACATAAAAAATATTATTTTCCAATAGAAAGTCTTTCAGGTACAAAAGAATTGAATAATTTATAAAGTTAGTAGTTACAAACTAACAAATTGTGGATGAGATATTCTTAAAATTAAGGAACTTCTTGAAAATCTAGTTTATTAGCATCCCAATTATAATACACTAAAATAATAATTGTAGTCGGAAGTTTTTTATATCTACTTATATAAAAAAATATTAAAATTAGTTTGAAATCTTCATAACAGTCTTATAATTAAGTTAAAGTTATTCTGTCATAAAATAAATCTTATATAATTATTTTTTCTCGTATATTTAAAATATCCCAACGTTAGTCAAAGATATTTTCATTTTCTATAATTCTCATCCCAATAACACATTGATACATACTATTTCGTATGAAATTTTTTGATTTTTAAGTTGACTTTTCGATTACTTTTCCTGTAATAGAAACGTCAGTTGCACTGAAGGAGGAGTTGAAAGGGTTGTCACAATATTGATATTAAAGTATATACACACACATACACACACACACATACACACACACACATACACACACACACACATACACACACACACATACACACACACACACATACACACACACACACATATATATATGTATATCAACAGTGCTCCCAAATAATTAGTGTTTCATTTGAAGCTCCACATATTATCCTTCAGTCAGTTTTCAATTCAATTAATATTGAAATGATACAAGAATTAATTATTATAATTTACAAAATAATTTGATTCAGTTACATTTACAGTTAATATATGCGAATTATATTATAGGGAATTTCAATAAACGAATATTTTAATTGAAGATCTATTAAAATTAATTATTTGGTAATGTATAAGTATTATTAAAATTTAAAATAGTTATATTGGTTGGATTTAAGTGATTTCTTAATTAATTTCATATCTACTGTTAATTCATGTGTAAAAAATTGGTTAAATCTAATAAATAAAATTTCCATGTCTCAATGTTAGTTACCGTACGCATCCGAAACGGCTTTACCGATTTTTATCAAATTTTATATGCGTGTTCAGTAGGGCTGAGAATCGGCTACTATCTATTTTGCATATCCCTAAGTGATAAGGGTTGTTCACCCTTTTATAATTATATTATTAATTTTTTGAAAAAAAATGTTGTTATTTTTTTATTACGTGACTTTAAATAATACATACAACCCAAAATTGTTACTCTTTTATCACCAACCCCTATTTTAATATAACAAAACGTCTGCCCTATCAGTCAGTTTTCAATAAAAATGCATTAGTACATTTTAATTTTCTCAAACATTTCATTAAATAAGTCTCAAACAGAACATAATAACATCAAAGGCCACTTAATACGCGATAGCCAGGTTTAATCCGATGTAGTTATATTAAAGGGGAAGGTGGCTATATTAAATTTGTCTGTTATTGCAGTACGAATGGGTTGTGTTTGTCGTGTTTACATTTACCTTTGAGTACCACCAACAAGCCCCAGTCACTACCACGCTTGGATAGCATTCAATACGACCGTTTGATTACATGTTTAATTTTCATCTATTCGGTTATTAGGATTACATGCGGTCATAATTAAAACATATTATGCATATTGATTAATTATACGGAAGGGGATTTGATTATTTTGAAATACATTATGTTTTGGTTTCGATTTTAAATTATATAGTATTTAGACAGCACTGATAGATGAAGGAAAATATTATGAGGAAATCTGGACTTACTTATTTCAATTATTAGTTTGAATTTGATATAAAATTAATTGAAAAATGATTTTACCGTTTTCCACCATAAGTTGATACGTCTCGTACAGGCGTTGCATTGTAAACAGGGTCCCATTGAAACGGACACCAAATATTATACAAAACTTGCTACAACTAACACACGCAGATATAAAAAAAATCTTTTAAGTTTATTAATTGCCAACCCGTCTTGAGCAAGCGTGGTGATTAATGCTCTAATCTTCTCCAAGTTAAGAGGTATTGCTCAGCAGTGGGCTCTGATAGGCTGATGACAAATATAATATTTTGGATTTGGATCTATTTTATATGATAAAAATATTTTTTAATTTTATCGTTACAAACACTATATCTATTGATCGATGCATCATAAATCGATGCTAACAAAACATCGTAACTCGTGTAGCGTATAATATTTTATACTAACTATATCCCACGACTTTTCCTTGAATGTAACTGAATTAATCTGATCTCTATCATCCATTGAATACATCAATGCAAGACTAATTGGTACGTTTCATGAAACCGTATGAATATGTTTTCAAGATGTGTATCGAGAACGTAATATTATTATGAGAGAAATGCATTTTCAGTGGAACATGTTTAATAGAGTCGAGTTTGGATCAGTGCTTCAGGACGAATTATACGCTCCAGTAAAAACTATATAATATTATTATTAATATATAACAAATTACTCAGCGGTGGCCCAGTGATTAAAAAGCTAGCGTCTCATGCACGAGGGTGCGGGTTCGATCCTAGCAAATACCAATGTATTTTTTCCGAGTCATATGTACTTTCTAAGAGTGTTTAGACATCACTGATTAATGCATTCCCAAAGAGGGTTGATGTCAGGCAAGCGGGCGGTCGTAAAAACAAATAGCCAAAACTATTAACATGTAAGGCAGACCCTGGCTATAGCTGGGAAATTGCCAGATAGAAAAAGTAGATGAAACAAATATATTTAAAACCTTTTTCTATATGTTATATATAGAGTAACTCATCAAGTCCCCTTCACCTATCAATTGTCGCGCATAATTTTTCAATTCATTCCATGATGTGTATATTAAATGTTTTCCGGGCACGTGATAGTCAGTCCGTTATAGAACCCATCAGATTAAATTGTGTGTAATATTCAACGAGTTATTTTAGTAGGGGAAGGTGTTAGCTATAGTACCTACATGGCTATAGCTAACGGACCCTTCTGTACTATAAATATCGAACAATAAAAATCGTTGTATTGTTTAAACTTATTTTTTAATACTGCATGTGTTGTTTTCTATTTGGTATTATATTTCATATATCGTAGTAGACTTTTCGATGAAATCCCTTTCAAAAGTAGCACAAGCGAAGTGAAAAATCCCATAACTATTTCTGTATATCTGTTATAAGTCTTCACGCCTCTGTAACACAGATTTTGATAAATCCTTTTGTGTTCGATACCATACGCGTCTTGAGCACGATAAACTTTTCAATAAAAAATAGTAAACTCTATAATTGTATTGATTAAAAGTGAAATTTGGATGGCAAGTAATTTAATATAAAACTAATTGGAAAATGATTTTTCGTTTTCCACCATAAGTTGATACGTCTCGTACAGGCGTTGCATTGTAAACAGAGTTCCCATTGAAGCGGACACCAAATATTTTGATTTTTAAAACACAGTACGGCCAAGGTTATACAAAACTTGCTGCAACTAATACACGCGGGTATAGAAAAAAAATCTTTTGAATGGAGTAGATACATGATAGTTTTTTTCATTTACAATACACGAATAGTGTGTTTTCGATACAGTAGAAGTATTGATATATTCAGTTGGTTGATGTAAAACAATAAAAGCAACATTTTTGAAAAGAAATTAATTTTTCCCATATAAATTAAAACTGATAGAATCATTTTTTTATTTAGACAAACACAATAGTATGACGCTCTGTAGGATTAAGAACAATTACGCTTGTGATTTTTTCAAATTAAACATTTTATATCCCTTTAAAACTTTCATAAAATAATGATTAATTAAAAATCTTGAACAGTTGTCATTTCAAATGAAAACCGAGTCTAACCAATAACGATACAATTTCTACTCAATTAAACATCTCTATATGTATGTCCTTAGTACTTTGATGCGGTGAAAGCCATTCTATATGTTCCTGTATTTCTCATATGTTTATTTTTAATCATATATTTTCAATCAGAAGCCACTACAGATTTATTTTAATAAGTTTGATGTCATTTATCGTTTTTATGTCCACCGCAGATATTATTGCCTGTGGTTCTTTTCTTGTATGACAATACCTACTAATATTATAAATGCGAAAGTAACTCTGTCTGTTTGTTACGCTTTCACACCTAAACCACTGAACTGATTTTAATGAAATTTGGTACAGACATAGATTTGACCTTGACAAAGAACATAGGATAGTTTTATCTCAGACTTTCGAAAGGTTATCTTTTAAACGCGATATAACCGAACTCCACGCGGGCGAAGCTAGTTAATTATATAGAGGATTCGTTGCATTTACGTATAATATTTTTGCGGTACAGTTCTCTGACAATCATCCTAAGGAGATTGAGGAGCTGTGGTCTACTCTATGCGCCTGCTGGCCGAATAACCTCAAGGTCATTATCAGATATCTCATCATCGTCTCCGGAATGGCTCCCAATGAATTACTGCCATACGTACGTATTAAATTATATAGGGTGTTCTGAAAATGATGTATTTGAATATAGTTTAAGAACATGTTATAATAAGTGTTATTGATCTAAAGGCGAAACGCGTCGTTCTGTACCTGGCGAGATCTCGGCCTGAACGTCTTCTTGACGAGATGATGACGGAACTGCAGACAGTGGAGACGCTCAACTGTCTCATAGAAAGAACAGAGACTCCGCCCTTCTACAGGCTCACTTCTATGAGGAAGGCTACCTCTGGACACAGCGATGGACCCGGTACAGGGTCACAGGTAAAGATACAAACAGAATGAAACTCACAACGATACAAAATATAAAAGAAAGTAATATTAGTTATACTATTTATAACTCAAGAACGGCTGTACGGGTTTGAATGGAAATTTGTGTGGAGTAGGTTGGAATCAGGAGACTGACGTAGTATACTTTTGAATTCGTTTAACCAAAAAAGAAATTGCTAATAAAATCCAACATCTGTTTAAGTTCGCCTGGTGAGCTATATACATTTCTAATTATAAAACTAAAGCGGACGAATCGCGTACAAAAGCTAGTTAATAATATATTCGAGATTGATTATCACATGTTTTTGTATCACAGGACGCCACAGGTCGCACCGGGGAATTGGCCCCCGTAGAAAAAGGCACGATACACACAAAGCGACACAGCGGAGAGGATCCAGCTAAAGTATCGTGAGTAACGCGCCTTAATTAAACTCGTTTACAGCCAGCCTTACATTGACTAAAATTAAAAAATAATTATTTATTTTAAAAAAAATTATTTACTATATTTGTTTAATTCAATAATTTATAGGAAATGTTCAGTTACACGATATTTACATCGAAAAACAGTTTAATTGGATTACCAATAAACGTGTTTATCATGAAGAGGGATTACATTGAAATTCTATTGAAACGTTACGGATGTATATCAATTAGTTATTTTAAATTTAATATATCATTATACTATTTGAACGGACATTAATACATATATATTATTTGTTACTTCTATGTATAAAATACACACGATTCTTCAAAGCTATGTGTGGTATATATATTTGTATTGGAATACAAAATAAAACAAGACGATGCAGGTCATTTGGTTGTTTGATGGGAGTCAATGGTTGATGGCAATAAGGGGTTTGTTTGCAAAACGTAAATACAATATACAGGGTGGTCAGATTAAGAATTGTTCGATGATATATTAAAATATTATTATGGAACTACTATTAGAATGAAACAATATATTAATAGGTTTTTTATGTCAAATAAAATAGTTAACTCAATAACTAATGCATATAGCATGTCCGTAATAAAATTAATTTTAATATATGCCAAACTGAAAGTGTTTCGTGTGGATTACAAAGGTGTTCATACTTGGATTTATTTCTTATAGCACATAGTATTGAGGCAGTCGTAATTATTTTATATTATTTACTTTGTTAATCTTGATTACAGTAGTAGTACGTAGAAGTGTTTTTATCAATTAAACTTCATCATTACCTATGATAGACAAAGTGTATAGGTTTCAAGATGTTACCCTGACGTAGCTTGGATGTAAAGTCAGATTTGTCTGTTCGGAATTATTTATAATCTACATATTAATGCATTCCCAAAAGAGGGTTGATGTCAGGCAGGCGGCCGGTCGTAAAAAACAATTAGCCAAAACTATTCGCAACCTGTGCCTACCCTACATAAAGTGGGATCAAGGCAGGAAAAAAATATCTCTTTCTTACATTTATCATTCGAGATTTAATTTTAACAACCACCTAGAGATTCTGTATGGTTTTAATTATGAAGAATTTATTATGACCAATAAATAGAAAGCTTAAAAAATATAAATTGAAGAATATCATAGAACATTTTATAAAATAAAATAGTATTTTATCTGTTTTAAACCCATAGCCTTCGAGACTATTTATTGATTTTCTTATTCTGAGAAATGTAGGTGGTATTATAAAAATTTTCCACACACGAGTCTTCCACTAATTGGTATTTCATGAGAAAAACACTTGAAGTAGTCGGAGAGGTATTAGTTCGTTATATTTATAAGAATAAAAACATCTAACAATATCCTCCTACAGTGAAATAAGTGTTTTATTTTTCTATTTAACTAGAAAAAAATAACAATTTATAAGAAGCTTGTTCTAATAATCCTCTCATTAAACTCTGCTAGTATAAAAATGAGTCTATACAACACGTTTTTATAACTTTCAATATGAAGTTGCAACGTTTGTGCATTTACAATGTTGAATGTTTTTTATAAAGATAACTTCGTTAAACACGTTTGAATGTAGTTTAATACAAAATGAATGCTTCAGCAACACTGTAGCTATTGAATGACATTGTGTATGGAAATTACGTGGGAGTGAAAGACATATAGAAAAGAATTACACTGAAGAAATATAGACTATAATATTGAGTAAAAAATCATAATTTTTTTGTACTGTCCATGTTGAACATATGTTAGTTTTTTGGGTACATATATATATCTCAATCCCAGACAGAGGTTTCGTGTGATCGATATATTAATACGTCATTATTATAATAATTTGCATCAGGCTGTAGATTGTAGGCACAAAAGGCCCGGTGATTGATCGTGCGAGGGCGCGTCTTAAGTGATTGCCTTCACGACACAACACCGAATTGTGTTTACTTGTTTGATGGTAACGAACAGAATATAACAAGATGTTGGAAAACATTGAATTGATACATTCCTATATGATAATTGCAATCGGATTAAACCTATCATTAGTAATAATTTAATTAGTTAAAGGTTTTATGTTCTTTAAACTTTAGTACAGGATCTATAGGTTGTATACTCATATGGTATACTCCAAGTTTTTCTGACCAGCAGTTCGAAAGATCTTCCACGTGGCGACAAGCGTGCATCAGCTCCGCCGTGCGTTACTCCGCCCGCTGAAGAGGAACAGGCACCAGCCAGCGATGGAGACGCAACACCGGTCAGTATTAACAAGAACACACCTTAAATATCATAGGAATGATTTCAACAGGTGACGGTTATATCAGCGTGGGATACGAAATCTAATTACTACATACTATTTGTAATATGGTTGAGTATTTATGTATATGTAATATATATATTGAATTTAATTGTAAATATTCAACTGTCTCGTTTATGGATTATTTTAAAATCATTCAGGCACAAAAATGTTTTTCACTTATCTCTATACATATACATATATATTTATATAAGAAAGTCGTGTTAGTTACACTATTTATAACTCAAGAACGGCTGTAGGGACGTGATTAAAATTTAGCGAGGAGATAGCTTAGTGCCAGGAGACGGACATAGGATATTTAATTCTGTTCGAAACAGAAAAAACCTTAATAAAATCCAATATCTGGTTATTTTCAGAATAGAAAGCGGAATAGAGATTGCCCGGTCAGCTAAACATATATTATTAATTCCGAAACTAACACGGACGAAGTCGCGAGAAAAAGCTAGTTTATAATATTTATTATTTTAAATTAAAATGTATGTCAGTCTAGCCATCTCGCAAGTTAGATTCGTCACTAAGCCGTGCTTATAATTTCAGTTTTAATATATTTATTCAGCGGCTGCAGTTGTCTAAAGGGATTATTATTTAATTACACTGAAACCAATTTTGTTTAAGCCTCTTTCAAAACTGTGTTTCGTAATATTCATAGGTACTATGTGTTGGGAAGTTGTAACAACTTCGAATGCATCCGCTATGGAAATAAGCTCGTCATCAGTTATCACTGACAGGAAAACGATGCACGGCATATTATTGTTTATGTCGCGTTACTTTAATGATTATTTTTGTTTGATACATTAAAATTATAAGATATTATGTTGCTGCTTATATATAGTTCCTAAATTAATTAATACATAATAAAAAATATGATAATTGCTCTATTTAACACCCGATGCAAAATGAGGCTTATTTTAAGTAAGACGTGGATGTCTGTGTGTCTGTATGTCGCATGGTAGCTCTCAACAGTATCGACTGATTTTGATGCGATTTTTTTTCATCTATAAGTCAATTAGCTTGCAGTTGTTATTAGCTATAATTAGTTAATATAGGTCCAGCAATAAGAGTATCATCAATTATATGAAATAATGTAATCTATTTTTGGTATTTAATTAAAGGGTTGCCCCACACGTGCTAGTATGATAGTTACATGAGAATTAGTACGTAAAATGATTTTTAAATGTCATAAAATTAATGTTACAACAGTATAATGTTATGTATCGGATACAAATTTCTTTCTAAAACAAATAGCATTCCGTACAGCTACCATGAAGTTTAAAAAGTAGTAGTTATTTGTTCTTCTACCTATTTTGAAACAGAACTAGAACAGAGTATAGTAAAGATATTTACGAATGAGTTTTTTATTCAAATCATTCCTTAACTCCTGGATAATGTCCTATAGAGATAGAGACGAGACGAAACCTCTCATCATTCCATGTATTCACCGTGTGGGTGTTTGTCCATCGTTGTTAGTAGAGGAGCTTCAAAATTACCTGGGACTTACTAATACTGTAGTAATTATTAAGTAATATCTATGTTCCATAGACCGGTTTGTGCGTTGAGAGTGCATTGACCTCAACCCCTGGAACACCTCAGGAGAGGGTACACCCTCAGCCTAGACCGCTGCCGATGCCAGAATATGGAGGGTTCTTCGCCCTCCTCACTGAATACTTGCCAGATACTAATCAACCCGTATCTGGATTCCATCGGTAGGTACTCAGCAAGACAGCTTGATTAAACTATCAACAGTCATATGGCCAAAAATCTATATATGTATGTTATGTAACAACAGTTCTTGGATCTAATGTTGTCCGTCTGTTGTAGTTGCAACGTAGCCGTGATGCTGTTGTGTGATGTTGTGTTGGACGGTGTGGATTTGGATTGGTCGATCCACGTACCGCTCATGATGCATATCGTCTTCCTTGGGATGGATCACAACAGGTACTGACTTATAGTATAATGACGTCATCATAGCTCTTTTCTAATTTGAATCCTGCCAATTCTCATTTTTGCGTATTTTGAGTTTTGCTTAAAATTGAATATTTGGTACCAATATACAGGATTATAAAGGCATTCCGGAAATTTTCTCTGCTACACTCGAAACTGCTAAAAGATTTAACTTTACCTATAGATAAAACTATGGTCATGTATAAATAACATGATAAATATTGTCGTTTAGATGGATAGTCCACCAGCATTGTCGCCAGTTGCTGTTGAACCTATTAGTGGCTGTAGCGGCTCATCACGATCACCTGACAGTAGCCAGGGTGCTGCTGGCCGCACGATCGGCACAGCTCGGCCTCGGCCTGCCGCCGCCGCCGCTGCCGTTAGTGCTGCACAACTTCACAGGTAATGACAACATAGCTAATATTTTGTAAAATGATGGAAACCTTTGTCGGAAGCTCTTATTACGTTGTAAATAATATGTCACAAAAATATTGGATCAAGCAAAAATAAAAACTAAAATATTCGTCAAAAATGCCTAACACATTGTGAAGAAACTTTCGAAAAAAAAATATTGAAGCTGAACTGCTATAGAATCTCCTACGAAATATTTAAAGATTTCATAGAATATATGATATCTAGAATTATATGTTTAATTTGTTTTATTTATATTTATATATGTACTGAGAAACAAAATATTATAACCTATGTCCATAGTTTTCCTAGTACTAACAATAAGTATTAGTCGCTATGAACTCATGGGATCCTCGTTTAATCATCTCGCTTATCATCTGAACTCGTTTAAGCACGTCTATTTACATAAAACAGCTTAAGAGATAAAACAGATGTTTACTGTTTCAACGCAAAACTAATAGTACAGTGAGAATTATTAATATACTGTGACCGATTCAACACTCGCTGTTTAAAAAGAATTTTAGTTTTCTCTCAAAAATAATATAGAAAATCTGTTTCAAACTTATGTTCCAAATTCACAGTGAAGTTTGTATAGGTGAGAGAATCTTGTTTTTACCTCATAATTTTTATTTTTCATAGATAGCATAGTGGAAGTTACGTTAAAGTATACGTAGGGTTCATTGAACTCAGAATATTAATTTAAAATTATTATGTATTATATGTATTTTCCTTCCTATAAATATATACATATAATAAGTAGTAAATATTGTCTGGATTGACTTGTTATATATCATACAGAGCCCGAGAGTACGTTGGACAGTTCCCAGCAATGTCCACACTCGCCACGGCCCCATGTGCGATCGCTGTCCTCCGACCCGCAAGTAACACCGGAAGGTAACACTAGTATATATCAAATAATACTAACACATAAAATAACGCATGTTTTCAAGTAAATTCAATGAAAAATTCCTTCACTTCAAATATCTTCAAATAGTCGAAGAATTTCTCAATAGCAATATAATCCTGATCCTAACAATCAATTATGATAAAAATAGGTTCTTATTATTTATATCTGGACGACACATGACATAGTAATGAATTGCAGGTGAATCTGACAACTACCCATCGCTTCCGGTCATAGTGACGGGTGAAACGGAACCGGAAGCGGAACCGGAGCCAGCACCAGCCGAGCTTCCGGTGGCTGACGCCATCAAGTCTCTGGTCCACTACCTCGCGAGTCGCCCCACACACCTGCCACTATGGCAGTACGAAGATATCACAGCTAAAGGTGTGGAAATACATCATAAATCATCACCATCATCATTTCTTATAAAAAATATACTGAAAAAAAAAGTAAAAACAAAAGAGCTATACAAAATTAACACTACTTCAATATTAATTAAATTATCACAATAAATTCACAAATTGATCTCATTAAACAAAAACGATTACACAATTAAAATTAATTGATCAGAGCATAGGCAAATTAGCCATGCAAACAGTGAAGACTTCTATTAGTAACTCTTCGTAAAAAATGTATCATAATGAGTGACTGCTAATCTAGCTGACTATCCCCACCACTGACCCTAATTTTTTATCTATTGTAACATAAATATTAATATAACCATTATTTGTTGTTAGTGTGGTCTCTCCGTAGCTGTAGCCAGATGTCGTCACTAGTCCGTCACGTGCTCCGTATATTTCGCGAGTCTCTACCACACGCCCTCATCTCGGAGCGATGGGCCCAAACAGCGTTACAGCTGGGCCTCTCCTGCCCTTCAAGACATTATGCTGGAAGATCCCTCCAGGTGAGGAAAATATATGAAACTCCTTACTTTATGGTCTGAATGACACTGTCATACATAATACGTCATTATATATATATATATATATATATATATATATATATATAAATGAATTGGTGTTCGTTAGTCTCACTAAAACTCGAGAACGGCTGAACGGATTTATCTCATCTTAGTCTTGAAATGTTCGTGGAGGTTCAGGGAAGGTTTAAAAGCTGAAAAAAATTGATTCATTTCCGGTACCCTAAAACCAGCGCTTTTCTATTTGCCATACAAACGTATTTTTTTGACATGAGATTTATGGCTTAAAGGTAAATTCCAAAAAAATAAATAAAAAAATATTTATTTATCGATTGAGGCAGTACGAGGTCTGCCGGGTCAGCTAGTACAGAATGTTTCTTTTATTTGCTCATAATCTTACTTTGCGTTATGATTTTTAAATATCGAAGGCTATTTTATTACGTAAAAGTGTATTATACCGTAAATATATGTCCCAGGTGTTTCGTTTCATCGGTGTCGCGATGACCGGTCGCATGGTGTCAGACATTCTATCACGTCTGGTGGAAACTGTGGCTGAACAGGGTGAGGATATGCAGGGATATGTGACGGAACTGCTCCTTACTCTGGAAGCCGCTGTTGACTCGCTGGAATCGAACTTCAGACCTCTAGATTATATGAGGGACATCTTCAAATCGACGCCCAACTTGAATAATAAGGATGGCGGACAGCAACCTAATGGAAACGCATTCGCTGCTGGTATTTATTAACATTGTGACATAATTCTGGTATATTTTGATGTTGCTCATTATTTAATGTTTTCTATCAGGCAAACGTTCGCCAGGAGTGTGTGTTGGTTGCGTCAGTAATCACACTCGCAGCACTAGTTATTCGGTGTCGTATTGCGTTAGGAAGAACGCACCACCATCTGCCGAGAAACAAACTCACGGTATATAGGAAAAAATTATTAATATTAACGCTTAAATAGTTTCATTTTCATGATATTTGTTCCATTTGTGAGTTAATTATATAATATCATGTTTGTATTTCAGAGACCCGCCCCAGACCCTGTGAGGCAAGCAAAGGCACGTGCAGCAACTTGTGTCGCTCAAGATCAGCTCAGTCGCTTAAACTTCTTGGAGATACCGCGACACAGGTTCGATATAAAAAAAAGTCCCAAAAAATCATTAAATGTGTTTTATTTTAAACATTCTTTGATAATTTGAGAAGATATCACCCTCTCGTGATCCAAAAATTATAAGAGATCTAAGACTTTCCCGAGTAATCATTTAAATGAAGCTAATATTATAAGACGTTTGGTATCTCGTCTGCCCGAGATCACGGTTGCTGCAAAGTAACCGAAACGTCGGGAGTATGTAGTTCTTAAACATAATAAAATACAGCGAAACCAGTTGTTTTCACCTAAAAACATGATCAAAGGTATCCAAACATTCATCCGCCATATCTATCCTCAGGACGACAAGCTAACTATCCTCGCGACTCTATTCTGGGTGGGCGCGTCTTTATTGGAATCTGATTATGAACACGAGTTCCTCCTCGGCGTGAGGCTGTTATCCCGGGTCATGGCTCGACTCCCTCTCGATAGACCTGACGCCAGAGAAAGATTGGACCGAACGCAAGCACACGGAACACATTCACCTGCATCACTACACTCGCTGCTCCTAAAGGTCCATATATCATACAAATTTCCTGTAGCAACTATTCGCAGCGTAGGAAGATTAGTGTATTATGAAATATATATCATGTAAACAATAAATATATATATATATTTAGTACTGTAATTGGTCCCCAAAAAAAATTATACCGTATTCAAGAAGTATAGTTCATTTTTAATATTGTATAATCTGTAACAGGGCTTCACTCATCCAAATACGTACGAACCGGTGGTAGGGGTTTTGGTGGACATGATCCCACTGCTGGAACTACCAGTAATTGATCCCACGCAATCACTCGCCTTCCCGATGACAGTAGTGGCATTATTACCGTACATGTTACTACACTACGAAGAAGCGAACGAGCTATGCGTACGCGCAGCATGCCATATAGCACAGGTAATGAAAATAAGACATACAAAAAGTAAATATGAAATAGAATATTATATAACACATTTTTCTTGAACAGTTCACGTCTGAAAAGAGCAAGAAATTGGAGAATCTTGGTACGGTGATGACGTTGTATTCGCGAAGGACGTTCAGCAAGGAAAGCTTCCAATGGACCAAGTGTGTGGTGAAATACCTCTGGGATACGTACTCACATCTCTCGCTGCAGATGCTGGCATTCCTCGTAGAGGTTTTAGAGAAGGTAGCTATCAGAATCGGATAAAAATATTGTCATTTAGTTTTAAATCATACTAAAATTCATACTTATCTATATACATATATTCTCATTAACTCTATTCTCGGTCTTAATGGGTCTAAAAAAGGTTTGTTTCTCCCCCAGGGCGCCCCAAGTCTTCAATTACCGGTGTTGTCAACTCTCCACTGTATGCTGTACTACGTAGAGCTGGGACCTCAGCCAGTTCACGCTGACCTATTGCGGGCCGTGGCTAAATTCATTGACGTAATTATGACTTTTAAAAATATAACATAATATACGCAAAATCATATATATTACTAGAAGACCCGGCGAACTTCGTATCGCCCTATAATCAAGAAATATCTGTTACGTTTTTTTATTTACATTTTTGGAGTTTACCTATTAAAGCCATAAATCTCCGTGTTTTGAAATGCGACAGAATGATTGACATATTAATTAGTTGTCAAATCTAATGTCAAAAAAAAGTTTGTATCAACAACTACTAATAAATTAAAAATTAATAAAAAAAACATCGTCCAGCGGTTAAAATTATGAGTCTAAACCATTCCCAGATCCCCTTGAACACACAAAGAATTTCATCAAAATCGGTCCAGTCGTTCGAGAGAAGTTCAGTGACATACACACTCACAGTAGAAATATATATAAAGATTTTTATGATGAATTTCTTCATTTCATGTTTTTTGTTACATGTGCAGCAAGACGGCAACAATTACAAGGAGGCGATGAAGATTTTGAAGCTAGTGGTGACTCGCTGCTCGACGTTAGTTGTACCACCTCATTGGGACCACGCGAGCGTCCTTGACGCTGACCTTCACGGGAAGAAGGTCAGTAATTATCCATAAATATAATCACTTAATTCTAATTACCTATTTCGTTATATTAATTTTCTCATATTTAGCCCTAGTTGTTTCTCTAACCTATATAAAACCACAAAATTTTCTAAAATTTTGATTCAGTGTAAAATTATATGACCTAAACAAAAGTTCTTGTTTTTTCATGTTTCCATAATATTTGTTCATTTGTTGTCACAGGAACTGCCCGGTCGGACAATGGATTTCACCTTCGACTTATCCCAAACTCCTGTAATCGGTCGTAAATATCTGCCCAAGACTGGCAGCCAGCCAGCCACTGGACCAAGCTCTCTCTCCAACGCATCTAACACTACACCAGATAAAGGTAAGTAAAAAAAAACATTCAACAATTAGTTGATATAAAATAAATTAGATTTTAAATCTAGTACCCGTTATATTTGAGGATAGTGAAAATCCGCGTAATTACCATTTTATAATTCCGCGTATCTACATTGGAAGCAGATTATCAGAAGAGAGTTTGAGATGAAATATTTTTCTATATTAACGACTTTTAAGGCAATTTTTTCACAATTACTAATTATTCAGTGTGAAAAAATTATCTTATATATAGAAGCTATAGCTGTTTAAGGGTTATTGTATAATCTAATGGTATAATTTCTTGCATTTAGCTGGTTCTTCATCCGGTTCAGCATCGACGGTTGTAGGGGCGGAGTCAACCACCGCTCATTGCGTCGCCTCACCACGAAGATCTCTATCACTATCACCAGCCGACGCGCTAGCATCAGGCTGGAAAAGGCCATGGATGTCGCAGGTATGTATATATATATATATATATCTTACCTATGTATTACTGATCCGATTTTGATGAAACTTTAATATAAATATCTTTAAACAGGGTCGTGTCCGAGAATGCCTCGTGAACCTACTGACTACCTGCGGCCAGAGAGTCGGCCTACCCAAGAGTCCATCTGTAAGCATCGCCCCCAACATACTAACCATCATAATAATAATATATAATAACAGTTATCTATTCTATTCTATCCATCGCTGCGTAGGACGATTTAATTACCACTTTATGTTCTAAGGTAAAGACTTGTTATACTATCACGATACGGACACACGCGGCCTAATGAGACGGCTTAGCTTATCATTATTGTATTGTATTGTGTTTATATCATTATAATAGGTATGTTAGGTATCGATTTAGTTCAATTTAGAATATTCAATAATTTCTTCCAGCTCAATAGTCATTGCATAGTCTAAAATTGTCATTTTTCCGGTTTATACACTGAGTGTTTGCTATAGATGATCATATATTATTAGACGGTGCTATCGCTTCCATGTTGGTTGAAAGCTCAGTTACAAGACATAGAAGAAATATGAATAAAATATCAATACAATAGCACAGCAAAAGCACTGGAAATGAATATCATTGTGTTTTATATTTTATTGTTATATATATGTTTTTATTTATGTCTGTGTGTGTAGGTGATATTCAGCCAAAGTTCTGAGCTGTTGGAACGGGAGTCTTCTATGGCGTCTTCTTTGGAGGAAGTTTCCGGAACTCCAGGGAATGAGCCTTCAGCCGGCGCGCCCCCTACCGACCACTTCGGAGTATTCAAAGACTTTGACTTCCTCGAATACGAGAGCGAGAGCATCGAGGTCAGAATACTAAATAATTTAAAAAAAAGAACGTTTTTTTATCAACATATATAAACTCTTTTATACACACTTCCTTTGAAAAGGTCAGCATTATTGAGCGTAGTTGATAATTTATTTTTAAACGCATCACATCGCAGGGAGATGATTGTATCCTAGCAACGGATATAAGCCACGCCCACATGAAGGTCGCTATTTCTCCCCACCCCATCCCACTCGACCCAACATTAACACCTCGTTTATAGATTTACTAAAAGCAGTACTTTATATATAATATATAGCTATGTATCGAACATGTTATGTACGTCATCATGTTATGTAATGTGAAGTAACTACGCAGCTATGAAATCTTATTATTGACGTCGATATTATAAATTTTAATTATTTAATTATAGGTTTTTTCACAAGATTAAATATAAATTATATTTTATATATTTTTATCAAAGCTGTACTTTTTGTATGTAGGGCGAGAGTTCGGACAACTTCAACTGGGGCGTACGTCGTCGCCTCTTGAGTGAGGAGCGCGAAGGGATTCCAGAGCGTAGCCCACCACCCCAGCGTGGCAGACCCGACCACGACCACCACCACCACGCTAAACAGGTACTGCTAATATCACACTATATATAAACATACGTCGAGCTAGTTTTCTCGGTCTACCCAAGATTTACACAATTTTTTTTTGAAAGTACAGAACTGTATAATAAACTACCCAACGTATAAAAAATGTAAAATCATTTAACGTATTAAAAAAATAATAACGTATTAAAAAAATAAAACTTTAGACAATACGTTAAATTAGTACTTAATATACTCGTAGAAAAACGTCTCTTAGTTAAAAGTTATATTTGAAACAATTGCTCGTTATATTTAATTTTTGTTACAAATGCGATGACGAACATTATACTCATAAATTTTTCGTTATAAGTAACAAATAGTGTCTTAATTGGAATAAAACATCTTAAACCTTATATTATATTGATGTATGCTAACGATTTTTTTAATATATAGTTGGGTCACGAGGATTCATCAGATGAGGAGGTCGGCTGGGATGAAGGAGGTCGCGGGGAGGTCGGGGAGGCGGGGGAGGGGGACGCGGCTCACGAACTGGCGCTAAGGACGAGGGCACACTCACTGTCGAGTGCATCTAGTGGGGATCCTGATGGTAAGTGGTAGAATGACCTTGAAAAAATACTAGTAAGGAATTAATGATACACTTGAGTCTATCATTCAATAGGGGAGAGAGGGGACGTGACCCCTGTGCCGGGAGTCGTGGGCAACGTGAGCGTGTCGAGCGCCGTGGGCGTCGGCGTGGGCGTTAGGGACTCGTGGCGGTGTTCCGTGGCAGCATTACTCCGCCACGCTACCCACCTGCCGCCGATAACGCTCGTTCATAGATTGCATACCGTGCTTAAGGTATTGAAATTTTGTGTTTTTATGTATACTATAAGCATTCGTAGCCTAGTAGGTAAAGACCCGCCTCTCGTGCATGAGTTTGCGATTTCTAATCCTGGCAAGTACCAATGTGATTTTGCCTAGTCATATGTACTTAGAGTATTTAGACACCACTGACTGATGAAGGAAAACATCATGAAAAAACCTCGATTTATAATTTCCAATTATAAGTTTGATCAACAACGCGTCTTGAGCGAGTGTGGTCATTAATTCTCAAACCTTCTCCATGTGGGAAGATGCCTATATTTAGCTCTGATAGGCTGATAATGATACTATAAGCTTATATTGTTAACAGGAAGTCATGTCGAAGACTATTTCCGTTTGCGGCGAAGGGTCATTGGTGGGTGGTGGGGGTGAGTTAGCGGCTGTATTAGAACGCCTATCACTAGAAGAGCCTCCCTTACTATGGGCCGGGCCCGCGGCCGCAGATTGTTCCCGAGTAAGGGATGCGGTTCGATACGCAGCCCTGGAGATAAACGAACATCTAGAAACGTACTTCGATAGGAGAGAAAATGCGTTAGAGGTAAACACTTATATTATACTAGCTGACCCAGCAAACGTTGTTTTGACATATAAAAAATAGTTAAGTTAGTTGGTGAAAAAAAAATTGGGGTTGTCACATTGTACAAAAAATTCATCAAAAAAAAAATGGTGAACAACCCTTATCACTTAGAGGTATGAAATATAGATAGTAGCCGATTCTCAGCCCTACTGAATATGAATATAAAATTTGATAAAAATCGGTAAAACCGTTTCGGAGGAGTACGGTAACTAACATTGTGACATTTAAATTTTATATATTAGGTGATAGTGTATATCAATAGTGTATATCAATATACCTAGAAATTAATACTTTCTTTTATAATTTCTGTTAGACATTGGAGTTATCAAGAAGCGCCGAGGAGACGGGTCGCTGTTTATACAAGTTGATATTCCAACTACTGCTTCTGTTGGAAACGAACAATAAGATGGTGGTAGCTGTGTACCACGCGGCCTTGGACAATAGGGTGAGCAATATAACACACACACACATATAGTCACATACACACACACGGGTTTAAGAACTTTATTTAAAAGAATTTACATTCACTTAAAACAATAATACGAATATAAAAATATTGTTGGGTAGTTTTTATTTGTACGGTACACTCGATGCATAGAAACAAAGAACTCGATTCATAGAAACACACACACACACGCACACACACACACACACACACACACACACACACACACACACACACACACACACACGTGCATATATAGCATCACACACACGCCGTCAAATTTCAACTCGTAACAACGTACGAATTCGTGGAAATCGATTTTTCAGTAAATTTACTTGTAATGCAGTATTGCGAATACAATTTTAATGATTTGTTTCTAAAACATTTATCTTCACTGACTTGTGAAATTTGGCAACACTGTCGCTTTGACAGAATAACTGAACTGTCACAATTAATCACCTTACAGTATAGTTAAAGTTAAAGCGAAACATACCTATATTGAAAATCGTAATATATTACAGTAGAAAATTTCATGTGAAAATATTTTTTTATGATAAAAATTGTATACCTTTCATTACACATATTAAAAAAATACCAACTTCATGTTATAAATTTCAGTATGTTTTGTAATATTTTCGTGAAATAAATTTCTATGATACAATATAACAAAAAAAAATGAAAATAATAAAATAATTTTCACAAACATATTATTTGTAAACTATGTAATAAATAATTTTTTTCTACATCATATCATTATAATGATTGTACTGATATATAAGAATTTCACACTAAATTAAATAAAAATTTGTATTGCATATGATAATAACGTACAGCTTATTAAGTCGTCTAAATAAAGAAAAATAAATTACTTAGAACAAAACAAAATTATTAAAAGAAAATTAATAAGATCATTTTTAGAACATCATGATTGTACTGATATATAAGAATTTCACAAAAAGTAAATTAAAAATTGTAATAAAGTAAATCTGGTTAAGTCGTCAAAATATAGAAAAATAAATTATTTAGAACAAAACAAAATTATTAAAAGGCAATAAATTAGACCATTTTTAGAACACTTTACTCTGTGAAAATTATTCTCCTGAAACGATAATTGAAACGCATATGACGTCATCACAGTTCTAGAAACGAAACTCCATACAAATATGGTCTAAATAAAATATATCCTATTACTATATATTTATTAACTATTGATATCATAACAAATAAAGTATATAGTAATAATTATATAGATTATTTTGATAATTTTCATGTTTTTAAAATTTGTTTTAAAATTGCATTATAATCTCAAAAATTTTATACGTAAATAATTCAATTATGTCCATCAGCTAGCGAAAATTTTAAAACTTATTTACGGTATATGTATATTAATTATATTATACCAGGCCAAGCGTCATGTAGATTCGACCTCGACCCACTGCCCTCTGTCTGACCTGACCTTTGACATTTATTACTGCGCAGTTCCACGTATACAAATTAATATGCAAGGCAACTAGTATTCTGGGAACTAGAAATTCCTTTGTACACTTGTTGAGTATTATATATATATGTTACTATTTATATGTTTAAGCTGACTTTGTTATAACGAAGAACATCCTGCGATCTTCTCATAGGTTGCTTGGCAACGAATTTAATGATTGCATATATATGTGTGTGTGTGTGTGTGTGTGTGTGTGTGTGTGTGTGTGTACAAGTAAGACATACTATTGTATGTCGTCCATTTGTTATAATAAATGAAAGAGCTGTTTCGTAGAATACAAAATTTTAATTTGAATTCATATAACAATATCATATTGCATTTGACTTTGGATATATATTTTGATTTACGTATAACAAAAGCGTTTCGACGAAATCTCTTTGTAGTCAATAGATGATGTCTAAACTATATTGTTTCAAATGTTATATACTAGTTTTTGCATTCGGCTTCGTCTGTCTTGAATTTCAGCATTTGATTAGAAAGAAATGTATGTATGTCTGGTCTATGTCACGTGACTTCATATACAATACAACTTTTAATATGATATAAATTATTAATTATAACCTCTGTCTTGTTCTAATGATTAATATACGTTAAAATAAAATTTAAATGAAACTAATATTTTTCGAATTTTACGCGTGCTTTACTTTCGACATCTCGTCTTTGTGATCGCTGTTGTTGAAAAGTACCCGAAACGTCAGTAATATGTAGTTTATTACAAAAATAAAGCTCGCGTAGTATATCCGAAAATATAATTTTCTTTTAAATTATTAAAACTCGCGAAAGTTTTACTTCTCGTTATAATAAAATTTTATCGAAATATGTTTAATCGTTTTTGCCTGCAATTTCAATAAGTACGTACATGCTCACATAGATTTATAATTTGTATTATACTAGTATTGCCCGCGACTCCGTCCGCGTGAACATCAGAATTGCGCTTAAAATATATGTATGTTATAACAGTATATATAGTAATCCATAGGTAGTGACATCTATAGTGTGTGTCACGAAACTTCACTCGCACAGACGCTACTAGTAATTGCGTAATATATTATAGCCAATATATTATTCTTATAAGTAAATTATATAATCTTGAAACAAATATTTTTCGATTATAAATACTCGCGAAAGCCTTAGATCTCGTAAAGAATCTTGAAAGTTTCATCAAAATCAATTCAGTAGTTTTTACGTGATAGAGTGTCAGACATATACTCGTACATCCATTTGTTTCAATTTACAAATTCTTTAATGAATTTTTAGAATATATTCGGAAAAACATTTTTATTTATTTTATTTAATTTACTTATTTTTGTTGGTTTTTCAGTATTATAATTATTTTGATTGAGTTTTAAAACTCCTGTAATCTAATTCAAATTCAAACATTTGAATCTGTTTTTATTTTATTATTTTCGTACAATTTTAAAATATTTTCTTTAATTTTATAAAATAATATGCGTTTTTAAAAAGGAATTTTTCTGTTTTATCTTGACTCGTTTGGTTGTAAGTACGTAAAATGAGATTCATTGCCATTAACAAAAAAGCTAATTTTTAAACAAGTGACAAGTTCCAAACGCAAATAAAACCGATTGTTATCATAGTTTATATCTTCTACCTGGCAATTTCCCGGCTATAGCCAGGGTCTGCCTTACATGTTGTGAATAGTTTTGGCTAATTATTTTTTACGACCGGCCGCCTACCTGACATCAACCCTCTTTTGGGAATCAGCATAATGATCATAGTTGTAGTCATAGTTTATAACGCATAGTATTACATATATTAAATAATACATAAATATATAAAATATTAGTATCATTATATGTATATGATGTATGGTAGATATAATCCTTGCAGATTTATTGATCGCTTTGTTGCACACGCGCGTTGCATCCGACCTCCATAACTAGATTTCCTCGAAATCTCCCTATAACTCATCCCATTAGTACACGTGTAACACCCCCAAACACCTCCCAACACCCCCCAGCATCCCCACACGCCTCCCAACGAAGGTTCTACCTGTGTTCCTCCATATTGGTTATTGATTATGTATGCTCCAATTCATCGAAGTGCATGTTATTATTCTCACAAATTTTTCAATTGCTAATAGTTTTGTTTTTTTTTTTTATATAATATAAAGATTTGTCACGGCGTATTTATATGTGTGGATTGACGCACTTATAACTGTTTAGACGAAATTATTAATTAAAAGACTTAAATCATCCTATCAATAAATTTCGGAAATTCATTTTTTTTTTTTTTTTGAAAATTAGTTAATTAGTGACCTTTTTCGAATACAGAGTCAATTAATGTCTTGTATCTTTCTGGACGATGATACGTACCAATGAATAAAAATTTATCAAAAAATATATTTCATTCATACAAAAAGATTTTGATGATATACTTTTTTTATATAATAAAAAAAAATTAACTCAGTGGTGGTCTAGTGGTTAGAGGGCCCGCCTCTCGTTGCTGAGGGCGCGGGTTCGATCCTGGCAGGTACCTATGTGATTTTTCCGAGTCATATGTACTTTCTAAGATTATTTAGACACCACTGATTAATGCTGGTTCCCAAAAGAGGGTTGTTGATGTCAGGCAGGCGGCCGGTCGTAAAAAAACAATTAGCCAAAACTATTCACAACATGTTAAGGCAGACCCTGGCTATAGCCGGGATATTGCCAGGTAGAAGAAGTAGAAGAAGACCTTTTTTTATATAATAACAAGTTTCTGACCGCGGCTTTCCATGAGTTTTGTATTTACTCAGATATTTTATAATAATAGATACGGTAACCAATAAAAACGTGTAGTGCAGACGTCATACACATAGCAAATATTATGTCTTGATTTTACGCCTACGAGCTATACCGAATTGGCTAATTACTAATGTCTAAGCTACTTGAATGTGGTTTTATCAAAATCTGTCAAGCAGTTTTATGCATAAAATACAGAAAATTCTCATTCATAATATAATTGGGATAAAAAGTACATCATATATAGAAATGGGTCAAGTTTATAACGCTACGGAAGATGACTTAATGATTACATAACTTAAATATATACATATATAATAAATACTTTACATACATTACTTTACTTTACATTATTACATATAATTCTAATTATTATTTAATAGATATATAAAAAAAGATTACCTCCGATCTTAAGATAATATACTCGTAAAAACAGTTTTTCATACAAATTTAATATTGTCACATCCAAATTGTTTTGTTTAAATTTAAAATATAGATATAGTATCAGTTTAAAATAAAGACGAGTGGCAATCAAAAATTCTCTGTCATTGTTAAGGAAAAACAATTTCGTATTTGTTATATTAAACATAAAGATTTCAATTTACTATTCATATGAAAATAATTTATAATAACTGGAAACATCATGCTTATAATCGCGAAAGTTCTACGGATCGATGCAATAATCTTTCATACAATATATATAAAAATATATCTCGTTTACATGCTTTTTTCATTTACATTGAAAAGACATAACAAATATCAAAACTAAATAAAACTGAAGATTATTTTTGTTACCAAAATCATATGTTAAAAATTCTCGAAGTCTTCACAAGATGTATTTTAGTTACTATAAATAAAAATAAATAAAATAAAAAAAAACTTTATTGACTCAAGGATTACATAACAATCAAGTTGCAAGGGCCCCTGTACTAGGTGCAAACCAATATTACTGGGTGCCTCGCTCATCCACCAAGACAACTAGAAACTCAACAATGATTTTGTTACACAGATTTATAGTAATATCATATAAAGCAGTGTAAACAATTTTATAAAATAACTAAAAGTGTGTGTGTGTGTGTGTGTGTGTATGTGTATCTGTGTGTGTGCGTGCGGGCGTGCGTGCGCTTAAACAAGTATAAATTTTATTATAATTGTGAAAGGTTTAGATTAATTATCAATTACTATTATATAAATATTTCCAGGGCGTTGAGATGAGTTCATCTGTGTCATCTGTGAGGGCTGCATTAACAGCACACGCGGCGGAGGCCTGGGGCTCCAACTCACCGGCGCCCCACGACGACGCCGTACTACTGCATATGATGCAACGACAAAGGTACGTATATACATAAATCTCATCTAAATAATACCATTGGTATCAAAATTCTGTAGAAGAACGAAATAATTTGTTTATAAATATTATATATTTATGTATAAATACTAGAAGACCCGGCGAACTTCGTATCGCCCTATAATCAAGAAATATCTGTTACGTTTTTTTATTTATATTTTTGGAGGTAACCTATTAAAGTCATAAATCTCCGTGTTTTGAAGTGCGACAGAATGATTGACATATTAGTTAGTTGTCAAATCTAATATCAAAAAAAAATGTTTGTATCAACAACTATTAATAAATTAAAAAAACATTGTCCAGCGGCAAAAATTGTGAATCTAGACCATTCCTAGATCCCCTTGAACACACATAAAAGATTTCATCAAAATCGGTCCAGTCGTTTGAGAGAAGTTCAGTGATATACCCACTCACAGAAGAATTATATATAAAAAGATAATGTAAAATAATACATAATTAAATGATGTTAGTAAAAGCTTCAACTAAAAAAAAAACGGCCCACAAAAGACCATACGAAAATGAGTAACATTTTTAATGTGTCAAGATGGGGCGCAGCCCTAGCGATGGTGAGGGAACGTAACGCCGAGCGTATCTTGGAGCGAGGCGAGCTGCCCGAGGACGACGTGACCAGCCTGCTGCACGTGTACTGTAGAGGACTGGCGCAGGCGCACCCAGGTGATACATACATACACACACACACACACACACACACACACACACACACACACACACACACACACACACACACACACACACACACACACGTAGTAGACAAAAATACCATTTATTAAAATATCATACTAAAGCTGTATACAGTTTAGATATTGTAAATTAACATCCTTTAATGTATAAGTCATATACATCAATTATACAGGGTGACTGGTGAATTACTATCGATACTTGAGGACGTGATATTTGACGATCATATATGACAAAATAAAAATTAATATAACATAAATATTAATAAACTTCTAAGTAAAGTTAACCAAAAGTTATGTAATTAATTACGCATCGTGTGAACACCCTACAGATTAGGTATACACACACACACACACACACGCGTCGGCGGCGTGGTGTTGTATCAGCACGCCGCCGCACGCTTCCACACTTGGAACACTTGGAACGTGTCCACCCTTTATTTATTTATACGGAAATTTGGTCAAAAATTAAGTACCTATTTTTTTTACATAATTCGAATGAGAATCATGTACCGAGTATGCTCCGTAAATATTGATAGTAATTCACCAGTCACCCTGTATATTTATACGAGTTTTGCCTGCGACCCAAATAAGGTAATATAGGTCGCGGCCTTGAATTTTAAATAACCTACATACTCACTGTAGCGCCATCTGTAGGACTGATTTGTAAATCGGCGATACTCATATCCGTACAAAAAATATCGCTCAAATCGGTCCAGCCAATTAGTAGTTTATTGACATACACACGTACAGTAGAATTATATATATGTATGTACAAAAATGAAATATGTACACTATATATACAAAAGACAAAATTTATCAATATTAATAATAAGTCGAACTGTTTCAACTAAGTTGTATAACTAATTTATGTTCATAACTCCATATTAATTGTCACACGTGTGTTACATTACAGACATGGTGGCCATCACACGTCCGGTCAATGAACTCTCCCAAAACCTGTCCTTCATGATGGAGAGCCTCTACAAGGTGTCCGTGTCGCTGCAGAGGCAGGAGTACGGCTGATGACGTCACTGTGACGTCACCAGATGCCCCGCCCCCTCCCCCCACCAAGAGAAACCCTTCCCCCCCATCTAGAGAAATAACATCACATACAGACACATGACGCAACGAACAAGTATCGAAATGTGAACAATACATATATGATATATGTATATAATACGTTTTGTGAAATATATAGAGACGATACCAGTCGACACAACCCGCAGAAGGGATGCGGGGCTTAGATGAATTAAACAAACCAAAAATAATTATAAATCTCAATTTATATTCTATATGATATGTGTTACATATAACAATATATATATATAAAATTTGATTATTGATAAATAATTAATTTAGCTAAACCGAATGTATTTTTGTTTGTGATCAAATTTATAGCATTATGTAGTGATGAGAGTCTGAATATATATTGACCGTGGTATTCAACAGAAAATAAAACATGTTTTAGGATTTAAAAGTTTTAAATTAATTGTAAATAAGCGAGTAATATGTAAGAATGTCTATCAGTAGTTAAAAAATTCGAAGTAATTGTTATATATAAGAATTGTCTGAAAAATTATATATTATATGAACAATCTATTAGAGATATAACTGCAAAAGATTCAAAGATAAAAGAAATTTTTGGGTGTTACATCCTTTTAAAGTGCAGTTGAATATATCAAAGTATTTTATTAAACAGACTCTCGAATACAAATATGTGATTGTCTACGGAAGGAACAAAGTCAATTTATTATCTGTACACCGAAATGTTGACGCTATACTGTAATATATAAAAAATAACTCAAAAAATATACAAATTTAACGGCAATTAATACAAATTAACACGAATTCAAAGTTTTCAATACTTATATTAAAATAATATATAATAATTTGTTAGCACGAACAAACGGACGGTATTATAGTTGTCTAGAGAATTTAGTTTATATTAGTAATACTAATTTTACATAATAACACTGTCATATGATTTTCAAATAACTGATCTCAGCTAGGGTACTGTCACTCGCTATCACAATTTATATTATAATAATAAAAGCACTAGAGAACACTCACACAACCAAATGATTCATTAATTTATATTGTCTAGTGCTTATTATCATTAATCGGTTCCATTTATTCTGCTAATTCGTTGTTTTTAGATTGATTTCATAAAAATCAAATTAATTTTCGTTCATTGAAATCAGCGCCATCTATTCGTTTTTCGTTGAACTTTTTACACCTTTGTTAAGGTGAAGCGGATACTTCAACACATTTTGACAATGTATTTTCCCGCGTTTTTTGACCATAGAGAATGAGTTTAAGAATTTTGTGTTATTTTTATTACCACTATCGTACATTGTTGTACCAAATAATGCATAATTTTTATATAAACGCGATGTTTACTCAATGCTTTTTGTGATATTTTTTTTTTCATTTATTTTTTTTAATCTACTAATTACAATATTTATTGTTAGCTATGTATGTTATTAACATTGTCTCTGCCCTGTTCGCGCCACGCGTGTATTATTAAGATAATAGTATGGAAATGTATTAAAAAATAATAATAAATTGATTATTAAACAATGTCTTTTTACTTCTTCCCAATATTAATATATCATATACTACTATTACGACCAGGTTTCGTCTTTATCACGCTAAAGATGTCATGTTGGAGGAAGCATTTGCATTTGCGATGGCAACATAGAAGAACAACGCTTCATACAGTGCCTTAGAATATTTATTTACAAGATTTATTTAAAAATCTTGTATTTTGTTATCATACTATATTTCTGTTAATCGTGCAATCGCAAAATATTTGAATTTCTATAATATAGAATTTATTTGTTTTTTATAAAGTATATTTCAATGGCCGCTTTGCGAAATCTATACCAAAGTATAAAAAAATAAGTAAACTCGACTTAGCTGTTGTAAAAATTCGCTGATTTACGCTGATTTGATTACTATGATATCAATAAAAATGCATACCATTTTAATTTTTTTATTACACATAAGTCACAATAGATCGTATATAATAAACATTGATCCAGAGTTCACAGATTGAAGAAATACAATAAAATACATCAAAGATGAAATACACAACATTCATATGTTATCGAAAAATTATTCCTGAACTAGAAAAGTACAGGAATGTTATAATGATCAAAATTATTCCTTAGATTTTATTTTATAATTCAAGCCAGTCGCCTTAAAGAAGCGATGCAACACCCTGTCCGTGGCAGCCAGAGCCGACTCACTGCGAAAATAATATATTTATTAATCATTTGTCATACATTCGCCCTGCTTTATATGCAACAAGTGGGAAAAGTTCACTAGAATGGAGAATGGTTGTTCTGTTCTTTCTAACTTTATTCAATGAGTGATTGAATGAACCTCACCTTACGTTCCAATTCCTGCGGTAGGAATTGGACAGGTAAATGACCGAATCGTTAGGGAATCTCCCGATGAACTGAGGAGTTTTGAGATAAGGGCTAACATCGTAGCAGTAGCAGTAACTATCGTTGGTGTACTTCTGAGAGCTCAGCTTGAACATGTTCGCCAGCACCATCAGGGCTATAGGAACGGCAGCCATCATGCGAGGCATCTTCACCAATCAACTGATCTGAAAAATATACATCATTTAAAAGTTGACATAAATTTTAAACTCTATAATAAAACGTCAAACTTTCTGTTAAAATAATTAATAATACTTTTAATGTTTCATGTTAAATACCTGTTACTTCCAGAAGTATTCCCAGTCGACCTCAAAGGTTGTACCTCACAGGATGACTGACTGCAGCTGTATCGATCACAAGGATTCGCATGCGTTCGATGCAGAGTTCCAAACATGCGTACTTGGGTGCAACACACCCTAATATTATCTCTCTTCCACCTGCATCATATGAATATCGATTATGACACTCCCAATGCACGGAAACGTTTGATAACGAACATTATTACGCAACGCTTCTACAGAAGCTTTAAATAGCTTCCAAGAACTCAATAAACAAAATGTATGTAACAATTTAAGAAAAATAACTATGTAGTTTTAAATGAATTATTAATTTAATGGATATTTTTAAATTTGCCTCCAATCTTATTAAACTATCATTATGTAACCTACATTGATCATTACTAAATCTGTTGTATGCCATAGCATTAACAAAGTCTGTTGCATTTTTGATACTACCTACTGCCTATATTTACGGAATATTTTTATATTACCCTAGAAGGCGATTACAGCAGTACTTACATTAGAGTTTCATTACCAATACCTAAAAATAGAGTAGTATAAAATTTTAAGCGCATAATTATGGCAACTTAATACCTGTTTTGTAAGTTTTAAAATAATTGCATATAATTATTATAATATGTAATTAATTATTACTTAAAGTGTTATCATAATAAGCGTTTTTATTTTCCGTAACTTCAATTAAATCTGTAATGGGCGAAGATTTATGTATGTATGATAAACGGGAAACGCTGCGTACGTAGTTAAAACAAACCTGGAGTAAGCATGCTGAGGTGAGAGAGTAAATACTTAATTGTTTTTGTCTTACTTTAAGATAAAAATATAATATTTTTCGCTCTCGTCAAAATCAAATAGCTTCCATTAACTGAAATGAATTAAAGAAATATTATTTATTACTATGTTGTACGAAAAGCCCTGCTGCAAATATAAATACAAGTTGAATCTACATTACTAACCGATGGTAGGTTCTAAAACTTTTTAAACTTAAATGGCTTTTTTCTTATCTTTAAATGACTTCGTGGAAAATTAAAAATTCTCAAAGTGTTGTATTTCTTTTTAAGAGACGAAACTTCTTAGCATCCAATGTATTCACCGTTTGGGTGTCGGGTCCATCGTTGTAGTGAGAGGAGCTTCAACAGTGACTGGGACTTGGGACCCAGCTGTAGGTTTAAGGGGTCCTTATCTAACGCGCGTTAAACGCTCACTTCCACCATTCAAGCTCTCTCTCTCTACTTAAAAAAAATTAAACACACTAACTAACTAGGACCGTCTTCGAAGTACGTTCCAAGAGTTAATGTTAGTTCTGGACACGCCCAGGTCTTTTCATGTATAGAAATTTTGCTGTTATTACTCTCGCCCCCACTTCTACTGTGTACAAATAAACGTATAAATATTCCTAGTGAGTTCATTAGTGAGCTCGTAATACTAGGTATATATTATATTTTTACACTGATTTAGTTTGAATGTAATAATCTGCAAACGACCAATATTATCTGTCTAAATCAAAGGCCTTCGACAACAAACTTCAACATACAAAATGCTGTGGATGTAGGAAAAAAATCCAAATCAGTTTCTCGTGTTCATCGTTAACTATTTTTGGCAATCACAGATAGTAAAATAGCTGAAATATTAATGAAAGTAACCACCATTTAATTTTCTTTAAAATGCATCATTAATTGAGAATTTCTAACGAAAATTAATGCCCTAACTAAAGTAACAGTTATCCCATCAAATGAAATTTCATATTAAAACAGACTTTCTTTATTGCATATCTGAATCCCCATGTCATTATGAGCCAAGAATTAAGAGATGAAACGATAAAAACTGGAAAAGAATCCTAGTTCAAAAACATTTTCCTGAGGAGTCAGGATTGATAAGGGGATCTTTACTGGTAATATGTACCATTTGAATATTTCTGCCAACATTAAACGATTGTATATTACTTTCATTAAACGCTTGTTTTTTAACGCAATTTTAATTGATTATTTAAAATTAATTTACAGGAAAACTCTCATAACATTGTAAGCAATTTTGTTTATAAATAACGAAATTACTATTTCTTAATTATCACACAAACCTTCACTTTTCGTAGAGCAACTTCTTGTCACACGTCACAAAATTTATTTTATTATATTTACTATATTTTATAGAAGCTTTTTATAATAGTTGGGTGATCTGACAACTCAATATTCAAATCCAATCCATTAACAGACAAGGATAAAGGGTGACAATCGGTGCAAGCAAGGGGCAAACAATTAGTATACATAGACGATATTATAAAGGCATTCCCAAAGAGTGTTGACGTCAGGCAGGCGGCCGGTCGTGAAAACAATAAGCCAAAACCATTTACCACATGTAAGGCAGACCCTGGCTAAAGCTGGGAAATTGCCAGGAAGAAGAAGAAGGCGATATTATAAAGGCATCAATCGTCATACACCAATCATACATATATTGATTTTATTAAGTTCCTCTATATGTTCTATATTATTGATAGAGATACATCCACTTGAGTGAATTTTAATTCTAATCCAGCTCTTTTAAAGTGTTTTAATTTGTTATTCCTTTTATTTTTTGGGCATATCAATAACAAATAAACTAAATGTCGATAACAGCACTAGACCAAAACTGAACAGTTATAATAAATGTGTATATAACAGTGATAAAAAGGAAGATCTATACAAAAGTTCGACGGATGCTCGAAGTAGGAAAAAAATAAAAAACTATTATTTTGAGCAGGCGCACAATATTTTTATTCACAGATATTTACAAACTCTCAAATATTCTCTTCTTTTTCTTTTCTTCCCTGTGCTTGTTATATGCCTGCTTCTTATTTTTCAATGCTTATTTTGGTATACATAAGTTCTTCTTCATTCCGAAATATAAACGAAAAATCTGTTTTGACTTCCCTGTCGATTGAATACCAAAAAACGATAGATTTATTTATATTTTGAAGGCTATGTATAATTTGTGCTTGGTTTATATTTCGGAATAACACTTCTTATGATATTTTCATATTGATAAGTTAAACATTATAACCTTCAGATTTAAGGCGTTCCAAATTTTAACAAAGTGATCATCATCATCATATTATCTTCAATTGATGAAAAGAAACTGAACAACTGCAATTAGTTTTTTTAATTTTTTTCTGTTTATTGTATTTTGTTAAATACGTAACAGCTACAATATTCCTATATTATAACTTTTACGCAATTTTAAATTGCTCTGAAAGTTAAAATGTTATAATTATGACTCATCCGTAAGACTACATTTATTTCTTCGTTTCATGTCAAATTAACGTAACAACTACAGGCGTCCCAGTAGCTTTTACGTAAATTTAAATAAATTTAAAACCTACATTCATTTATTACGTATTAAATGAAAGTAGGTTTTGTCCATTTATTACGTAACACTGTTGAAAATTGAACTAACCAGTTAAGGCCTTTTGAACTGGTTAAGAGAATTTTAATTTACTTTATATTATTAAATACGAAACAGGTACAGGATTTCATCTCGTACCTGTTAAGTAGTTTTAAATGGCATCGATGCCGAAAATGTATTAATTATTACAAATTCCGTAAAACTACATTTACGACGTAACATTGTCGTGAATTACGGTAACCACCTAAGGCAGGTGGAACTGGCTAAGATTTTTTTCTTTTTATTTATTTTATTTTGTTTAATACCAAACAGTTACAGGATTTCATCTCGTAACTGTTTTGTAGTTATAAAAGCCATTGAGGCCGAAAATGTCTTAATTATTACAGATTCCGTAAGATTACATTTATTACGTAACACTAACGCAAAGAGACAGACTACAAACTAGGACAGGTTGAAATGGTGAAAAGTTTTTTTTTTGTTAAATACGGAACAGTTACAGGATTTCATCTCGTAACTGTTACGTAGTTATGAAAGCCGTTGAGGCCGAAAAATTCTTACTTATTTCTAATTCCGTAAGACTACATTTATTCCTTAACATTATCGCAAATTGGGATAACCACCTAAGGCAGGTGGAACTGCAAAGTGTTTTTTTTATAATTAAATACGTAACAGCTATTTCAGTGTCATAACTGTTACGTAGTTATAAAAGCCATTGAGGCTGAAAATTTTATTAATTATTAGTAATTTCAGTAAGACTACATTTATTACGTAACACTTACGCACAGTGACGTAACCGGCTAAGGCATGTTGAACCGGCAAAGAGATTTTTTTTTATTTCTTTAATTCTTTTACACATATAATAGGGACAGGTATCTTAGAACTATAACGTAATATTAAATGGCACGGACATCTAACATGCCATATTTATTACTTATTCCGTAAAACGACATTTATTTCGTAACACTGTTACAAATTGTCGCAACTAGATTAATAAGTCTCTGCTGATAACACGAATCGTCTTATTTACATATTTTATTTAGTTAATTACGTAACAGCTACAGTTTTCCTTGATGTAACTGATGCGTAATTTTAAATATCGTTTTCCATGTAATCCTAATCCATATTTTCTTATGTATATAATAATTTCAAGACGTTCAGAGATATATAACCTAGTGTTATAATATTCTCAGTCATTTGAAGTAACAATTACGGTAAATGTGGTCATTATCGAAATAGACCTTTAATTTCTTAATGTATATAGAAATTATTTACAATTCATAGCAAGTCTTAGAATATGTAAGCAATTAGAGAGTACGGTCAACAGTGAATGATTTTTATATTTTATATAAAAGTTATAAAACTTACATCTAAGTAAAAATGTATTAATTGTTTTATATAACAAAAAGATACATTTATATAATGATTAAAATTTTTCTACTTCTTACATTTTCTGAGAAAGTTCCCTTTTCCTACGCGATGTTATTGTCGTGTGATATATGTGTTTGAGGCATTGAAGAAACATATCATCTGTAGGCGTTTTTGTCGGCACCCTGGAAATATTATAAATAAATAAATAAATTATGAAAGATTTAAGATGTATTTATAGTCTAGGTACTTAATTCTTTCTAAAAAAACAAAATTGTGATTTTAGATGTTCCATTATCGGTACAATTCAAACACCTGTCTCTCAAAACCACCCCTTCCTCAGCGAGAGGGGGAGAAGTATATAATAAACAAAGAAATGCATAAGATTCGCATAAAGCAATTTCCGCGCAGTTCACGCAGGTACCCCTACAACCCCCCCCCCTCTTTAGCCCTCGGGGGGGGTTAATTTATTGATTACTGAACATTTGGAGTCTTAATAAATATTATCTAAAAAGAATCATAAGCTTCAAGCTATACATTTACAATTTTGCTAGTTCAAATCGCAACCGGTGCATAGTTTTGTCAACAACCAACTATCCGCGCAATTCACGCAAGTCCCCCTCAACCTCCCCCCCTCTGTGCCCTCCTAGGGGGGCGGGGGCTACTTTTATTGATTACTGAGAATAAACTGTCTAAATAAATATGATTCTAACAAAGAACAAGTTCAATTTGTTTAATGACATTACGAAGTATACCAACATTTTTAATAATAAGAGCGTTTCACATACCCCTCCCCCTCCTTAAAATCCCCCAAATTGAGGGGTGGGGTAAAATCAATAATGCATATGTAAAAAAGACAAAGCTTTATTAAATAGTAACTACAATACTCACTTGGTGTGTACGACGTGTACATTAGTCTGTATCTTCACGGAATCGATGTTTTTCTTCATGGAGACTGCGTGATCGGCCTTGGCGTGGATTTGAACTTGAAGACATCGTTTTTCGTTCCGCTCGGCCAGCCCGAAGATCTTGGACGTGGTCAGCGAAACGGCTGCCAGGGCCAGTGCGATGTACACGAAGCACCCCAAACGAGACATCTTCACGTTACAACTAGAAAACAAAACACAATCAATACTAGAACAATCTCGAATTTAAAAGAACAATGACCATATAAAAAGATTGTCTATTCTAATAAAGTAATCACGTCTACTCACCTCTGCAGCAGGATATCAAATGACGGACCTGGAACCTAGATGCAGCTCTATTGATTTTAATTACTCGCATGCGTTACTTTATTGCAAACATGCGTACTAGGTGCATTTGGTCCTGAATAGTATCATCTCTTTTCATCTTCCAGTAAAATACGAGAGAACGTAAACCGGGCCCTGCACTAGATAGTCTGTCTCTTTTCAACACGTTTAGTGAAATTTATCTCGGTTTCTAGACTAGAAATTTCTAGAAAATTTTGAATTGAAACTGTTATGTAATACATATATTAAATATATAGAATATATGACACCCAAACGAATACATATTAATTTTGAATGTATAATTACGCAGATATTTATATATTATCAAATATTTGTTAAGCTTTGTTATTATTAATTTAAAATATATTGTGACGAACAATGAGGAAATTGTCATATGTAATATTTTTTTTGTAAATGGTAACAATTCAATTTATATGTTTCTTAATGAAGCATCAATTATTATTAATGCATATGCTTCAATATATTATATAAATGTATAATTTCACTATGACAAGGGCAATATAAATACAAAATTCTACGATTTACTTTTTTCAATGGCTCCTTCGTAGTATCATTAGAGGAATCGCTTCATATCTCAAGGTATCATGATTTAATATAATAGAACATTAAATGCAGAAGTAATGATAAATTGGTTTTGATAAGCAAAAAGTATATATAGTATTTAAAAACATTAGAACTGTAATCCTAATCCTAAGATTTTTTTTGAAAAAAACCAATGTCTTGCCTTTTAAGCGTCAAAACTGTTGCTTCTGACTATTTTTTAATGTAAGAAAACTGTTTGGTGCTTTACCAACCATCTTAAAACAAGTTAATAAAAAAACAAACACAACATCCGTAATTATTTGGCAACAATTTATTTTTTATTGTAAAATAAAACAACGACAAAGTTTAATCACATTTATTTTTGAAGGACAGACATGAGGAATACATGAGCAGTATTCAGAAAATATTTAGAACATTTATATTGACAGTATTACATATATTTTAATCTGATTACGAGACAGATTTTTTTATTAAGAAATTTAAAGTTACTCCATTTTGATGGTTGGCAACTCTTCGTCTTTTTTTTCTTTCTTCCTGTCCGGCTGCACAGTTGTCGGGACCTCTTCGTGTTGCCTGTGGAAATAAATATATTTTTAATTTTTTTTCATATAAAAAAAAATATATATATTTTTAAATCCACCTCTTCATCTTGTTGACGTCCGGGTAGGAGCTCATAAGGATGTCCTTACGAATGAACGCGTAAGGATTTATAGGGCTGTATTGCAAGCAATTGCAATGTTCAGCTTCTTCATCGTCCGCCCACTTGGAAGCCGCGGCCGCCGCCAGAATCATTAGCAGATAACGCATCCCTCCACCCATAGACAGCATCTTAATCACGATATATGTTCAAGATAATCTCAGTTAAATCCTGTTCGCAGTGTATCCAAACAAGGACTGAACTAATGAAGCCTATCCCCAGGTTTTCTAGGCTTATTGATTCAAACGTTTCGCATGCGTTATGATTTATGACATGCGTACATGATGCATCCTAGATATTGCAGGTAGCGCACACAGATGAAATGCATCCGATAATACATACATACGTACCATCGAAAACCGATAAATGTACGCATGCTCACTGCATCGAATGTTCTAGAATGTAGCTATAAATAAACATCGATGGCCTGATTTATATGTATATTATGTATATGTTTATAAAGTTTTGATGAAAAGCTTCTCTACAAAGTTCGTATTATCATTTCCATAGAGATTTAAGTGCCATGGCAATATATATTATACTTATTATGTGATACTTATAAATTTATATTCGATGTACATAATAAAAATTATTTGTATTATAATATTATCGAAAGCATTCATCGCATTAGTGAGAAGGAGACTGCATTTAAAGCCTTTAAATATATAGGCTTTAAATTTAATAAAAAACAAAATTCGTAAAAAGATGAATAATTTTTAACCAATAGAATCATTGACGTATCGGTATGATAGTTTTTATAAAACTGTTCGTAGGTTCGATTCTTTCCTGGATATTAATACCCTTACCACGGGTGCATCGTCATACTGTATACATAGCGTTTCGAGTTCTACACAAATCTATGCTTATATAGTGTTAATGAAGGTAGTGCAAACTTGTAGTAAGGGCACCGCTAATATGAATCCAAACCAAAAAAAACTATAGAAAGCAGTCAAAAAATCCACTACAGTATATATTATTTAAATTGGTCGCAGAGTTTTTACTCATAAAGTTTGAGTAAAATTGCAAGCAAGCAATTTCGCAAAGCCAAAACTCGCAAACAGCAGAAGTAGTACTTAAGATATAAAACCATCGCTAGACATAGCTTATCATTTATGAAAAAATCTCATCACATCTTAATTAATAAAGGGATAGGTTAAATAATATCAGCTGGCATTTTATTTGCATTTATTGATAAAACTCAAAGATGGAAGTGCTCGGGTACATACCAACAAATGTGTATAGCACAACAACATTTTGGTCATAAGAGCGGTAACACTCAGTCGTTTGTATACTTCACTACAAAACAGCGTTGACAGCGCTTTGTATATTCATATAAATTAGACCAAGACGCATAACAAGCAAAATATATAGCAAAACGGACATTTCATAATCAAAAGGACGATCGACCCATTCAGAATAGATCAAAGTAGCAGATATACACTAACGTCCATACAACACTACATTAGTCATCATAAAATTACTCCTAGAATAGATATACAATGAATTCAAGACATTCTTATAAATTATATTATCTAATCTAAACATTACATTCACTGTAATACCTAACACATGATTCACATAATGATTAAATAAATTATTTTAAATAGATTGTTACAAACAAAAATGTACATATAAAAAACTTCATACAAAAAATTGTGATAAAATTAGTTAATATATCATTACATGCATTTATACTATTCAAAATGATACAAAACTTGTATGGTGCTAACACAAGTCTAAACTGGTTTAAAGTAATTACTAATTCATGAAATTACAGTTTTAATATATAATAATATTGTATATAGTACTAACATCTATTATCAACAAATATATGTATATAATTCATTATGTACAAATAATTAGAAAACAATTTCATGATTTATAACCAACACAAAGCTTTGTATAACATATGCAATACAATAAATTTTCAAGCGATATCTACATACATGTAAAATATTACACAACTTACAAGCACTATATCTTGATTAGACAAAATTTCATATATAAATTCATTTTTTTATTATTTAGTAATGATTGTGTGACAATGAAATGCTTACAATTAATTAATATTACACCTTAAATGTATAAGCTGATTTGTTCGGATACAAAGCTGCCTTTAACTGCACATAGATTACTTGTAAATTCTATATATTAAAACACATCCTTATATCAAATTATAATAGAGCTCAAAATCTGATATGTTTAACAAAAAAAGTCCTGTTAAAATGTTATTCTTACAATGTGTTTGACTTCTTGTAACATTAATGCTCATATACACAGCAAGATCTATAATTGACGATTCTAATAACAAAAAAAAGAACATATATATAATATATTTACATTAAAAAATAAACATTCTTAGTAAATAGATGCCATGATATATTTATATATTATTCTTAAACTAAGATTGATTACTCTTTGAAATGATTATTATTTGTATAAAATCAATATATTTTTACATATTCTAAGACTATCATTATATATCTTATCTTGACCTTAAAAGTGAAGATCTTAGCTGACGAGGGCCCACATATAAAATTCGATGCATTATTCATACAAAAGAATAATTCAACCATTTATATGGAATAGATGTTTTTTTTTTCAGTTAAATAGAACAGAGTTAGGATCTTCATTGTCCATCTGCTTGACATGTCTCAATACATCCTTCTTTGTGATAACTCCTAGAAGTCGTCTGTAACGAAATAAACAAAGATATATTAATGATATAAGAATTATATTTAGTAAACAATTATTTGGATTTTATTTATAACCATTTAAAAGTTTTTTTTTAACTATGGCTTCATTCGCACTAGAATAATGGAATATTTTGCACATGTCAACGTTTTTATTTGTTGAACGAATTATAATCGTGAATAATTTACAATGTTCTAGTTTTAACAAAAACCGATAGACGTATGAAGTTTCAAAAATTATTTTTGTAACATAGATGTTGATCAAATAAGTATTCTTTTTTATCAACTTCAAAAAGTAAAATTTGCTCATTTCTGTGTGTTGATAGTTAACTCGGTGCTTTATAAAACTATTCTGGAATAGAGATACCCTGAAGGTATATTGACAATGGAAACCAGGATTAGACTAAAAAATCATAACTAATTTGAAAATATAAATAATATTAGCTGATTTATTCAGTTTTACCTGTGAATTAGTCATTCGTTTTTAAACTAATGCCATAACTTAAATCGAAACGAAATCGATCTAGCAATTTTTCTTCTATCAAGTACACTCTAAAACCATTCATTGTGTTCTACTGAACTAAATCATAATACATACATATTATGATTTATTTCAGTACCTTGTTGTATTTTTATTTATTTGCTATTTTTTTGTTTTTCTTTTCCAAGTATATAACAAAACTACTACTACTATCTTTCATAACTATTCCTTAACAATATTCATTTCATATTTTTATAGTTTATATACCTATTCAAACATATTGAGAGCAAAAACAGTTTGTTACTGTCGACCAGAGTTTATAAAGGCTTACCAATTTCTTCTCTTTGACAAACACTAAATAATAACCAATTGTGAAAAAAAAAATACCTTACAAGTCATCAATATAGAAAATATTTTAGCTCAAACTTTCTTTTGATAATTTACGTCCAATATACGTGGAATTATCCAATGATAGTTACTCGGATTTGCACTATCCCGACTACATTATTGTTGTATATTTATTTACCCGTTGTGTGTGACGAGTGTCTGCCTCAATCCTAGCTTCCTGAACATATCAACGACAGTCTCCATGGGTGTCTGGTCGGTCACAGTGATGGGAGCCATGTCGAGGATCCTGGACAGCATCAGCTGTGGTGGAGACATCACGCCTTGCTGTGGAGAACCCGCGAACACAACCACTGACTGACCGGTTATACCTTCCACTGTACGACGGGCGTTGGCTGAAATATACATAGAGACAAAACCTTTTAGAATTAATGTATTCACGATGCGTGTGTCGGGTCCATCGTTGTAGTCAGAGGAGCTTAAACAGTGACTGGGACTTGTGACCCAGGTGTAGGTTTAAGACCCTATCTAACGCGTTAAACGCTCACCTCCACTATCCAAGCTCCTCTCTCTACCTAATCAAATTTGAAAAGAACCTACTAGGGCTGCCTTCGATGTACGTTCCAAGAATGAATTAATGTCAGTTCTGGACAAGCCGAAGTCTTTTTGGTAGGTTGTATAGAGATATATATGTAGTTAATATATGGAAATGAAAGTAATATTTTTCCTATATATTACGCGAGATTTATATTGGTAAAAAACTACGTACCGACGTTTCGGCTACATTTTAGAAACCGTGATCATTGGCATACATATATATGTAGTTATTGTAATGAAATGAAACTAATATTTTCCCTATATACTATGCGAGATTTATTTGGTAAAAAACTACGTACCGACGTTTAGACTACTTTTTAGATACCGTGATCACTGGCATACATACGAGGTCTGTTCAAAAAGTACCCGGAATTTTTAAATTTCTAAGGTCTGGAGAGCCCGATAATCAATTTTTTTTTTTTTGTGATGAAACATGGGTGTAACGTAATTATTTCGAAATCAAAGCACAATCGTTCACCTGGAAGCATTAAACGTCTCCAAAAGCGAAAAAAGCACATCAAGTTTATCAAATGGCAAGCTTTTGCGTACTGTTTTCTTCGATTATAATAGCAAAGTGCTTCAACAGTTCTTACCACAGGTAAGGTGGTGTGGTAATTAACTTACTAAAGTAAGGAGTATTAACTTGAAGTTTTGAGACGTTTGCTTGAAATAATCCTAAAAAAACGACCTGATTTATGAAAAAGCAATTGATAACTTTTGAACCAAGACAACGCAACAGCTCAATCGTCGTTGCTTGTTCGTAATTTTTTGTCCAAAAACAATACCGTAGTAATACAGAAACCCCCATATTCACCAGATATGGCTCGATGTGACTATTTTTTGTTACCAAAATTGAACAGACCCATGGAATGACGGCGTTTTTCCTCAATAGAAGAAATATTGGTCAAATCGCTGAGAGTGCCCAAGGACATTCCAAAAAGTGAACATCAAGAGTGCATTGAAGATTGGAAAAAACGTTGGTATACGTGTATTTTATCTGGGGGGGGGGAGGTACTTTAAAGGAAACCACATGGATGTAAACAACAAATAAATATTTTTTTATAAAACGAAAATTCCGGGTACTTTTTTAACACACCTAGTATATATGTAATTAATGTAATTAAATGAAACTAATATTTTTTGGATATTCTGCGAATACTTTATTTTTGTAACAAACTAGATACTCCCAACATTTAAGTTACTTTTCAGCAACCGTGATCACTAAGACGAGATTACAAAAATAACGCACGCGTAGTTTATCATAAAAATATTAGTTAAATATAAATGAATTAAACTTGCTAAAGCTTTAGACATCATTATGTTGTTAATTTAAATAAGATTTTTGTAAATTGACTAAATGTTCTTAATACAAGACGTTAGTTAGAATGAAATGAAATGAGTTGATGACATGTTTCTCCAATTTGGTATCAGCAATAGTAAGATGACTGCAACTATGAAACAGAATCTTGATAAATAATAATCTTTAAGAGATTTTCCATATAATATATCTATACTAATATTATAAAGCTGAAGAGTTTGTTTGTTTGTTTGAAAGCGCTAATCTCCGAAACTACTGGTTCGAATTGAATAATTCTTTTTATGTTGGAAAGTCCAGTTATCGAGGAAGGCTGTGGGCTATATAACATCACGCTACGACTAATAGGAGCAAAGATATAGTGGTAAATGTGTAAAAAACGGGAGAAATTATTTCATCTTTGAAGCCTTCCGTTGCGTGCGAAGTGAAAACGGTTCAAGATACACAAAAAATATGTATCAAAAAATAATAGCTCTTTTAATGATCTAAAAAACAGTCCGCGACAGTATATGTCTATCTTTTAAGATTAACTCACAAAAAACGTTTTTATGGTACCTAATTTGGTCGAAATAATTTGTTTAAGTTGTATCAACATAATAATATTAATCTTTATTCAAATAAACAAATAAATATGTTGTTGGTTAAGAGTACTTCATATATGTGCTAGTAGATATATATACATATATGAATGTTTAAGGTTGAAATTCTTAATGACAACTGATTAAGTAATCTAATGAGATATGAAAACTGTATGCCACAAATAAAAAAAATGTATATCATACAATGTAATAAATACTAAGTTATATACATATAATTCTTATATTGCATAGTATGACGTAAATTTTCTGAATATTTACCACTTCTACACTACTCAAAGTTTGATTTCAATTCTGACAGACCCTTTAATATGTTTTTTTTTTTATATTTACCTATGGCTAGGTTGAGGTCTCGTCTGAGTACAAATCCGACCAAGTATTGGGACTCCTTGGACACGACAACCGGATATCCGTTATGCTCCGTCTCTTTCAGCAGTGTCTCCACGTCATCAACGGTCATCGAATCTTGAGTTATGACGGAGAGGGTCTCGTTACGTCTACAAAATATATTATTATATTAATTATAATATATCTATATTTATAAATGAATTCGCTTTGATATATATGTAAAACATTATATTTATTTAACTGTGCTTTTTATATTTCCAACAATATATCTACAATTATTTATAACAATAAACAAGTTTTAAAGGCGCAATTTTATCAAATAATTTTATGCAACTGAATATTCGCTAAATGAGAACAAGATATTTACTTCGCATAAATTAAATGCAGGCGTGAAACAATTTTAGCTTTATTTTATAGTCGCATTGCTTAAAGAGCGGTTTGGGGAATATGGAATAAAATTGACATTACGAATTTAGCGCCATCTAGTGACGAGTGGAATAAACTTTAGTTATATGTAAACTATAATATTCCTGTTATTAATGTAGGAATAAGTAGCAGGATGAATGTTTTTTTGGAATATTCTACTAATCGAATTGAAGTGTATAAAAGGGACGCAAGCAAGTATTTTTAATAAAGTAAATATTTGTATCTTTTATTAAATTTAATGTCTAAATTGCTTATAAAATCCTACATCTTTCCATTATAATAAGTCGCTAGTGCTGTTTAAATTTAATAGTAGTTCAAGTTACAAATTCAAATACAACAATGCGTATACATTCGCTTTAAAATAGACCATTGCTTACTAGTAGGTTATTGCATAACTTAAATATTAAATATAAATAGTATAAAAAAGAGTAGCATTAAAAATTATATTTATAAAACATTTCCATCTTGGTACATAAAATACAACAGCATAACAAATTTTAGCTCAAACAAATTATAAATGTTAACAAATGGAACATTATCGCAAAAATGTTTTCAATCTTTTTGATAATTCTTAATAACAAAAAATGCTATACAATTGAAAAGAAATAAAAATCGCATATCTAATTCGGACACTATTATTATAGTAAACAGAGCATAAAATCTAAAATCAACAGCTTATATCCATTAAAATCTTTTTGCAGTGCATAATTTTCTAAATTTGATTGAATTTATGGTACATTATGTATGTAAATGTCTATAATTGTTGGAATTATATAAAATTTTACTCACTTGGGCTGCATCACGTCAGCGGCTAGTGACGTATGCTGGAACTCATCCTTGCTATCCAAAAACGGATATCCGTTCAGCGCGATGTGAGCATCGTATATACCCTGACGTCCCAACGCATCGCCAACCCATTTCGACGCCATAGCAGCAGCCATTAACGGCACTATATATCTCACACCGCCGGTCAATTCAAACATTATCACGACTAGAGACACTGAAAACATTATTAATTAGTTTTAATAACACATAAATTAAAAAAATGTGTGACGTCATGTAAAGGAAGGGGATAAAAATGTTACAAGGGGTTCTGAAGTCATGAAATTCGTGTGACGTGCTTATAAATAGATTCAATAGACAAATAACTTTCTAACATCAATGACTTATTATTGGTTATAACTTATGGGTTAATTCTTTAAATTTATAAATCATCTGTATTTACCACAGATTCGCTTAATCATACTACATGTTGCGTTTTTTATTCCTAAACGTAAACATACATGTTCCATGTATTAGGTTGGTGCGTATGAAATGTCGGATTCCCTTTACATGCGGACGTTTGTCTCCCTGTTTTCGTTATACTTTTGTTTTTGGCATTACCTTATTCATAGTCGTATTGTCCATTGCCAGAGACTCATTTCCTCAAAATAGGTTTTCTCGAAGGTCTCCTCTTTTGTTATTTCTTTGAGTTTATTGCCGATATGAATTCTACCGACATTCGCGTCATTTTCTTATATGAGTACAAACTTGGTAATAGTGCTGCAAAAGCTGCACGCAACATAAACCAAGCGTTTGGGGAGAATACGGTTAACGATCGGAAAGTGCAGAGTTGGTTCGAAAAATTTCGGACTGGCGATTTTTTCACTGCAAAATGAGCCGCGCGGAAGACCGAAAGAACGCGGCTGGGGTAATCCATTATTCGTTCCTTCGACCTGGGGAGACAATTACGGCCGAAAGTAATGCCAGTACATTGATAAGATGCAAATAAGTTAAAAATTGTACGCCCATCGCTTGTGAATCGGAATGGCCCGCTACTGCTCCATGTCAACGCTCGGCCGCATACATCGCACAAAATAATTGTGAAACTGAACGATCTGGAATATGAAGTTTTGCTGCATCCACCATATTCACCGGATCTCTCGCCGACCGATTTTCATTTTTTCAAGCATTTAGAGCTGTTTTTAAGGGAAAAACACTATGAAAAAGAAGGCAGTCTAAAAAACTCGATATCAGAGTTTATTAATTCTAAAGACCAAAATTTTTTTAAGACAGGCATTTACGCTTTAAAATCTCGTTGGGAGAAGTGTATTGAAGCGAATGGAGCATACTTTGATTGAATAAACAGCTTTTGAAGAAAGATATGCAGTTTTATACAAACACTTAAGAATCCGACATTTCATACGCACCAACCTAATATATTAAAACTTGGCATAACATGTACATATATATAATTATATACTAACCAGTCATTCTAGTAACACCGCCGAGTACAGCCGCAGCACCAACCATAGCGTACAAGCCCGGCGTGATACAGTCGTCCCCAGTAGAACATTCACCAGAGAACAACCAGATCTTAGGATATTTGTACGCTAGCTGCTCCACACCTAATTAAAATGCAAATACAATATATATGATTGTTGTTATTTCATATCATTTATAGTAAGAAGACAGACAAAAAGGATAGGAGTATTATTTATAAGTGATCCAAATATTCCTTGTTATTTGAGGAGCACGGCTTAAACTTCATTTATTTCTTTCTTGGGCTAATTAAGAATTTATTGCAGACCAATCCGCGGTAAAGGACTAGCTCAGACATAAATCTGTACTATAGGTATTCAATTTAATAGTTACCGATGCCCACAATCCTGCCAGCGATAGCTCCTAGCGCGAGACTTGGTATGAATAACCCGCAAGGTACTTTAATGCCGAAGGTGAATACTGTCATCACCAGCTTTAAAACCAGAGCCAACATTAATAGCCAAATAGCCTGATACACTCCTGGACCAGCGGCAGCCTTCTCAATCGCCTTATTGACATCGGTGAAGTTCCTATTGTAGTCACTGTGGATATAATACATAAGGTTTAAAATTGAAGCACAAATATTCTAGGAAGATTTTTTTTTTCATATTCATCATACCACAGAGGATCTGAATTAGATATTCCGCACTGGTTGAATAACAAGTAGATCAATTGGCTTGTGTTCATTCTGGTGTATGGATTCGGATAAGCGATGATAGCTGTCACTAGGGTTACCACCAACACTTCGGTCACTGGGTACTGACCCAACTTGGAGTACTTGCGGTAACGGCACCAGTAAATATTCGCCTTGATGAATATTGTAGCGATGCAACCCTAGAAATTCATATCGGTTAATGTGACTCCATTACATACACATAATAACCATATTGCGATTGACTCACGCCAATAATTCCCAAGCCGACGAATGGTATCAACTCGAAGAATATCCAGGGCTTGTTGTATTCCACGAAGAATAGAACGGAATGCTCGTTGCCGAATGGGTTAATGGATCGTAAGATGAAGGCGGCTATCAACGCGCAGAAAAACGAACGCCACAGAGTCTTCAATGGAAAGTAGTAGGAGACCTAGTGATTACAGAAAATATGGGGTTATAGAAGCAAATAGAATATGGAACAATCGAGAAATAATAGCTAACCTCTTCAAGACTGAAGAGTACTCCACCAATGGGAGCACCGAATGCCACTGACACACCAGCAGCCGCTGCTGCCGAAAGAATCTCACGTTTCTTTGCCTCATTACGTCCATATTTAGGGAAAAGGTAGGACAGGATATTACCTTAACAGAACATTTCTATTATTAATATAAATATATACATTTATAATGAAACTACAAATGATTCCTACCTAAGCAACTGGCGATATGGACCATCGGTCCTTCCTTGCCGAGGGATAAACCTGATGATACGGATAGGATAAGCCCAACCACTTTAATGATAAGCGTCCACTTGCCAAGGTAACCTCTGATGATGAATCCGCTTAGAATCGTCTTGATCTCCGGTATACCTGAATGAAATCACCCAAACATCTATAAAACTGTAAACAACGATCTCATAATAGAAATCTTTCAGCTCTTACCAGATCCGCATGCATACGGCGCGAACATACGCACTAAAGACGCTGATAGTGCCGCGAACAACAACGCCCAAACGATGTAGAACAAGTAGCTGATGATGTACGCGCCAACACCCTCTTTAGACTCTCCGAACAGCTGGGCCCAGGTCATCCACTGTCAATACCAAAACGATCAGAATTATAATTACCAAGTTAATATAAGACCAGTTCCTAGAATAGAAGTCGTACCTGCGAGCAATTGCCGTGATCAAAAGTTATCTCATCATTGGACCAGCAACACTGCTCACGATTGAACCAGAACGCTTGAGGACATATCCCGAACTTGAGGTCCGTCATCCAAGAAGCTCCAATGTCGATCACGCCAGCCACCACTCCCGTACACACGCCCACGAGAAGAACGCACACCCATCCCGACCACGCGTCATGAGCGCCCTGGAACAACAAAAAAACGCCCACTATTAACATAACATCGTATATTTAGATGTAGACATCGATTTATGTTATCTTCAGACTCATTTGACAACATGTTACCACTTATCTTGAGATTACCGGCGTGGTATAACAAAGACAAAGAAATTTTTACAATTTATAAGATGCCTATCTTTTAGTATAAGGTATAATTACTTTAATGAGGTTCCAGATTGAATCCTGTCTCTTCTTCACGATGTATCGATGCCGCATGCGATCCCTGGCGATGTCCCTCTGCCAGTCGATGGTGTGGAAGTCATCGTACTGCCCGATGCCGGGGATTTCATCCGTATCACCTGCCGTGGACATTATTAATACCTGAATCTACCGCAAACCGAACAATAACCCTCTTATATACCCACTACAGTACCACGTCAGCGATGCGCAGTACTCCTGTACACATTTCTGATGGACACGTATATCAAAACGTCGACACAGATTCCATATAAAATTATAACATAAGTCAACGTCACAATAGACGAGCGCTAGGCGAAACTACCGCCGCCGCCGTCTATAGTCGCGTTATATAATAAACACGTGCTCACGTGTCCGCGACGGTGACAAATGGCTACGATTTAACGAGATAATTGATAAATAGCATACGGTTTTTCATATTTTTACAATCCTATCATATTTTCGAACGCATTTTGACGCAGGTCAAGGTCGATCCCGTCGAAGGGGGGTGCAACCGCCCCGCACGGGCTGCAGCGATCAATAAAATCTACATGTACATAAACAGTACCTAACAATTATAGCTTGTTTTGAAAAGCTCGACGCATGAGCCGTACATAAAGTCCCCCGGCGCATAGTTACGACGCGCTAACAGCTTGACAGCTCGGTATTTGTTTTCGTAATAGCAATTAGCATAATCGTGACCGACGTGTGTTCGCAGACAAAGACACCGTACGAAACAACAGTCCGGCAACATGTACTTCTATTTGGACCCGTTTTATACATATGTTGTAAGTCTTTTGGAAATAAATGTTGCAGCATGAGCTTCCGAGATGGAACGCAAATCGCTTATGCCTTAACTGTGCTTAAATGTGATTTTTTTTTATCTTCAGTGGTTTTTCTATCGCAGTTATATGTTATATAGTATAACGCGCACTATACCTCTTTCCCTAGGATATTTCTGTAACCCTTTACATTTTCTTGCTGTTTAACAGTTGATTGAGATCACAACACTTCTTTTACCGAAAATACTGTTATTATAATGTAATCTTGTAACTAAAGTGCCACAATGTCTTTATCTTGATGTACATTCGCTTTAAATATGTTCTGGTCTGGAGTCGGGGAACAATTTGGTTGTCTCATCGAGTCTTGATTCATTTTTTCAATGTTTTTATATACATAGCCACAAGTATTAATAATAAAGAAGGTAATAAAATAGCTTCTTTACCTAATTTACTATTGTTCTCTTGAAGATTATAACAAAGATTCAAAATTCTAGCAAATTGATATCCGACGACTCGGTTAAAGTGAACTTCCATTCAACTGACTTTAATAACTATTTACTATAACAACCATAATTATAACTGCAGTCATTATAAATAAATAATAATATACAATTTAATTTAACTCGTTTGTGCCGGAACACAGCACATGCTAATACTAACTTGTGCACAGCATAGTGTCAACCTTCAATGACTTGACGAGCAAATATCTTTATGATTTAGTTTACCAAGCAAGGCCGAGGTGGAATTAGGATAATAAAGAATATACTAACATAAAAAGATCCTTATGTACATGTTTGATTTAAATGGATATTGTGTAGACTACAACTATGACAGTATTCTTCGGAAATATAAGAAGAGTACTATAATATTATTCAATACACATTTTAAGTACATATAAAGTATATAGTGCTCTAGATTAGCACATACAACAAATAATGTTCGGTATTAAATGTTTTGTTATAAAAAACACTAATAATATAATGTTCGGTATTCAATGTTATGTTATAGAGATAAAAAGAAATTAGCACAAATTATACAAAGAGATATAAATAAAGAACAAAAAATAATAAATGTTTGAAATTTACACAATCACGTGATTCTAGTGACGACCGGAAGATTTTCGTGTTGTTTTAAATTCAGATGATTAAAACGTTGACGTGTTTTACACTTATAATAATTTTTAAAAAACTATTTCAATTCTATATTTACGATTTAAAATATATAATAAATTAACGAAACTATAGAAAAACTTATTATTAAGTAACAGTATTTTGTTTAAAACTAATTTATTTATAGTTTATAATGTTTATACATACCTTGCATTCCGGTGAAAATAACCGCGTCCCCTGGAAATATTTATTCAGCTTAATTAAAAGTCGACTCAAAGCACTTGTTACTGTCGAGACATCGTCCCAAATATAGATAAGTTTATAAAGTAAGTTTAAACTAAATAAATAAGATAAATAGAGAGTTCGAATAAATATAGAAAGATCTTATAAACTGCCAGAAGTCTTTGGTATAAAGTTAGTATATTAATAAAGAAAGAGCGGAGACATCACGTCGTGGCAAATACGGGCAAACGATTATACGTCAAAGCTGGCACTGTTTAGATCGGAGGCGGAGTTGCCATGCGCAAAAAAAAAACTTTTAATACGAAGAGATAGCCATGCTAAGAATAGTTTTACATAAAACTATGTACGTATTATAGTATTTTAAATGTATTCAAAGTGAACTTATTTAAAAAAAAATCATTTGACCTTATTTAAAAATAGAACACAGATATTATAACAATAGTATTACAAATGAAAACATCGCAGTATTTTTGACTTATAAAAAATATAATAATATGCTTGAATTGGAATCTTTAATGAAATTCATGTTTTCGATGTAACACACAGTATTTAGGTATAAAGTTGACAACGTAGAAAACAATAACTAACTAGACTATGCGGAACCCGTCTGCAGATACAGACGCAATTAAAATTACGGTCTGATAGACGTGTTTATATTGTAATAATAATTGGTACAACTTTACCATCGGGAACTAGAGGTTCTGTGTCGGCGTCGTTTGGAGAAATCATAACACAACACGCTATAGATAAACGGGTATTGTGACTAATACTGTCACACTCGTTTTATCGTATAGATAAAGACTAATCAGTTTTTTTCTGACTGTTCAACAATATTATTTATATTAATTAATTATCTATAACGTTGAATGAATTAAGTTAAAATAATAATAACTTTTTAATGTAAAATAAATATAAAAAAGATAGTAGAAGATTAACAACTGATAAATTTATAAAAAAATATTTTCCTTTGTTTTTAGTGTTGGTAATGTTGGCAGTATGTAGTCAAACGTTTGACAGCGGAAATTTACAAACATTTAAAAATGATACAAATGACAGTTACTCATATTTCAGTCACAAATTGTGTGAATATTAAATACTTATAGAATATTAATTAAATAATATCAATTTAAAATATCAAATAATAATGTCTGAATTATCGTTTTAGGATATTTTATATATTGTAACACAATATCTAGACGAGGTTTTCGCGCCATATTGTAATTGAAAGCAATCTAAATGTCATTAACGAAAACGAACAAAATATATAAAAGTCGTTTTAACTTTTACACATAAATTTAAACTACAACAATATTAATGACGTCACTATTTTCAAAAAGGCAAACTAATGACTTTGTGAAATGTATTTTTATGTGAAAACATGTAATGATAATGAGAAACAAAACTAATATTTTACTTATTATTTAAAAAACTTACATACTCGCGAGTCGCGAAGTTTCGGTTACATTTCAGCTACCGGGATCACAGACAGAGGAAAATATTTTTATAATAATAAAATACGCGTAGTAATCAAAATAATATTAGTTTCATTTAAATGAATATGTAGCTTAGCTCTACGAAAAACATGAATAGCATCGTCAGCTCTGCGTTGCACGGAATTAAATGTCTAACTAGTTAACTGTTTTCAGCTTCACGTTAACTTTAGTAGTTAGTAACAAGTTAAACTTCAAGCCGCGTTGCAACAGACTAGTCGTGAATAATCTGTTTTTGTACGCGGAGTTATTACATCGGGATACCTTTAATTATATGTATATTAAAAGCTTGTAAATTGTCTGTCTATACAGAGTGACTGGTGAATTACTATCGATATTTGAGGACGTGATATTTGACGATCATATATGACAAAATAAAAATTAATATAACATAAATATTAATAAACTTCTAAGTAGAGTTAACCAAAAGTTATGTAATTAATTACGCATCGTGTGAACACCCTACAGATTAGGTATACACACACACTCACACATACGCGTGAGGGGCGTGGTGTTGTATCAGCACGCCGTCGCACGCGTCCACACTTGGAACACTTGGAACGTGTCAACACTTTATTTATTTATAGGGAAATTTTGTCAAAAATTAAGTGCCTATTTTTTTTACATAATTCGGATGAAAATCATGTACCGAGTATTCTCCTTAAATATTGATAGTAATTCACCAGTCACCCTGTATATCTTCTTCTTCTACCTGGCAATTTCCCAGCTTTAGCCAGGGTCTGCCTTACATGTTGTGAATAGTTTTGGCTAATTGTTTTTACGACCAACCTGACATCAACCCTCTTTGGGAAATATTTATACGTTTATATCAACATATAAATATTAGCGACACGTAAGCCGATTGTAGACACATTGGAAGTTTTAAATTTCCGTTCGCAACGTGATAATGTACGGAATGCCGTTGGTAGGGAATTTTATAAAAATAAAAAGATAAAACTTTGATATGGAATAGATCTTCAATATATGCCTTTTATGGGACCCTTATGTGAATCTGATGCTAGTGAAGTTTATTATGGGTTTTTAATAGAAAAATTTTATATATGTATATTTTTCCGAAATCAACAAGAGTAATAAATGTAAAATAAATATACATATTATATATAAATATAGATAAATTTGATTCGAGACTTTTTTTTAATTCAGTATTTTTTTTTTATATTTGTCGCATAGTCGAACTATTAAGCACTTTACTAAATAAATTCCTATAAATATTAATATAATTAATGAATTATAATAAAATATAATAATTCTTTAAAAGATCGATATATAATCAAATACTAATGTTTTTAGGTAAAACAATTTATCAAAATACAGGTAAAATTGTATATACCGACACACAAAAAGTACCGAATTTATCCCGTCAAATATTTGTTAAAATTTTCGTACATATAGTTTATTTTCTCATTAATATTTTGAATATTATGTAAAATTTGTATGTTTTATTCTGTGCTATAGTTATTTTTTGGTGTATATACAATTTTGTTTAAATAACGTACGCTAGATTAGTATTGGCTGAAAGAAATTATCTTTTTTGACATAATAAACAAACGAAACGAATTTTTAGGATAGAAATTTAATTAAAATAATCATCTTAATTAATTTTTTTCCATAAAACTAACTACATTAAAAGATTTTAATACTTACCGATGTGTAAGTTTAATACAAGTTTGCAATTTAACAAAATACGTAGCGTTTACCGTCACATTTAACTAAACATAAACTATATATATATATATATATATATATATATATATTAGAGTTCGGTCTGGAAATATTATACTACTACATACTAATGAAATCTTTTATCCATGCAGAATACATACAAGATTCTTTGAAGTATCATACATGATAGTAAGGGAAAGACACATAGAACGACGTAAATGACTTCTAGTACGGAAAAAATCTCCTAATTACGTATACAAAGCAGTCTATAACAATTTGATCATCATAATATATCTTACCGGTTGACGTACTGAAGTACTGAGCGATGTACGCTTGAAATAAATAAATACATATTAAAATATAATTACATACTAAGATATTAAATACTAGAATATTTTGATACGCGCTAGAGCGATGCAATTTACGTTTTAATCAACGTTTGATTGCATTTCAGATGGGATTTAGTATTTACATTAGTCTCGGAATGAGGAATTTATTTGACCAATGGGATTTGTTTATATATACGCTTTGAATTCAGTTTCAATTTATATTTGAACTGTTAATGAAAATTTCAGTGCGGACGTTCTTCATCAAAGTCGTAAACCTTTTACAAAGACTCATATTATGAAGACGTGATTATCTAAAAGAAAGTTCTTAGTAGTTAATGTCCAGTATATAGAACCTTAAGCGTATATTTGGTTAGATATTTATAAAGCTCACTTACAATTGGCGCTGGCGTTGCTCGGCCTGCCGTGGTCGTATAGCTGGAAGGTCCCGTGGCTTGTTGGGGTCGTGGGGACCTCACGAGGCCCCGTGGTGATATCTACCGTGTCCTCGTCACCATGACGACCACCGTTGGTACCCTGAGAGAAGGACGTACATGAAAAATATTTAACAGCTAAATAGAACAGTAGATATTAAGAACGGTGTAAGTGAAATTTCGTTCAAGTTAAAACTAAATGTAAAATATTTAAAATCAAATAATTTCTTTGTTTTCGAGATTCCATAGATCGATATAGATATCTATAGATATGTCTAAATCCAATATAGAAACTACATATTACTGTACAATTATTTACGGACCAGCTCTTTCCTACTACATCTATTGAATACGGTATGAAAAAAATCTTACATAGTTTCGGATTATTTTCTTGTTTAATCAATTATGTTAACTAGCGTCTACCCGAGGTTTCGCTCATTATAATCTTCTTGGCAATTTCCCAGCTTTAGCCAGGGTCTGCCTTACATGTTTGTTAATAGTTTTGGCTAATTGTTTTTACGACCGGCCGCCTGCCTGACATCAATCCTCTTTGGGTATGCATAAATCAGTGATGTCTAAATACTCTCGGAAAGTACATATGACTCGGAAAAATCACATAGGTACTTGCCAGGACCGAACCCGCGCCCTCATGCATGAGAGGCGCACCTTTTAATAAATAGGCCACCATCGACTATATTTATATACATATAATACCATTCTTATATAAGAATAATTTAAACAGCGGTATGAAAAAAATAATACTTCTTTTCGATAGTATGTAATAAAATTATAATTATTAATAAATTTTCTCATCATAGTATCATGTGTAAGTACGTGTAATTTATTATAACTAAAATAATTTTATTAACATTATGAATATATTATTGGAAAAACTTATAAGTAGGTATATAAAATAATTTAAAAGAAATAATTTTGGTAAAAAAAAATCAAAGTATTTTGATTTAAAATGCCTCAAATTATTTTGTCGTTTTCGATAATTTTGAAGTTTATCTTTTTTTAATATATCGTTAAAGCTAGTCGAAGATTGTTCATATTTAATATTTTTTAATAATAAATATTAAATAAAATACGATACGCCTTAACAAAGCTATGAATAAACTCTTTGTTCTGTATAAATTTATCCTATTGTCTATGCCTTTTGAAGCATTCCTTAATAAAAATGGCCTGCACTCGATGCTTTCTACTGATAACTTATAATAAAATATATAAATTAATATTTTTGCAAAGAAAATTCAATATAAAGTTCTATTTAGAAGTTTTTACAAAGACACAATATTTATTAATAAAGAAGTTTTAAGTTGTGGTATCATAAAAAAAAAGAAACAAATAAAATCTATATATATAAAAGAAAGTTATGTTAGTTATACTATTTATAACTCAAGAACGGCTAAACAGCTATGGATGAAAATTTGTGGAGAGGTAGGTTAGAATCAGGATATGAATATAGGTTGCTTTTAAATCCGTTCGACCAAAAATAAAAATTGCTCAATAAAATCCAAAATCTGTCAATTTACCGCCACTAAAGCGAAACAATTTTGACGGTCAGCTATATGAGTCTAATTCTGAATTTAATGCAGACGAAGTCGCGGGCAAAAACTAGTTAATAATCAAATTAATTAAAATATATAAAATTTTAGTGTTTCAATTCAAAATATCCGTTTTATACAATTATAATTATTACTAGAAACGTGCTTTTAGATGCGATATTAATCTTCTATATATATAAAAATGGATTGCTGTTCCTTAGTCTCACTAAAACTTGAGAACGGCTGAACGGATTTATTTTATCTTAGTCTTGAAATGTTCGTGGAGGTTCAGGAAAGGTTTAAAAGGTGAGAAAAATTCATTCATTTTCGGGAAAACCCTAAAAACAGCCCTTTTCTATTTCCCATACAAATGTTTTCTTTGACATTAGATTTGACAACTACCTAATATGTCAATCATTCTGTCGCACTTCAAAACACGGAGATTTATGGCTTACAGGTAAACTCTAAAAATATAAATAAAAAAACGTAATAGATATTTTTTGATTATAGGGCGATACGAAGTTCGCCAGGTCTTCTAGTCTTCTATATAAATGAAAATGGATTGCTGTTCCTTAGTCTCGCTAAAACTCGAGAACAGCTGAACGGATTTATCTTATCTTAGTCTTGAAATGTTCGTGGAGGTTTAGGGAAAGTATAAAAGCTGAAAAAAATTGATTCATTACTGGGAAAACCATAAAAACAGCCCTTTTCTATTTCCCATACAAACGTTTTTTTTTTTTGACATTTGATTTGACCACTAACTAATATGTCAATCATTCTGTCGTACTTCAAAACACGGAGATTTATGGCTTTAATAGGTAAACTCCAAAAATGTAAATAAAAAAACGTAATAGATATTTCTTGATTATAGTGATACGAAGTTCGCCAGGTCTTCTAGTTAATAATTAATTTGAGTAAAACATTTCCGTTCCACTATACTCTATAGGAAAAGCTGTAACGGCATGGAAGAGCGAGTAATATTATATTACACCAATTAGGGTGTACTTTACCTGGAGGCTGGAACTTGTCGGTTTTAATACATCCTTCATATACGTATATATATATCCCTACTCATATTATAAATGCTAAAGTAAATCTGTCTGTCTATCTGTTACGCTTTCACGCCTAAACCACTGAACTGATGTTAATGAAATTTGGTAAAAATATAGAGTTGACCTCGAGAAAGAACATAGGATAGTTTTTATCCCAGACTTTTGAAAGCTTCTCTTTGAAACGCGATATAACCGAATTCCACGCGGGCGAAGCTGCGGGCGGAAACCTAGTATATGTATATATATATATATTTCTAGAAAATTCCCTATGACTTTAAACCTGCATTTCGTCTAACAATATCTAAGACTTATTCATTTAAATAAAAATTCCACTATAATCACGGACAGACGAGATGTAACGCCTGCGTTGCATTGCAAAATCATATTATTAATTAAACTACGCAATTTACATTTATTATTATCATTATTTTTACTTTATATACCACAAAAATATATCAGAAAGACGGAGATTGGGTTGAAGTGGTTTCAACAGTAAATATATCATTCATTTGTAAATAATATTGGTTTTAACGTTAATTTAAAATACGCATTAACTGGAAAAATGTTATGGAGTTAAAATTTACATATTGTGGCAAGATAATGATAGCATTGTATCAATATAAACGAAAATATATATGTATATATGTGTATTTATAACTATAGGATCTTATATGCAAAGTTATATATTTATAAGGTTGTAGAGCCTAGCTGTGGTCAGTTACTACAGCTCGAACATGTGCTGGCTGGACCGGTGAAATACCACTCTCTCACAGAAGATAAATGAAGTAGCCTTTAATGGCTGCGTTTCGTCCGATGAGTGAGAGAGCCGGTTGCCCTTTCCCTATTTCCACTCTTTCCTACCATTTCCTTATTCCCACCCCTCTTATCCCTAAAAGAACAACGCATCCACAATAAAGATGTTGCGGATGTCCATGGGCGATAGTAACTACATTCCATCAAGTAGGCCATTAGCTTATTTGCTACCTTTCACAGAAAATATATATATATTATCTAAGTACATAATATTATCCGATATTAATTTCTCCCGACACATTATACAAGACGCGACCAAGACTGAACTGAACACTTCAAAGATATCATTTACCATTAACCCAGCACGTAAAAATAGTATTATATTCCGTTTTACACCACTTAACGCTAGTGTTTTAATAGATTTATATTAAACGCTAATCCGCTGAGAAACGCTTCTGAAAATTTTCATTCCATTTAAGAGCTTTTTAATAAAAAAAATATACGCGCCAAACGATAAACTGAACAGTTTAATTTGATGAATCAAGAGGAATTAAAATGAAACGCACTCTGTTATAGAAATTTTATGAAATTTTCAAACCTCCTATTTATTAATTGTTATTAAAAGTTTCCAGCTGATAGCTTTTACACTATTGGAGCGATATTATCAAAATATAGATAAGCTTAGCAAGGAATCTGAGTTTCAGATGAAAAAAGCTTCACCAAAATCGGTACAGCCGTTTGGAAGAAACGAAGCTAAAGACAGACACGTCAAACTTATAACACACTAATCTTAGCATAAAACGAACTTTTTATTGAAAATCTACATTCAAAAAGTATATACAATAAAATCATTTAATATTTAATTTAAATAAAACTGAATACCTATAAAATATGTGGTTGAAATTTAAAATGCTTTTCTTTCATACATTTATTTTTAAAACGATGACAAAATTAAATATTACATAACTTAATATGTATCGCTTAAAACATACCTGATATCATACTCATACATTTTTAAAGTTCTCTTCAGCAATAGAATATTAAATATTTATATGTAGAAGGCATATATTGTATAGCATAGTATTGGTATCGGAATGAAGTTATTTTCATACTGAGAATTCCCTAACACTGCCCGCCAATTGCGGTGTTTGTGTGCGTGTCCTTGAAAATGTGAATAAACATCACTAGTATCGATTTAAATTACTAGCAGTTAATTTAAAGTAAAGAAAATTAATTATATTATAAAAAAAGTCGACTGAGAAGTATTATGTAAAATAAAAGAAGACGAACGCTTATTCTGCATTGCGGGATATTTCAAAATAAATATATACAAATCAACAAAACAACGCGTGACATAATTAAAAAAAAAAACATTCACTACATTAGTGATGTGCTCAAAAAACCGGTTGGTGTCAAATTAAAAAAATATACATTTAATACTTACTAAATGTCTGGTTTGTATTTCCTGGAATTAGCAGTACATATAACAGTGAAGGAGCCGGCAGAGATGCGGGGCACACTATGAATGGAGTGTTACTAACATCAAAAATAAAATCAATACCGCCCTCCCTACTCCGCAGACGCGACACGCTGTATTCTGATACGTAGATATCGAACCGTTTTTATAAACAATAATATAATAAACATTATTATTAATATTATTAGAACAACGATATTATAATAAAAAAATTAAAAACGAAATTTCTCAATAATTTCCAATTCCAGCGATCGCGTCGCGTCAGTGTTTTTGCGCGGGAAAAAAAAATATGCATAAAACAGATTATAAATTTCCACGTTATTTCATCGGTAAAGTTGGTTCATATTTGAAATTGTTGAATGAATGTTCGAACGAAATATGAATTGGGTCAAATATGAACTTGTACACTATTTGAAAAGTTTTTAGTGTGAACGCTACCTGAACACTGATCTTTTAAAAGTATTTAAATACATCGAGCTTGTGATATTTTTAAGAGAATCTATGAACATTTCAAAGAATATTATTTCTATGTACGTTTGTACTTCAATACGAATGCTCCGTCTTTTGTGAATACTCGTACACGTTCAGAAAGCCCTTGAAATACTTCAGCTTGCTTTATTTAATAATAGTAACATTGAAGACGAATCATTTCTATTTTATTCAGATACTTTAGATTTATAGCAACCATTTCATCTTAAGTACATTGTCTCTAAAAGGTTTTATCGAAATATTATAAACAATATTATACATTATACTACATTTTCCACTAAATAAAATTAATTAATAAAAGTCCGCTGAGTTTATAATTAAAATCTCCACGTCTAGAATTTTCTATTTGTAGAGCATTTAATTCCAAACAAACAAACAAGTCTTCAACAAAAAGGTGACATCGTATAAACACACTGAAATGAGATGTGCAACAAAATTATACGCAAAATTAATTCAGTCCCTGATTCAATATTTACTGACGACACGGGAGTTCATAAAGTTAGTCTCTGCAACCATTTAATTATATGTATATTCATACATATACATATTAAAATATACCTAACAATTTAGGTGTTCTAGGAAACCAGTTTAATATTTTTATTATAAGTTTATTTTTAGACGGAACATTTTTAGCTTGGAAATATATTAAATCTTTATATATGTATATGTGTGTGTTCTTATGTGTGTGTGTGTGTGTGTGTATTGCAAATCAAAAATTGCAATCACGGACGTCACATGAATTGCATTGAAGGTCCAATGCAGTTATTGAAAACGGAAGCTCTCAAATGATTCCAATTGCTTTTATTGACTAAAAGGTGATCCCATTTTAACAATGGAGAATAACTATTATATCTTCTAGTTGCTATATCGACTGTACTATGTTAATGTATATTCATACTATGTTATATGTTATATATGTACGTCGAGAAGCAGTCGTTTCGATGACACTTTAGTTTACCAAAGTCCTGTGTTTGGCTTCACAAGCACCGTCTGAGCATTTCAACAATCATACTTCAAATGCTTTCACTAATAAACATTTATTTAGTTTTATTTCATATATATAACCACATTGTTTAAAAATGTATAGTTATTTTATTAGTCATTTATATATAGAGTAAAATAAAATTAATATAAAAATTGTAATTATATTCGTATGCTGAAAAAAATGTTTATACTTAAAGCTGTTAAATATATTTTTTAAAAACTATCATGAATGAATAAAAAGCTTCTTATGCAACTTCCAATAAGGTTGCGTTAAACGTTTAACGCTGAGGGAGAGAGAAAGATACACGAATTTAGAAAGTAGGAGTGAGAGAGTGAGTCGGTAGATTGGAAGCACATACGTCTGGTATTCAGTATTTTTGCTGTGCAGCGAAGTTAACAGTGTGAGCAATGCTCAATGCTCACTGAGCATGATTAAATTAACTGAAATATACGTTTTGTACTATATTAAAATGAATAAATTTTTATAAATAAGTATTTATAATATTCATAATTTTTATTTTTTAGTCTGATTTGATGCACCTATAAAATAGGGCAGTATTTTATTTTCAAATTAAGTGGATGACAATGGTTTACAAATACGAAGTTCCACTTCTTTCAAAGTTACCCCACGCGCTGTTTTTTTTTTTTCTATATTGTTTTTTCAATATGGCTAATAGAACAGATTTTTCTCTCTTGCTACAAGCTACATCCGCTACAAATACCCAGTTTTATATGTATTTCTCTGAATATAATACCAATCGGATTTAATTGGTGAATGATCTTTCTTCATTCATGGTCATTACCTTGAAGATCTGGACTCATTATAAAGTTATAATAATTACATCTATATAAAAAAAACAACTTCAATAAAGCTCCAGTAGTTAGCAAACAGCCTTTAAAGAATGCTCCTGTTTCACATATCATCCCTACTAATATTATAAATGCGAAAGTAACTCTGTCTGTCTGTCTGTTACGCTTTCACGCCTAAAGCACTGAAATGATTTTAATGAAATTCGGTACAGAGATGGAGTTGACCTTGAGAAAGAACATAGGATAGTTTTTATCCCAGACTTTTAAAAGGTTCTCTTGGAAACGCGATATAACCGAACTCCACGTGGGCGAAGCTGCGGGAGGAAAACTAGTTGTATAAAATTACACAACTTTATTATTGAATAATATTCCACCAATCTTTTAACACGCGATCACATATTAATTTCTTTTTGTATATACAAATGATCAATATTTCCTCTTGGCTATATATTTCCACGAGCCTGTATTTAATTTTAAAGCGACCGAGTTACGTGGATTACCAAAAGTAGCTATCGCTAGTGAAACCTCAATATAATATTGAGAAAGACTTAAGTAACTTGCATGATAGCTATTTCCCGCGACTTCGTTCATACATATAAAAAATATTAACAAACTTTTTATTTACTTCTTAATTTTCTATAAATAAAATTAAAGTGTTACTCAGAGATTTTTATTATTTAAATTTTACGAAGAAAACATAGGTGTAATAAAATTTTTAATCATTTAAAAAGTATCGGCTGAATAATAAAAAAATTTAGACGCGATAAAAATTAATAGATTTAAACTAAATCTCGTAATAGAAAACCTGTTATGTTAGTATGTTATGGTTTTAATATAAATTGTATTTAACATTCAATAGAAAAACCGATTACAATATTAAATATTACACGATTTTCGTAACATAATACAAATTATTCAAATACGAAGTAACTTAAAACGACGTCAATTTATTTCTATAAATAAAATATATGGCTATCATTTGAACTATTCACAACAAAATGGCGGAAAAGATGGCGTCTATTAAGGCGTCGCTGTTAAAATATATTATTGTAATTATATTGCAAGAGCTAACTACTTCTATTTCTACTAACTTCTACTAACAAACCAAATAACATGAAATTCTTTGCTCTTTATTTAAGTAAACACAAAATTTTAATTAATTTAATTTAATTAAACCTGTTTTATGTTATTGATAGGCGATATTTATAATCTGTATTATCAATAGACTGTGATATAAGGTTAGACTGCAGTTTATAACTTTACTTCTGATGGTGGTTTAGTTTATCAAGTTTATAAGCTTCATTTATCCAAAACCATGTCTTGTTTCTCACCTCTGGAATTACAGATTTATAATAACCAAAGTTCACGGCTACGGTGGATCTAGGGTTTGTCAGGTTGTTAAAATAGTTACAATACCATCTTTACTTACCATAACTTACCATTAAATTCATTCCATAGATTTACAATGTTCAGAAAATATTTTTCTTACTTAATTTTATTGTACCGTGATGATTTCTTTTATTAATTGAAAATTGGTAGTTTGGAGATTAAATATATATATGGATAAAACCTGTTTATTACACAATATTTTTAAACTCAACAAGTTCTTCTTACTAAATAACTTGTAACAGACTCTTATAAAAAATATATCCGCTTATTTAAATTTTAATTATTATATAAATTGCCAAAATCATAATTTAATTCAATGTTTACCTTTTTATACACAGACTGATAAGTAGTGCCCATCTTAGATACAGAAGACTTCAGTGGAAAACGCTCCATAATTTCTAAAACAAACATTTTTGAAAGCAATTTTATAGTTACATTTTTAGAATTACATATATCATTAAGAAAGTATATGAAAATTATTTTAAACAGATAAAAAATATTTAATGTATATTTTTTTAAATTCTTATGTAAATCGGAACACAGATGAAGTTTGACGCAACGCCCCCTCTTAATTACATTGGTCATATTAAATCGTAGACGATTTGTTTTATTTTTAACATATTGCGCAAGCGTAAAAATGTCTTTGAAATAATTTAAATTCAAATTAACTGTAATTAATACCACTAATAAATCTAAACAATTACACATTGGACATCATAAAATTAGGCAAACATACCAACCTAGTTGAGTAAGAACATTTTAAATTTTGTAGCCAACTATTATCGTCTAAATTCACATTAAGTTTAGTTTGATAGAAGCAGAACAGTTATACGAACTGCGACGTAGTTCACTCGGTATGGAGATAGTTATCCGATTTTAATTTATAGTTTGCACTTTGCAGCAGTGAATGATCAGGGCACAATTTGAAACTGTCAGGTGTCAATCTTAAATAACTTAACACGTTTTACGCATTAAACAAAGATTTTTAAAAGTTTTATTTGAATGAAATATTATAACAGTAGATAGACAAACTGTTTTACAATTCTAAAACTTATGTGACTCTTTTATGGTATTGAAAAATATGTTGGGAGTATGACAATTTTGAGAACCTGTGGTCTTTCAGCTGATATACTTCATAAGTATAATTATTCTAATATGTTTGTTATATTATAGCATTGACTTATATAATTTTACAAAAATGGTCAGAATAATTTGAAGAGAAGATTTCATCATTAGTATTTATAAAAATATTAGACAATTACAAGGTACAATTTATATGAGAAATGACATTTGCATTTTCTTATATATTTATTGTTAAAATTTCATTTCTTTTAAATATAGCTTGCTATTAAAAGACTGATTCGCCCACTTGTCCTATGAATTTTTTCTAGTTTATTGTAACACCTTCCTCTCGATGCATGTCTGTTGTTGCTATTCCATCGGTTTACAAATTAAGTACATCACTAGCTATATCCGCTGATTTGTATAAAATGGCGTCAGCGGAGTTTTTAGAGCAAGCTTTGTCTACAGACGTTGATGAGAATGCAGTTAACGCGATTGTAGGTTCCCTAGAAAATCATTTAGTGACGTCCGTTCCGTCAATATCGTCACAGAACAATTTGTTGACTGTTATTCCAAGTCAACTTAGCCTTGCAACAAGTGAAAATACCATTATTGGACAAAAATATAACAAAGAGAATAGTGATGGCGATATAGGGAGTGTAAACTTTAGATCAAATATTGTTTCAAGTTCGTCTTTTAGTTTACCCACAAATTTTATAAACCAAACAAGCCTGTCTCAAAGCATTTCAAATGGTACTGATTTGGTAAAAGTTATAAGTTCCCAACCGCTAACTTTATCCGTGTCTGATAATAGTGTTGTGTTCTCAGCGCCATCATACGTGAACGGTTGTGCTTCATTGCCGTTATCCCAAGCTCAGATAATACAGACTGTACAAGGAAGTAGTGCTATAAATCAGCCGATTAATAAATCTATTACTATGCAAAATCCTCCTTTGGTTATAAAACAGGGTACGACTTCTGGTCAAGTCAGTATGCAGGCCAATATGGTGCCAATGACAGTGAATTCTAGCATGCCGGGTTCTATATCGAACGTGATGACTATTAATAAGCCAGGAGGGCAGAACGTGGTTGTGACCACACAGAATCTCGGTGCAGGCCAGCCCGCTATATTGCCTAATGTTCAAATTTTAAACATGAGGCCGGGCGCGCCTGCGGTGGCGGCCCAAAAGTCCGTAGCGACGGTGTCCCCGCGTGTTGTTATCGGGACTCCTCAAGTTGTTGGACAAAGAGCAGCTGCCCCTGGAGTAAGTTGTTTCTCTTGCTGACCCAATGTTTAGCTCTTGATGTCATTTGATCTTGTGGCAACCTATGTATACTTTGTTACTCAATTTTATGTTTATCAAATGACATCTATTTATTTTTTCATTATTTTTCTTTTATTTGTTACACTACACATTCATCTTGTGTGACACCTATCAAATGTTATCATGGTTATAATGTACACAATGGCAGTGAGCTTTTGATTAATTTGGAGAATAACAAAGCTTTTATCCATTAGAGTTTCCAATATCAGGGTTTCATTTGAAATATGAAATGGTTTTGAGAATTAACCTAAAAATTCACTCTAATTTAGGTTGTAGGGTAACATTCTAGGATTTTTTCTCAGAAATGTAAATTTCCCTTTGACAATCCCATTATGAATTTTTCACAGAAATCTGTCTCATACAGAGTTAAGAATTCTAACTGACATTTAAGGTGGCCATAGATATTTATATGATAAAATTTAATATAAATTTACTCAAAATTTTGTGTTTCAAATTGATACTGTTTCATTAACAGTTATGCCTGTCTGTTTGTTATTTATAATATTTCTATGGACATGTATCATAAATACATATTTATATAATTTTATGAACCTATGGAAAAATATTCCATGTAAAGATTTATGGCCATACAGTTTAAATTCTTATAAATACATTTGTTGTATATATTAAGTAAATAAGTCAAATCACATAAAAATCTTAAATGTTTATAAGGAAGGATGTTTAGAAAAAAATACTCGTAATTTGTTTCTGCAAATAAAGTTTCTAGTCATAATAAATTAAAAATATATATACTTATACATAATGAAATATTTTTTAATACAAATTATTGATTGTTGATATATTGCATAACATAATAGATTAATCGATCCCATATAATTAAAATGCTTTTGTATGCCTTACATTATCATCAGAGCTTATGATGCTGTTACCATTAATATAAAGAACATTAAAAGCCGGTGTCAGGCAAACCCATGAGCTCATGCATGTATGGTGCATCTATCCACTTGTACATATACATCATTTTAACGTTCATAAAATCGTACATCTCGGAGTTCAATGTAGTATATAATTCATGCTCTTCTTAACTAATACATTAATTTAAGGTTGTGGATACATTGCCAATTTATAAATATAAGAATTATAGTAATTATTTTAGCATTAAAATAAATATGCATAAATTTTTTACATAAATACTCGAATATGAATGAGTATCAAAAATTTGTAGTTTTGGCAGCGTGTATACATTTTGAAAAATGGTTTTGTACAGTTTTTCTTTAGCGTTACATAATATGTATATACATTTTTTAAATAGTACATATCTTATTACTAGTTATAATTTATAGAAATATAATTAAAACATAACAAAAAGAATTGTTTAAATACAACAATGGTTCAGGATCTATGTGAGAATTATGATTGTAGTTTTGTTATAGAATTTTTAGACATTATGAATTGTATATAAAATTAGTTTTACCTGTAAATGTGAAGTCAAACTTAGATATAATTATAACTATTAATAGTACACATCATACATAACAGCAGCCAGTATATCATGAGCTTTACATATTCTAATAATTGCTCCTAAATCATGGTTTTTATCAATCATCGTAAAATGGTACAACAATCACATTAATAAAATACTTGTAAACTACCACACAGTTTAGTTTGAATTTAATTTATTTTTTTTGAAACACAATTCAGTTGTCTTCCTTTTGTAATTTCATTTCCTTTTATTTATTCTAAATCTACAATGCATTTTGGACTATGACTGCTTATTCTATAATGAGAATATATAATATTAGCATACAATCTATTGTCATATTCTTAATGTTTCTGAATATTGTTTAATATATTATATATGAGATGCTGCCAGTTCTATATGTTCGATGGCCTTACACATACTTTGTATGTCTTAGATGCTGTGTATAAGCATACTATTTGCAAGATATATGTTCAAATCTAACATGTCTATCAACTTCACACAACTGTTTTAACCGAAGCAAGTTATGTGTCCAGTATAAGTATATGCATCTAATATTTGTATAATATGTCCTTAACAATAATAATACACAAATATAAAACAACCGGCAGAAAAAGGACATGAAAGAAATGTAACGCAACAGAGTCATAACTCATTGAACTGAAAGTGGAAACAGGATGATACACACAAAAAAAAGATTGAAACGAAGCGTTCATTTTTAGATAACGCTGCAAACACTACAAAGTCTACAACAGGGGCAGCAGGGTCATTTGTTATTAAAGACTGAGAACGGTCATTACCAGCTGTTGAGAGTTGGTCCGGGGCCCGGGGCGAACACACTGGCGCCGCAGCAACAGACGATGCGACTGTCCACAGTGCCGGCAGTAAGTAGGAACACGTAGGCCTTCGCCCCTCGAGCTCCACTGCCGATATTATGTCGTTAAAGTCCACTTAGGAACGGTCCATGCATGTAAGGTGGAGGGTTTTGTGCATGCATTTAATGAGGTAACTAACAAGGTAAGACTAATCTAGGTAACGTGATCATTTGTTTTGTATACTAAAACTACAGGTGGTTATATATAGTTGCGATTTAATTGATAGCGGCATTACAGTACCAAGGATGGTTTATTCGCTATTAATATACGTATTAATGGTCAGTTTATAATAGATCTTGTTAATGATGGGTAGTGGTTCATTTAAACATCAGCTTCGCATAGAGCGCTCTTACACATGATGAGGGAAGTTTCACACGCATGATACGTTGGCACCAGTAGATGTTCTAACATAACCTTCTAACACGACACCTATTTTGTATTCACAAAAGAATTAATCTATGTACAGACAAGTTTTAGTGATAGGATATGTTAGAGGCCTCAGTGGCAGACCCTGGCTAAAGTTGGGAAATTGCCAGGTAGAAGAAGATACACCTCAGAGTATATCAGATATATAATATAAAGAAATGTTTTGTTTTTACGTCCTGTTATCTTAGTTTATACATTGACTATTTCGACCGGTTATAGAGAAATATCTACTTTCTAAATGGATACGTATCTCAATATGAGTAACATATATTATTCTCCGTACGTTAATTTAGGATATTTTTTATTACTATTATTATTATTTTAACTTTGTAATGTCATTCTTGTTGACTAATGTTATGCTGTCGCTTGTGTATGCGCACGTTTGCTAGTATGCATGAACCGCTGTGATGTGTTACCATCTCTCTCCCGCTATGTTCCCTGATGGCTGTCTTTACGAAATTTTTAGGCTACGATTAACGTATTCTAAATACATAGTGTTTATAATGAACTAGATAATTACTAGTGATTACGAAACAAATAATGACAGCTGTAGAAAGTTATAAGGTTTTTTATGATCAAAGTTTAATATGAACTTCTTTATCATATATTCGTACTCTTTAGACAGTTTTATATAGTTAATGCATGAATGATGAATAGGCGGTTATTTTTGTCGAATGTTTTGTATGATACGTGTTTCAATGGGGTCGTTTCTTCAGCATCCCGGGGTATCTACGGTGTCAACTAGCGTGCCCGCCCCGGGACAAATACCCGGTCAGATGCCGCCCGCGCCCGTCGCTACTCCGGTGCCAGCGGCATCTGTAACCGTGCCTCTACCATCGCCGCAATCACTCCAACCAACAGTTACCACTCAGGTGAGGATAATATAGAAATAATTGGGTTCAAAACAATAAGAACTTTAAAAGAAGGAAAGCCTGATTTCGTGTCTCGTAAACCATATAAGCTTCAATGAATTTCATGCCTATAATCGAAATACCAAAGTTAATAAACTATAATACGAAAATTTATAAGTTTGTACGTCTTTTAAAAAAAAAATCTGTTTCTCGTTCTTCCGAAATTCAGATGATTTCCAATACTTTAAATCCCTCTGAATCTTATGAGTTATCTTTGGAAATGTGAAACTTATCCTCTATTAAGATGATTGTAATACGAAATATCAATTGGGTAATCGTTATCAGAAGCCGTTGGACAACACTAAGGAGAAGTGCCGCAACTTTCTCGCCAATCTGTTGGACTTGTCCAGCAAAGAGCCGAAATCTGTTGAGAGGAGTGTACGGAACCTTATACAAGAACTGATTGACGCTCAGGTTGAACCCGAAGAGTTCTGTGATAGGTTGGAGAGACTACTTAACGCAAGTCCACAACCCTGCCTCATCGGCTTCTTGAAGGTAAGCTAGCGTTCATCATCATCAGCCTATCAGAGCCCACTGCTCAGCAAAGTCCTCTTTCTCACACGGAGAAGGTTTGAGCATTAATCACCACGCTCGCTCAAGACGGGTTGGTGATTTCAAACATATAATTTGAAATTATATCACCTACGATGTTTTCCTTCATCAGTCAGTGGTGTCAAAATATTCTTAGAAAGTACATATGACTCTTAAAAATCACATTGGTACTTGCCAGGTTTCGAATCCGCGTCCTCATGTATGCGAGGTTAAGCTTATATATACTTCGTTAATTTCAACCAAAATTCAAGTCGGTTAATCTATAACTTGCTATAAGAAATGTAATTATTTTATTACGTCCCAAATAGTCCCAATGTTAGTGCAAAAACTGATGTTTGTTATAATTCCTATAGAAAAGTCTACCGTTGCTGCGTCAATCCCTAGTCACCAAAGAACTGGTGATAGAAGGCATCAACCCACCATCACCACACGTGGCCTTCTCAGCAATACCACCGCAAGCACCAAATACTGTGGTAGCCACCAGCAACATACAGATGGTAAGCTAACAACATATTAGAGGTGCCGGGAGTCAAATAACACGTTTTTATCCTATATATAATACTAATATTTTTTTATTAATTAAACCGTCCGCTCTAATATATTAATTGTTCACATTCATCGTCCTCTAACATGATAGCATTTTTTAGTATTACTCACTAACACAGACGTACATAAAACTTATGTATTTTAACATACGCGTTTATTGTCAAATTAATAATAGCATAGTCGTATATCACGGAATACGAATACGAATAACCGTATCGGAAAAGGCTACCTGCAGACTAGCGTCTATATATATTGTCAAATTAATAATAGCAAAGTCGTATATCACGGAATACGAATACGAATAACCGTATCGGAAAAGGCTACCTGCAGACTAGCGTCTATATATATTGTCAAATTAATAATAGCAAAGTCGTATATCACGGAATACGAATACGAATAACCGTATCGGAAAAGGCTACCTGCAGACTAGCGTCTATATATATTGTCAAATTAATAATAGCAAAGTCGTATATTACGGAATACGAATACGAATAACCGTATCGGAAAAGGCTACCTGCAGACTAGCGTCTATATATATTGTCAAATTAATAATAGCAAAGTCGTATATCACGGAATACGAATACGAATAACCGTATCGGAAAAGGCTACCTGCAGACTAGCGTCTATATATATTGTCAAATTAATAATAGCAAAGTCGTATATCACGGAATACGAATACGAATAACCGTATCGGAAAAGGCTACCTGCAGACTAGCGTCTATATATATTGTCAAATTAATAATAGCAAAGTCGTATATTACGGAATACGAATACGAATAACCGTATCGGAAAAGGCTACCTGCAGACTAGCGTCTATATATATTGTCAAATTAATAATAGCAAAGTCGTATATTACGGAATACGAATACGAATAACCGTATCGGAAAAGGCTACCTGCAGACTAGCGTCTATATATATTGTCAAATTAATAATAGCAAAGTCGTATATCACGGAATACGAATACGAATAACCGTATCGGAAAAGGCTACCTGCAGACTAGCGTCTATATATATTGTCAAATTAATAATAGCAAAGTCGTATATCACGGAATACGAATACGAATAACCGTGTCGGAAAAGGCTACCCGCAGACTAGCGTCTATATATATTGTCAAATTAATAATAGCAAAGTCGTATATCACGGAATACGAATACGAATAACCGTATCGAAAAAGGCTACCTGCAGACTAGCGTCTATATATATTGACAAATTAATAATAGCAAAGTCGTATATCACGGAATACGAATACGAATAACCGTATCGAAAAAGGCTACCTGCAGACTAGCGTCTATATATATTGTCAAATTAATAATAGCAAAGTCGTATATCACGGAATACGAATACGAATAACCGTATCGAAAAAGGCTACCTGCAGACTAGCGTCTATATACATATATTGTCAAATTAATAATAGCAAAGTCGTATATCACGGAATACGAATACGAATAACCGTATCGAAAAAGGCTACCTGCAGACTAGCGTCTATATATATTGTCAAATTAATAATAGCAAAGTCGTATATCACGGAATATGAATACGAATGACCGTATCGGAAAAGGCTACCTGCAGACTAGCGTCTATATATAGCCAGTTATAAGTTAGTCGGGCCTAACGTTAGTGGTTCGGCAGCCAGATGACGAAGGCAGCTCAAGTCCGACCCTAACGCCCCTCCTGCCCCCCGTGATGCCGGTCATCCCGCCCCAACCGCCATCACCGAAACAGATTAACATAGTAACCGTGCAGACGGCGCAGGTTTGTCGCTCGTGTACAAGCAGCCTTATCACGAATAGAATCATCGGAATCATTCGCTACAGTACAGTGGAAGGTAGTCTGGAAGAAATGGCTAATAAACCATAAGGCCGCCTTTTGTTTCACCATTAGTTTTTAGTTGTATTTTTCAGTAACTGTTTGTATTGTAATTGTGATGTACAAAAAAGAGTTAAATAAATACAGTGGTTGGTTCCATATGATATACCTCTCTACCATATTCTTTTACCACATCAGGTCATATTCGTCTCTTTCGAATGATTCCGAACGATTCCATGAATGTCCTCGTAAATGTTTTTTTATATATTTTTAAACAAGTGTCTTGTCCAGTTTATAATGAGCTAAAGTCCCAAATAGTAAATATATTGACTATAATGATGAAGAGCTAGTCTAATAGCTCATTATAAGCTGGAAAGCATTTGTCGCTATCATTAACCATGTTACATCAATGTGTATTTTATTAGAGGAAACTAGCTTTTTTTATTATACCCTATTATGCTATATCATGTATTATAAGTTTAAGATGTATTTTATATTAAGCAAGAAAACTTCCTTGAAATTTGTAAAACATTTCTCACATAAAAACGTTAACTAACGTTTCCATTGTTAAAAATAAAACGACATGTCAAACTTTGATATAAAATAATCAAATCTAATTGGCCATTCCTATTATTATATCAACCTCAAGTATTTTTCTTTTAATTATTGAAACACAAGGAAAAAATATAAATACAATTCAACCATAAAAATTATGTATCAGGAACCGTATTAAATGTATTATGTTAATTTTAAACTATGTACCTAAATTGGCTTTGCATGCCCTGTTATAATAAACGTTGTACAAATAAATTTATTTTGTTATATATATTTTTTTATTATTAAATGGTATATTTTCCAGCTATACGTGTATACCCAGCTTCCTTCATTAGTTATTTTAGTGATGTACCTATCGATGTCGATATTTTGTAATTCTGAACATAAATATTATTAAATGTTAAAATATGCATGTCAATTATTTGATCACAAGTTATATATTAGACGCTTAACACATTCGCACTGTAATACATACATGGCGTGACTGATAATTATTAAATTGTACTAAAGAAAATATTTTTATATGATTATAAGTCACGTCATGTATTCTTCGCTATATGTATGTAATTATAATCAAAAAATATCGATAATTCCAGCCGAAGCCTCAACCCAAATCTGGCGCGATAGCAGTTCTCCAGAACATTCCAGTGCATCCGAAGATCAACGTCAGTAAAGTTGGGAAGACTATGACTGTGAACAGTAAGGCTGGCTTCACACGACCAACAGGATCAGCTAGCACGGGCCTATCGACTGTACTAACGGCTGGGAAGTCCCTTTTGCGAGATAGGGAGAGGAGATCTGCTCAGTTCTCGCAAAGCTTCGTGGACGACAAAATGGCTGGTGATGACGACATCAATGACGTAGCAGCCATGGGAGGAGTTAATCTGGCTGAGGAGAGCCAGCGGATATTGGGCTCCACAGAAATGATAGGAGCACAGATCAGGTATGGGATGAGCTTGCTATGAAGTGTCTCTCAAGACTGGTTGTGATAAGATGAAGGAAATCTTTGCAATATAATATGTATATTAACATCAGTACAGTAGCAAGTCATAATATTTCAAATGCATATTCGACCCTAAATTTTAAATCATAAAAACTATTTAAAATCAAAAATCCAATTTCCATATAGGTCCATTCAAAAATTCTTATTATGTAAAATTGTCTTCTCTATATGATTATATTGATTCATCTATTTATGCAGGTCCTGTAAAGACGAGACGTTAGTACCAATGGCGGTGATGCAAGCCAGGATACGTGCGGTGTCTCTGAGAAACGGTCTTGAGGAGCCCCCGGCGGAGGTCGGAGCCCTACTGAGCCACGCGCTGCAAGAAAGACTCAAATCACTGTTAGAGAAGCTAGCGGTCATATCACAACATCGGATAGACACACATGTCAAGGTATACAATCTGTGTATGGATGTTTGTTCTTCTTTCAAGTGAAATTTAGTGGAAGGTTTTGTATGAAACTTTCTAATAATCAAGCATAGTCATCAGAATGAAACACAGGATATAAATTATATGTATATGCTCAGTAGTTATTATAGTTATTACTATATATGAAATATGTCCTAGCATGTGATCATTTACTTATATTGTAAAGTGACCTAACACACGACAGATGTTGCTGACGGTTGTTTAACATAAGTATTACATGGTTAACAGTATTAATTTCTTTCTGACAATCAATATATAAGTATATAAGACAACGCGAACAAAACCTTGATATAAAATAAAAGAAATTGAATATTGTTTTTATGATACATTTTTGTAGCAGTTTCCACTAAAGAGTTATTTGTTTGGCAGATGGATTCTCGTTATGAAGTGACCCAGGATGTTAAAGGCCAGCTGAAGTTCCTCGAAGAATTGGACAGAGTTGATAAGAAGAGGCGAGAGGACTCTGAGAGGGAAATGTTATTAAGAGCGGCCAAGTCACGCTCCAAGAACGAAGACCCGGAACAGGCCAAGCTTAAGGCCAAGGTGAGAAGATCATTAAAATAGTCATAAAAATATATACATATATATTACTAGCTGTTACCCGCGGATTTCCAGGATTTCCGGGATGTAAAGTAGCCTATGTGTTATATATACGTCAGCTTCCTGTATACAAAATTTTATAAAAACCGTTCAGCCGTTTGAGCGTGAAGAAGTAACAAACATACGCTCACAAACTTTCGCAATTATAATATTATTAGGATATATATATTCAGATTATAAATTACCATTATAGAATATGAATAAAATTGCTTATATATATTTATTTGTAGGCCAAAGAAATGCAGCGCGCTGAATTAGAAGAGCTGAGACAGCGGGAGGCGAATCTGACTGCATTACAGGCCATCGGACCAAGGAAGAAACCACGAACAGACGGCTCAGCGGCCGGAGATAACTTGGGATCAAGTGGTCAGAATACTGGACCTGTAAGTATGACCTAAACTATATCACAGATACCTGTATTTATTATGTCAAAGGTTGCAAACAAACAGATGGCCTAGTAAATGGGCAGTAGTCACCATCGCCCATGAACATTCGCAACATAGATGTTACAGATGCATTGCCAACCTTGATTGTTGAGGAAAAGGGAGGGGTGGGAGTAGGGAAATAGCAGGAAAGGGAGGGAATAAGGAAAAGGCAACCGGCTTTTTAATGACTACTTCATGCTGATCTTCTGTGAGAGGGTGGTACTTCGGCCAAGCCAGCCCATGTTCGAGCTATAATAACTTGACTACAGCTAGGCTCTACCACCTTACAAAATCCTGTATTAATATATATATTTTATCCTTCAGTCCGGCCGAGGTCAACTGCCACAGCGAACTCGTTTGAAGCGTGTTAACATGAGAGATATGCTGTTCATGATGGAGCAAGAACCAGAATATAGACACTCGGTGCTATTATACCGTGCCTACCTCAAGTAAACTCACAACTACCTAGTGTTCATCTAGTTAAAACTATAGTAATACTGTTAAATCTGATTTGTATTGATTTTATGCTATTTTGACAGTCATGATGAAATATCAACTATCATATGTAAGAGTTACGTTTTATTATATAAATGATATAAATCACATTTATTATGTATACAAGAAGTTGCTTATTTAAGTGCAATATATTGACTCAATATCTTGTGCCTGTGACTATTGAATGAGATGTGATGTAAATATACAGTTAGTTTAAATTATTATGTAGTTTTAGTGTAGCTGTAATTGTTTTTGAAGTTTGAGCATTGTAAGCTAATTATGTTAATGTTAATAATGAATTTTTTTTCTTACATGCTAGATGAAATATGTATATATATGTAAAATTTAAAATGTGTTTTATTGTTTGTGACTATTAAAATATTTTTGGACCGGACTATGTCTTTTTTTGTCCGAGTTATCCATATATGGGATTTTCATTGACATTTCCTAACAAACCATTCTGTATTTTATACAGATAAAAAATATATTCGAGCTATAATTTAAGCCACATATAAAGACTTCATCAATAAAATATTAAATATAAAGTATTGTATAGATGATAAAAAATCGATAAATATAATAATACATTTATTCAATATTTAGACATACAGACATTACACGATGTTTATTTAATGTTGTGCAGACATTACTATAACATGAGAAACCTATAATAGTTTCATATTTTGGAATAAAATTTGAAACCTATAATAAGTTCTTACATAATAAACTCTGAACGATCATATAGAGTATTAAGTAATAAATGTCCTAAGTTGGGATGCATATTAAATGATTAAGTAATTTTATATTTAAAGTACTTTTTTCACAAAAAATTGATAACGTAATGGCTTTTAAATTTATTTTTTTTAATAATAAATGCCGCTAAGCCTCAGACAAAAGCATTTGACTTCTGAGAAATTAATGCTCAAACAAATTATATTGCATCATGTATGTATTCACTACTTGCTGTGAAACATGGCGACATAATTATAAGCAGTTACAGATCATTCCAAATAACTACTGTAAGGAATACGAATAACAAAAATATTGACGCAAGCGCAATGAAATTTCTACGTATCGATCTGTGAAAGCTGTTTTGGGATACACTGACTCGTTTTAGGAGTCATAAAATTTATTTTATACTTAAAATATGTAAAAAATTTAGTACTGTCTTAATTCTTAATTTTCTCATGTCAAATTTATTATTTCTGACTGAAACGTAAAGTTAAAATTTAGGTTTCAGTATTTTGGATATTAGTAGTGTCTAAAACAGATTTTTAGCATTAATTATATACAAGATTTCAAACAAGTCAAAACTAGATTAGTTTTTTATCTATAGAGATGTTTTACATTATATAATTGTATATCATATGTTTAAACATTTTAATTGGTATATAATCTACGAAAATATAATCTTAAAATATGATATATTTAAAAATTGTATGAAATATTGCATAAGCCATTATCTTATTATTATAGTAACTAGCAACATTGTTCTGTCCATTAGTGGTTAATGTGTCGTAAATTTGTACGTGTATTCGATTTGTTTGGCATCAGAAAAAAAAATAAAGTGACACGTCCACCCACCCTGTCAAAGTACTACGGTTAAGTGTATATTGCGTGAAAATTTTCATGTTTTAACTATTTAAAAATGGTAAGATATGTCCTATATGCTGTTATATAAATGAAACCGTGTGTTAACTTTTACTTTTATTGTTAGACGAACTTTTGTCCACGTAGATATTGATGATTTGGTAGTATGTCACCATTCATATGTCGGCTTCCCGTGATAGTTATATAGATAAGTTTAATTGAAATTTTTGTGGTGTGTTAATCTGGTTTGTTACGATGTTACAAAAGCCGTTAAGATTGGAAATCAAGAGGAAGCTGACGGCGCGGTCTGACCGCGTCAAGTGCGTAGACCAGCATCCAACAGAACCGTGGCTGCTTTGTTCCTTGTACAGCGGCGACGTGAATATATGGAACTATGAAACACATACACAGATCAAAAGATTCGAGGTAACATATTACGATCACTTCTATAGCTTTAATGAATATTTCGTCAAATAAAGTCCTTTTAAATTCTTATTGGTCTCATTGAGGTCTTTTTGTGTTAAAATAAAACTAACACTCATTGAAGTAGCTCTTGATTGCGCTAAAGAATTGTTGAAATGTTTATTTTTTCCACTGCAATACTTTAATTTGAATTGGATTGGCAAGCAAGTTATTTCAGTGTCAGAGTATGGATTATTATTCAATTGATTTTATATACTATACTTACTTAAATCAGTTCCGTTTGAAGGATTTTGAACATATCTGGCTTAAATTCATAACTACATATTTGTTCATTGAGCGGCCAGTTTTTATCATAGGAAAAACTTAACTTGTTGAATTTGATGTTGTCAATATTGATTTTTACAAGTAGTTAGAAAAAAATTTGATATCAGTCTGACAATGAAAGGGTGGGGCTATATGAAGAAAGCAATACCCATTCCAAACCGAAATAAATATTTTGAAAGTGTAGTTTAAGTTGTGAGGTGTCATATATTGTGATCAGCCTATAAGAGCCCACTGCTGAGCAAAGGCCTCTTTCTCACATGGAGAAGGTTTTTGAGCATTAATCATCACACTTGCTCAAGACGGGTTGGTGATTTCAAACTTATAATTGTGAAACTATAAGTCCAGGTTTCCTCATGATGTTTTCCTTCACCGTATGTCAGTGGTGTCTAAATACTCTCAGAAAGTACATATGACTCCGAAAAATCACATTCGTACTTGCCAGGTTTGAATCCGCGCCCTCGGCAACGAGAGGCGGGCCCTTTAACCACTAGGCCACCACTGACTATATATTTTACTTAAATCCATTCAATATTCAGCCCACTCTGGCCAGATTTTGTAATTGTCTTCATTTCTTTGTTGTTCCAAATTACCAATTAATGGCAATAATTATGAAATACTACGAATGCTAGGTTGCCATGAAAACAACTCCACACCGAGTACTAAAATTTATTCCTATTCTACTCAATCAGCCTTTATTTTCTTCTAACACAATTCAACTTTAACATGAATATTGAGAAATTATAACTGAATCTTTTGTTGGTTCTGTTCTATGATATATGTTTACCTCTTGTAATGTCTTACACACAATGATGCTTTTACTCAATAATTACTTTAATTTGATCACTGCAGACTTAAGTTGACCATTTACTGTCTTTAATTTTAAATCTAAAGATGATATTATTATTTAATAGTTCTAGTGTATGCCAGAAGTACAACAATGTGTGACTAAGGCCTTAGCTTTGTTAAAATTCTTAAAAAAAAATCAAAACATATCTTCATACATGAGTTTTAAACAAGGGTTTTCTTTGTATTGTAACATTGAGAAGACAAATTACATATAGTGCTATTTATTTCAATATAAACCAAGTGAAGCCTCTATTAGCAATATCATTTTGGTTTGATCTGCTTTTGTTTCTTAAATATTTTTTACAAGAACTTTAAGCTGAAGCTATGTGAATAGTTACATGTGTTTGTGACAGGAATATATATAATTGTTTTAAAAAGTAAATCAAACCAGGTTAAATAACAGTTTGTGTCAAATGTTCCTACTTGTAAAATCTTGTATACCTGTTTAAGTAGTTTTTTCATACTGTAGGTATGCGACCTACCAGTGAGGGCAGCTAAGTTCGTGATGAGGAAGAACTGGGTGGTGACAGGATCTGACGACATGCAGATCAGAGTGTTTAACTACAACACTCTAGAAAGGGTGCACAACTTCGAGGCTCACTCGGACTACATAAGATGCATTGTGATACATCCCACACAGCCTTATATACTGACTAGCAGCGGTAAGATAACACTAAACTGTTATTTTCATAAAGAAAGTTATTTTAACTGTCATATAATTAATTAACAACATTTTGATATCACCGATGGTACCTATTAGGACATTTTTGTTATCAATAGTATTTTAAGCTATTTGTATGTATGTCTTATCAATAATTTTATAACATCAACATTACATATATTATTAAAGACAACTATTTCGTATATTATAATGTATAATGTTTTGGACTTTTATATATTAACTTATGGTGTTTAGATGATCTCGTCATCAAGTTGTGGAACTGGGACCGTAACTGGGCGTGCCAGCAAGTGTTTGAAGGCCACACCCATTATGTGATGCAAATTGTTATCAACCCTAAAGATAACAATACATTTGCCAGCGCAAGTCTTGATACAACTGTTAAGGTAATATTAATAGCAGTTGTTTGACTTATATTACAGATAAATCTTAAATTCCTACATTTATAACTAAGTTTTGAGTTGGACTTAGGTTCAGAAAGTAAAGCCATTAAATAGGAAATCTTTTAAATTATATTGCTATCTAAGATATATTCTTAATTTTTTTTTTGTAGTATTGTATCAAAAAGTGAGTGATTACAAAAAATATTAAAAAAAACCTGTAATTTGCTGGGATTTAATATTGAGAGTTTATATGTTTCTATATAGGTGTGGCAACTCGGATCTTCAATCTCAAACTTCACATTGGAAGGCCACGAGAAGGGTGTCAACTGTGTTGATTATTACCACGGTGGTGATAAGCCCTACCTCATCAGCGGAGCAGATGACCGTCTCGTCAAGATATGGGACTATCAGAACAAAACATGTGTTCAGACATTAGAAAGTAAGTGATTTTGTTAATTTAATGCCTAGTTTCAATTATTTTAACATTAACAAGTGATATTGAAATCACTGTTGTACAATATTTCATTTATTCAATGTACAAAATAAGAAGATAATTCTTTTAATCCCTACTAAATGCGAAAGTAACTCTGTCTGTTTGTCTGAGTGTGTCTGTCTGTCTGTTACGCTTTCACGCCTAAACCACTGAATTGATTTTAATGAAATTTGAGATTGAGAAAGAAAATAGGATAGTTTTTATCCCAGACTTTTGAAAGGTTCTCTTGGAAACGCGATATAATCGAACTCCACGCGGGCGAAGCTGCGGGCGGAAAGCTAGTACTTTATATATGAGAGTATTGTAAAACATACACTCTCAAGTAAGTCTTCTATCAATTTTGCTTCAATAGGTCACGCCCAGAATGTGACAGCAGTTTCCTTCCACCCGGAGCTACCAATACTGTTGACTGGTTCCGAGGATGGTACAGTGAGAATCTGGCACGCTGGCACATACAGACTTGAAGCAGCCCTCAACTACGGCTTTGAAAGAGTATGGACCATATCATCGCTACATAGATCCAACAATGTGGCTATCGGGTAATTTGTACATGATCTACATTTATATTTTATCTTTGAACAAGTTATATCATATTTAAAATGTATATATGTAGATAGAAGTTAAAACAAATAGCCAACATGTAAGGCAGACCCTGGCTATAGCTGGGAAATTGCCAGGTAGAAGAAGATAGATAGTAGTTAAAACCTATATTTTTAATATATATTCATTTATTGATGTATAGCAACTATATTTAAATTACCAATATTTATATTATATCAGTGTACAAGCTATTGCAAAATTTAACATATATATATCTCATCATTTTCGTTTCTCATTATATATAATTTTATTTCTTGTTCTTGATTGTGTAAAGTATATTTTGGTCGGCAGATATGATGAAGGTACCATAATGATTAAGGTTGGAAGGGAAGAGCCCGCTATTTCGATGGATGTGAATGGTGGAAAAATAATTTGGGCCAAGCATTCTGATATGCAGCAAGTTAACTTGAAAGCTCTGCCCGAAGGTAAGAAGATTAAAAGAAAATAAGTTTACATCATAGAAATATATAGATAACAGTTTTGGGATAAAAGAAAATGGTTATTATGTATTCCATATATCCAATTGTTAAGTATATTATAAAATCAATTACATATTACATTGATGTCATATGGAGATTATAATAAATAGGTTGTATTTAAAGTTATATTGAGTTAGAGCTAACATTCTTGACAATCCAATCATTGTATCATTATTGGAATTGATCAATATTATGTTAAATATACTATGATACATATGAGTGTTAAATGTATATTAATTGTCACAGGTACTGATATAAAAGATGGTGAGCGGGTTCCAGTTGTGGCAAAGGATATGGGTTCCTGTGAAATATATCCGCAGACAATAGCCCACAATCCGAATGGTCGTTTTGTAGTGGTTTGTGGTGATGGGGAGTACATTATATACACAGCCATGGCTCTAAGGAATAAGGCATTCGGAACTGCCCAAGAGTTTGTATGGGCTTTGGATAGTTCTGAGTATGCTACACTGGAGAATTCTAGCACCGTGAAAGTCTTTAAGAACTTCAAGGAGAGGAAGAGCTTTAAGCCCGAATATGGCGCTGAAGGTAATATTGACAACATTTTTTTCTCTTAGTAATCTTTTATATGGTATGGTGTTTTGGTCTTGAGACTGGAATGCTACCTTCCAGAGGTTCCAGGGTCAAATCCTATTCCTCTTGATGGATTTTTCATTATATATTATCTACTATTTGTCCTAGTAGGTTCTTTTCAAATTTCATTTGGAAGAGAGAGGAGCTTGTACGGTGGAGGTGAGCGTTTAACGTGCGTTAGATAGGGCCTTAAACCTACACTTGGGTCGCAAGTCACAGTCACTGTTGAAGCTCCTCTCTCTACAACGATGGACCTGACACCCGCATATGAATACATGGAATGATGAGAGGTTTCATGTCTTAATTGTGTTATTATTATTCAGGTATCTTCGGTGGCTTCATGCTGGGCGTGAAATCCATCAGTGGGATGGCCTTCTCGTTCTACGACTGGGAACAATTGGAGCTAGTTAGACGGTAATATAATATTTATTATCTATATTAGAACTACCCTCAACAGATTATATAATAATTATAATATAATATTATGGAGTATTTAATAGGTCTTGATTTTTTTATCTATGTTTCTTGATTTGGCTCAGTAAGATACTGAATTTAATGGCTTATTATTATTGTTTTTATTATAAAGTTATATTATCTAAAAATATGTTTTTGTATTATTTATTATTATAAAAAAGTATTATTAAATATTTTTAAGGAATACAAAGGTTAGTTATGTATTTTTTTATTATTATTTATATATTTTATAACATATTGCAATGCAATTTATTATTTTCATGTTGCTATGGCGTGAAGTTTAAAGCAAGCAATTTAATTAAAAATCGCTTCAGCAGTTTCAATCATAATCTCATTTGGCGACGCGATGATAACATATTTAAAATGAATATGAAACTAATAAAAAATGCGAATTTTATATATAAAAATACTTAACGGATTTTTTTAATAATTTGTCGTAAGACCTGCAATTTTTGAAAATGATGCATAGCGTTTTTATTATATAAAACGTTTTATTTTTACTGCAAATAAAAAAATAAATACAACTTATAATTATTACAAATTAGTTTAAAAATTGTTATTTTTTTTGATACATATAATATAATCATGTTAAAGATTTTTTGTATTTTGACTGTAGGTTGATTATGTGCGAATTTTCTTAATATTTTGTGAATGTTATTTACATTAATTATTGATTTGGGATTCGATATTGGTGAAAAAAACTAACTATATTATCTTCTATCTATATCTATACTTATAATAAATTTGTAGAGAAGTCAATTCTGTACATAAAATATATTAAAAAAACTATCAGCGGGCGGTTAGGGATCGCTACTGATGCTAAAAATTCAATCAGTAAAATTTTTGTCTGTCTGTCTATCTGTATATTCGTTATGGAAACAAAAACTACTGGACGGATTTTAACGAATTTTGACACGATTATTCTTCATACTCTTGGGCAGGTTATATGTAGTATACTTTTTATTACGCTACGATTAATAGGCGCAGAGCAGTGAAAGGAAATATTTTAAGAACAGGAGAAGTTACTCCATTTTAAGCTTCTGACGCTTGTTTATAATAAAAATGTTAAAGAAACATTTTTCCACATACATTTATTAATTTTTTTTGTGAAAATCATAAAATTCTGTTTTAGACTGACGCAATGCATTGTTAAAATAAACTGTAGCGAAATCTCTATGAATGTTTAGCAATATTAATGTATTAAATGCGAATTTATATATGTATGCTTATTTTCGCAAAACTGAAACAATTTTTATTATTTAGTAAGAAGTCAAGTTACTAACTTGTAATTGAATGAAATAGTTTTATTGAGAATCAAAAGTAATACAGTTAATTTATTTTTCATTCACTAAATTAGGACGTAAACAAAGATAGATTTTATTCAAAAATATATTGCGTTTTACTGCTAGCGACACATTGAAACATCTATAGAAAATAATAATTTAACATATTAACATGTGGATTAAATTGCGAAACCATTAAAAAATTTATTAAAAAGGCATTATAATAATCGCGATACATAATTCGATAAATTCGGTAACATTATTACCCCTACCATCAGTTACAATTGTAAGTATATTTATCACTTTATCTCACAGCATCGAGATTCAACCGCGTCATGTCTTCTGGTCTGAGAGCGGAAGTCTCGTCTGTCTGGCAAGCGAAGAAGCCTACTACGTGTTGAAGTACAACGCTTCTGTCGTAGCTAAATCCAGAGAAAGCAACACGAATGTCACGGAGGACGGCGTTGAAGATGCATTCGAGGTGAGAACGTGACTAGTAGTAGGGGATATTTTGAACGAATGTATTGTGACTTCACTTATATTTTGATAATCCAGGTATATGTGTTGTACGAATATAATAAGATGGCTATGAAATTCAAAAAGAAGTATTCGTCACGGCTATATATAAGTACCTACTAGCTTATATTATATAAAATAATATAAATATAGATGAAGGGGCTATAAGTATATAAATAGCAAATATTAATCAGTTGAAATATATAAATTGTACATTTATTTAAAATAAAAAATCCATAAATTTATTTCTTGGCGCGGTAGTTTAGTTGATAAAGCGACTTAAAAGCAATGTACTATAGGTTACAGGTTCGAAACCTGTATCCCAAGATTGTTTTAATGACAATAATTATATAATTTTAATTAATTAATACATTAATCAATAAATAATATTTTTTATCATCGTAGGTCGTGGGTGAAGTAAACGAATCGGTGAAGACTGGTCTTTGGGTAGGCGACTGCTTCATATACACGAACTCGTTGAACAGAATCAACTATTACGTCGGAGGCGAGATCGTCACCATAGCTCACCTTGATCACACCATGTATATACTGGGATACGTAGCTAAAGAAAACAGGTATATACTTAAATATAAGAAACAAATATTTTTCGGATGTACTGCGATTCATCTCGTCTGAGCGTGATCATGGATGCTGTAAAGTAACGGAAATGTTGGGAGTATGTAGTTTATAATAAAAAAAATCGCGTAGTACATCTGAAAATATTATTTTCATTTAAAGGTATATAGTTAACAGACAAAAGATATTCAACATATTTTATGGATGTATACCTACTAATACTAATTATATGTAGGGGGCAACCTAAGGTTCTAGGAAAACAACGAAACTTACTTTTATGTATATTATAATAAGAATTATATATTAAAACTTAGAACATACACCTAAGACTACAGGATTGACCCGATGTTAGGATAGTAATACCATTCCATAGCTTGTGTGGTATCAGGAATCTTCTTCACACGGCTTGATGTTCGTTCTATTGAGTCACCAGGGTCACTCGTTATATGATATTTTATCTATACAACGATGTTGCCCCAACGATGGTCATTTATTTTTTAACATACTGAACAGATTCAGATTTAACTTTCCAAATAATCTAGCTCATACATAAGAAAAATAAATAATGTAATTGCATAACGACCGCGTCATGAAAATTTTATGTAAGTCACACATAGATGGTGCTATATACGCGTTAATTCCCTAAAATTAACCCAAAAATGGACAAAGTCGTGGTCATGTACTAGTATGCACGTTTTCTTACAGGCTGTATCTCAACGACAAGGAGTTGAACATAGTGTCGTATTCTCTCCTACTACCGGTTCTTGAATATCAAACAGCCGTCATGAGAGGTGACTTCGAGACAGCTGACCGAGTCCTTCCAACCATACCTCACGATCATCGCACTAGAGTGGCGCATTTCCTTGAGAAACAGGTAAAATAAACTCATTATGAGAGTAGAAGTACTCGAAGATGAATATTAAGTATAAACTGTCTAGTAATTAAGTCGATCAGAGAAACCGTTGAGTTTAGGTTCAAAATATTGTTAAAAGCCTTTGTGATCATGATATTTGGTATAATTTTCAATACCAGGTCCTCTAAGAAAGTTTAATACTAAGCATTAATAATACTGTTCTATTGTGGCAATAAGAATTGGAAAATTAAGTCATATTGTTTGCAAAATTTAATAGATCATGCTATTTGGTATAATTTTCAAATTATGAACTGTTTTTTAAAGAATACCGTCATTACTTTTTATTTTGAAGGTTGCCATATACATTATTTTATCCTACCAATGTAACATAACTCCTAATTTTCTCGAGGACCTTTCATTAAATCTTATTATTGTGAAACCATGTATAACCATGTTATTATTGTGAAACCATGTAACCTGTTTTAACGATAAATCCGCCTATTGTACATTTTTCTTTTTTTCGTTTTTACACCTATTATAAAGAGTATAAATAAACCACTATAATTCATACAGGGCTTCAAACAACAAGCTCTGGCCGTATCAACAGAGCCTGAACACCAGTTCGAATTGGCTCTTTCACTGGGCGAATTGAAGAGGGCCAGTCAATTAGCTGAGGAATCAGACAAGGCTGAAGGTCGTGAGAACGATCAGCCATCAAGAGCCTCGGCCGCTAGGTGGTCGAGATTAGGAGCTGCTGCCGCAGCAGCCGCTGATACAGATCTCACTAAAACCTGCTACCAGAAGGCCCGAGATTACAGCGCTCTACTGCTATTCTCCGTCAGCACTGGTATATAATTTGTATTATTTTAATGTTACATTTGTTTATATATAAAAGAATGTCAGGTTAGATACACTGTTTATAACTCAAGAACGGCTGAACGGATTTTCTACAAGCTCTACTTCTATTCGCCGTCAGCACTGATATATGTCTTCTAATATTATAAATGCGAAAGTAACTCTGTCTGTCTGTTTGTCTGTTACGCTTTCACGCCTAAACCACTTAACTGATTATAATGAAATTTGGCACAGATATAGAGTTGATCTTGAGAAAGAACATAGGATAGTTTTTATCCCAGACTTTTGATAGGTTCTCTTGGAAACGCGATATAACCGAACTCGACGCGAGCGAAGCCGCGGGCGGAAAGCTAGTAATATGTAATTTTCTTTTTGTTAGTCTTCCTGGCAGAGACTATAAAGTATAACTAATGTTTATATATAAAAGAAAGTCGTGTTAGTTACTATTTATAACTTTTAACGGCTGTACGGGTTCGGATGAAAATTGGGGGACATAACTTAGAACACAGAAAGGACATAGGATACTTTTCATCCGATTGAAAAAGAAAAATAAAATAATCACATCTAAAATCTTATCTACTGTCTTTAAGTAGGAACAGAGTTCGACCGGTCATTATACATTTCTAATTGTGAAACTAACGCAGACGAAGTCGGAGACGAAAACTAGTACTACTATTATACAATATATATACTGGTATTTTATGTTTGAACAGGCGATCGTGAGTTGTTAGAAGAAGTGGCTCATATGTCTGATTTAGCCGGTGAAGATAACATAGCCTTCACATCATATCTCACTCTAAATGATTTGGATTCTTGTCTGGCACTGCTTCTTAAACGGAACAAACTGCCCGAGGCTGCGTTCTTTTGCAGGTGAATACATAAACTCTAAAATTTTAGTCTCTGTATACATAATATACTTATTACTTATATACTTTCTTGATTTTCGCTAAATTATTATTAATAATTGTTTAAATAATACTTAGATATTGACTGCAATAACGAAATCATATTAACCTTTCAATCTAGTTTATCATAAAGACATATCTGGCTATGTTTTTTTTCTGAATATTTCTATTATACATGTGGTGTTTGTTAATAATGTTTGTTCATTCCAGGTCATACTATCCATCAATGATGAGTGATGTCCTCAAACGTTGGAGGGACTCTGTCTCTATGACAAATCCCAAGTGCGGTCAGGCCTTGGCTGATCCCAACAAATATGACAACCTGTTCCCCGAATACATGGTTAGATATATATATTATTATAATACACACCCTTGTATATAATTAACTAAAATTACATAGATTTCAATTGATTAATCCTTTTAATTGTTATATTAAATTATAGATAATAATAATTTGATGAGCAATGTGAATGTACCATAAAAATACCATTAGAAAACCGTGTATATTAACTTGTAATTTAAATGACTCATATGTAATATATTTTATAGAAAAGAGCATTTATTGAAGATATTTATAAATATATATTGGTTTTTCATGTATATTCATGTATATCGGTCACATTTGTATGATTACAATAAATCCAGATTTTATTTAAAGTCATCTATAAAATTATAAGGATATCAATGATGGCTTACTTTGGAAGGTCATAGTTAAGATGTATTGGGAATTATGAAGTGAAGTGAAGCCTCACTCTAAATACATATTTGCAACATTGACTTTTAATATATCACAATACTCAATCATATACTCCTAATTTGGTTTTCTATTTTATTCTGCTGAGCAGTGGCAATTTAGATTAAACATATTATAAGTATTTTTAAAAAAGACTGGGCTTTTTAGTAGAGACTAATATGATTATTCTTTTTTAATACATCCTGATATCATAATTCTTGTGTCATATCAATAAAGATAGGTTTGACAGTATGAATTGGACAAACTAGTGATTGTATTGAAAAACAAAAACAGTTTTATAACATTTTCACTTTCTTCAGCAGAAGATTATCATGCAAAATGTATGTCATATCAATATTTTTAATTATTTAAAATAATTTTCCTACAGGATACCCTTGCAATGGAATTCTACCAGAAGCACTTTGGTTATCCCTACTACAATCAGTTGGAGCATATCGAAGAGAACACCGATCTATGCAATGTTGATCGTGACCTATCTCATGAGAGGCTGGTCGCTATCCACACAGGGGCATACGACCCTAGGGTTATAACACCACCCTCTGGAGCATCTGGCCTCTCAAGTCTGCACGATAGTCCCAGGCGAGATCCCAGGTAAATATAGCTTGTTTTTCTCTCACTGATTTTATATGCATTATTTAGCTATTTCTAAACATATAAAATATTTGATTACTTTTATCAAAATTTACTGATTGTTTAAACACATAATATATTTGTGGTGGCCTAGAATTTAAAGCCTTGCTTCTGCATGGGGGCAGGTTCGAAACCTGGTAAGAACCAATGTGATTTTTCCAAGTCATATGTACTTTATAAGAGTATTTAGACACCACTGACTGATGAAGTAAAATATCATGAGGAAACCTGGACTTGTAGTTTAAAAAATAAGTTTGAAATCACCAAGCAATCTTAAAGAAGCGTGGTGATTAATGCTCAAACCTTCTCCATGTGACAAGACGCCTTCACTCAGCAGTGGGCTCTGATGATGGATGTCAAAAAACATTAGTTAAACATTAAAATGTTTTGTAATATATAGTTATTATTAATATAATTGTATTCATTACATAGAAACCCAGATAGTTCAGATGAGGCATCCTATTCCGATGATAAACTCAGACGCAGGGACTCGATGGATATACTTGATGAGATTGAACGTGAGATTGATGATATTGTGTTGGATAATAACGAAGAAGATCTGGTGAGTGGCTGACAATATTATATTATACATACAACTCATGATAAAAAGACCTCAATAATATATATATATATGATACTAGAAGACCCGACGAACGTCGTATCGCCCCATAATCAAGAAATATCTGTTACGTTTTTTATTTATATTTTTGGAGTTTACCTATTAAAGCCATAAATCTCCGTGTTTTGAAGTGCGACAGAATGATTGACATATTAGTAAGTTGTCGAATCTAATGTTAAAAAAAAAACGTTTGTATCAACAACTACTAATAAATTAAAAATTAATTTAAAAAACATTGTCCAGCGGACAAAATTGTGACTCTAAACCATTCTCAGATCCCCTTGAACAAACACAAAAAATTTCATCAAAATCGGTCCAGTCGTTTGAGAGAAGTTCAGTGACATACACACTCACAGAAGAATTATATATATAAAGATTACTTAGATTTAGGATGTCAATTTGATTTCTTGCACTATCTTTAATACAAAAAACTATTAATCTATTATATATGGTATTGTGTTAAAAGAATTAATCCCAATCAGAACATTAAGAAACAGTAAATATGTATGCAAATGATCAAAATTATAGTGTTATTGAGGAGTTTGTAACTGTTATAGCTTTCTGAAAACATAAATAACTTGACTAGAAATCATAATAGTGGGAAGCGTTTAGACGGTAACATATTTTATTTATTTTTATTTTGATACAATATTAATAGAAAATTTTTATTTTCAGGATACGTCAGACGAGGCCATGTATTTAGAAACTTAATTTTATATAACTATTTCAATATTACAATCACTACATATTGTATTTAATAAAATGCTAACACATTTAAGATTATTATTATAGTATTATGAACATCCGGTAATTATTTTCTCTATATCCTCATATTGTCAATTTATTATATTTAAAATCCTAAACTGTGTTTTTCTTAGAGTTATTTGTATTTAATATTGTTGGTGTCATGTTCATTAAGGTAAACCTATTCGCACAATCACAGAATCGGATGACAATGTTGTTTTATTTTGTTTCTTAGTGTGAACTTACATGAGAATGACTACTTAAATATTATTTAGAGTTTAATATAAGACTTTTTTTTTATTAGATTTAAATAGCATCGTAATTCGTAACAATTTTACTGCATTTTATCATTCCAACAGTTCTGGATTCACTTGAACACTTAATATTTAATATTATATGGTAAGTATTACCAACAATTAATCAACCATTTTAGATTAGATTTTCATTGTAAACGTATATAATAACCACTTATCTAGATGACTTTGAGAATATTTGCCAAAAAAACGATCATCTGTAGGGAACTCGAGGTAAGTTACGAGTTGTTTAAAACATGATAATAATTGTCGTAATAAACTCGATATAAACAAAAAGTTTTTTTATTCATACCTTTTATAATTTTATTTGTTGTAGTGTAAACAGCTAAATTATATAATAAACTAGAATCTAGATTTTATCAAATTTGTTCACTGTAGTCTAGGAATGTTTTCTTTGAGTTTTAGAAAGTATCGTTCGGAAATAATGTATGCAATAGACAATTGACAAGAGTATTGATTCTTTAAAAATATATTATTTATCATTATAATTATGTTGAAACATTTACTTTTATATAAAGTTATAACCATACACAGAAAGTGAATCCACTGGTTTGCAGAATAAATTTAAGCATTACGTAACATTTTGGTATTCAGTTCGCCGCGAAATTTAATATATGTAACTAATTGATATTGCGATAATGAAGATTAGAAACTTACATTCAACAAAAGTTTTGAAGCAAATCATTTTATAATCAATTATTAATATTACTTTAACATCACATTTTAAAGCAATTATAGAGACATCTTAATTAATATCAAATGAGAAAATGGTCAAACTAAGAATTATTGAGTCGAATTACCTATAATAATTATTAAGTACCTGTCTTGTCGAATAAATTATATTTTTTTGGTGCTTATAACAGAATTCTTTCTTGTTATAAAAGCTATTTTTACTATTACAGAATAAATCGATGAGTTTATTAAACAGCTATTTTTATATTTATTATTTTTCCTGGTTGCATCCTATTTTCTTTTTTTTTATAATAAATCTTTCAAATTAATGTCCAAGGTTATACAGACACTTGATCATTACTAATTATTCCTCAAACTAAGAACAAACGAAACAATAAAACATTATTTGTAAATTACTTGATTATTTTCCGTGTAGTAATATTAATAACAGTGAAAATTTCTTTTGTTTTAATTTAAAATAATTTTGATTAATTTAAAAGAATTAATTAATTAATTGAATCATCTTAATATGTTGCAAATTAAACTGCTTCAATTTTTGTTAACATAAGTGAAGAATTGTTAATAATAATACATTGCTCAAGATGAGCAAAATTAAATATTTTTTTAGAACTTCGCAAATAATTTTGCTAATTAAATAAACTAATAATAACATATACAGTGCTTTAACAAACACCATAGACAAACTGTAAAATTTTCCACTAAAAACAAGATAGGTATTAAAATCAATATGTCAAAACTCAAAAGTTTGTGTATATGACAACAAATAAATTTGAGTAATACTTCGTAAACTTATCGGTTTTGTGACAAAAACAGACTATTTGAAAAATAAATATAGTCTTAAACACAACCACCAAGAATATAAAGAACTCTGTTGATATGAAACGAAACTTTTTTACTCGTAATATGCTTGATTCTGGTGTCGCTCGGCCTGGATGTAGCAGTCAGGCAAGTAATGGTACAGAAGAAGAATATTTTCCACCGCCTGCTAAAAGAACAAACAGAAATGTGAAAGAAAACGAATTCAACTCAGCGATGTGTAGCTTCCGCTGCGAAAACTCACCTCCAAGTCATTTTATTGAAGAACAAATATTCATACCAGAATTTAAACGAGCCATAGTTAGGATCGCGTACTGCCGATATGGTTAAGCAGTAGATTGATAAGAATACACTTTCTAAATTTTACGAGTAATTAAATACTGTCTGTTTTCAAAATATGTGGAGAAAATGGAGTTTGACTCAGTTTCCTTCAATCAAGAAAATTATAGAGCCTTTCTGAAATATTAATGTACAACCTTTATATATCACAAAACAATGTACTATGCACTGGTTTTAGAAATAGGGTATAAGTGTAATGTTAAGACTAAAAATAAAACAATGATCTCATTTATTTATTTAATTTCTAGATTGTATAAATAAACTAACTCGTGGAAACACCTATAATGCATACATATTACAAGTCACAAATGTTTAAATACAATTATAACTTGGTTATCACAAAATCTTTGATTAAATTTGTTATTAGAAATTCAAATAATAAGAGCATAATAATTAATTATTATTCTGGATTTCTTATGTCGATTAGATTAAAATGTAAGGATTGTCATGATTTTCATTTATTACTGTGAAAACACTCGGTAGAAATAAAGACTTCATATAACACCTGTCTCATTATTTACAAGCCGTTATAACTAAATTTCTTCAGCATGAAAAATTATTACATTGGTTCTCCTTAGTATTTCTTTTGGCCATTATGATAATTATCAATACTTACATAATAAGTAAGGAGAAATTTATAATGATTTAAATTAATACAAAATACATATATCAATATTGGCGTTTTAAAGGCAATGTATTCATTTTTATTAATATTGGTAATGTACTACTACATGTAATGATAGAAAGTCCTAAAATATAGAAAACATATTTTCACATGAAATAATAAATAAAACAATATCTTCATAATGTCATTTTTTATAGCTTTGTAATGGACACAATTTTTATTAAGAAATTATATAAAATTATAAACATATCCTGCAAGTTTCAGTTGGCGATGCCAACACAATATATTTTCCCTAAATAGATCTGAAAAATGAAGATGAGTTGCTACTATCATTTTATAAATCTGCAATAATTGATTGAAAAACATTGTACAATGTGTAGGTAATCAATTTTGGAAATTAGTTCTACTAGATATACCTATATCTTAACATCTCATCATATTTAATTAATTTAATGCCATTTATCAGAGCAATTAATTTGTATTATTTTAAATATATATGCTTACCATTGTCTTAATAATATCAATTATTGATAAGAATTTTTTTACTCTTTGTAATGGTATTTATGATGCATGACCAACAAAACTACTTTCTAATATAACATTAAAATAATAAACATAATATTTTCATAGATTTCTTTGGTGATCTGAATATTATTTGCATAAATTTATTAATATTGACAATTATCCTACTAGATAGTTAAATAATTTTATCAAGGATCTACAGCAAAGATCTCAGAAGCTTACAAGACTAGAATGATTTTGATAAAAGTAATAATTACTTATTTTATAAAGATAATTATGTCTCAAAAATTCTAGAAGATGCATTTTTTAAATTTTAATACAAATTATAAAAAACGAGCTGTGAAATAGTAAGTCGTTCCTTCAGACTATGTAGAGAAATACTTTGTTTCAATTTACTTAGATATTGAAATCTTATTTAATCATAATTATTTGTTGTGAATAAACTTCGTTAAGGTCACAGTTTCATAGTTGCGTTACTCACACACTCTATCGCGCGATCTCTTATTGCAATCAAATACATATGTACTTTGTATGACCCTACAGTTACTTAATTGCACTAATGTTATTTATATGAAACTACTAGCTGACCCGGCAAACGTTGTTTTGCCATATAAAACAATAGGGGTTGGTGATAAAAAAAAGTAAAAATTTTGGTTTGTAGGTATGTACCTATGTATTTATTAATGCTACATTATAAAAATAATTTAAGGGTGAACAACCCTTATGAATTAGGGGTATGAAAAATAGAGATGTTGGCCGATTCTCAGACCTACTCAATATGCTCACAAAATTTCATGAGAATCGGTCATGCCGTTTCGGAGGAGTACGGTAACGAACATTGTGACACGAGAATTTTATATATAAGATGTAATGTAACGATGTATGAATGAATATGTTTTTGTTATTCTATCGCACGAGTACATATTAACACATTTTTAACTATTCAAATAAAGTAAATGTAGATTTATTTTTTAAGCATAATATTGCGACTTATAATTGTCACATTTCTATATGACAGTTATTTTATTTTTGACAAAATACGATACACAAAAATATTATTTCTTTTATATCTTCAATTATATGGATTTATATTTTTTTCATTAATTATATATATATTTTTTTATTGGTCTGTATTTATAGAAAAAGAAATTCCATTTGCGAAATTAAGCTAAACTATTTCTGTAATTGTTCTTTATACCATGAAATTTTTTCCAATATTTAAAATACTAATTAGATACGTTTAAAATACTTTATATATATGTAAAATATTTACATCTCGTCTTTTCGTGATCACGGTTGCTGTAAAGTAACCGAACCGTCGGGAGTATGTAGTTTATAAAATAATAAAATAACGCGTAGTAATCCGAATATACTAGTTTCATTTAAATGAATACTCGCAAAGGTATGAAGATCTCATTGTATATAAGTTTGTTCGTATCATATGATAATCGCCTACAAAGGCTTGACATACTATCAACCAAAATTAACAATAGCGAACCTTTTCGACAACCTTGGACTCCATTAAATTTGTTATCAAATAGTTAACAGAAACCTAAATTCTTTAACTTCGTATGATGATACTCAGCATGTCACGAGGAAGGAAAAATGTCCCAACAATATTGACGACCTTCTGTTTGTGTACATAACACACCTTAGCAAGTAAAGATGGGGCCCCATTTTTAAGATTAATCCAAGGGTGGACAGTTCTAAAGCTTGATTCAAATGTCGTCGTCTCGAAAAGTAACTAAAACGTCGGGTGTATGTACTTTTTTTTACAAAAAAGAGGACGCGTAGTATATCCGAAAAATATTAGCTTCATTTAAATGAATAAAACTCGAGAGTTTTAAATCTCATTAATTCTCAAGCTCGTTCTATTCCTATGAGTTCCTAAACAGAGCTTGGATCACAATTTCAGGGACCAATCACCCACTCTTTGGTAACCTAATAGAGCGAATAGCTATTCTCAAATAACACAATATAAAGACTATTTTTACGAAATGCGTCATAATTATAAAAAAATAAACTTCTTTTTGTAATTGTCATGTTCTTTATTACTGGCCAGGTGAATCAAAATATTAATTCATAATTTTTTAATCTGTCATTCTAATGTGAAAACTAGTATATTAGTCTGAAGTACTTATATTATAATTAAATTGTTTTGTTTTATAATGTTTATTTGTTATCTGAGATCAGCTTGTATTGTTACGCGTACAATGTTTCAGCTTGAGACGTAGTTGGGACTCGCATATTCAAATAGTCACTTATCGGAAGACTGCTATTAAATTTATCTATGCATCAATCTACACTATTATAATCTAGAATAATATCTTTTAAGTTGATTCAAAATGTATTTTCGTTGGATGAATACGTATTATTTTTTTTAATAAAAAAATCAATTAATTATACCAAATCACATTTAACAAATTAATATTATCTTGTTAACTAAAAATAGGTAGTAATTCATACAAAATAATATGAATAAATACGATCTATAATTTGCAACAATAATATTATTTATCTATGTTTATTTTCGAGAGGGAACTCTCAAGAATACTACATTTTATTTGTAGGTCTTGGTCAGTGGAAAATTCTTATAATGGAAAACCGAGAAAATTGAATGATAACCTATCTATTATTAGAATGATAGTATCTAATAATAAGTAAGAGGTTATCGTTGCTTATTTTTGACATTAATATCATTTCTCATTTTGTTTTCTAGCAACGTGTTTAAAATAATTATTGTTTATATAAACTGAAGCTACATAACAATCATATTAAAGCTTGTATAATAAAACAGTTTTACTGCAATAATTTTCATTTTAATCTCATCTCACGTTTAAAAGTGTTTAAAATTATATTAATCTGTCTTTTTTTTAATTTATTTTATTCCCCTATGAACTTTTTGTTCTCTTTTGAATTTTAAATCAATCTTCTTATGGAAGAATAAATAGTATAATGAAGAAACATCGACAGTAATTCTGAAGCGTTTTATTAAAACGAGCGTTTTAAAACACGCCACCAACCAACCTGTTCATCCGAAAACGTCAATTAATACTTTATAATTTTTAAATTTTAATATAAGAAATAAAAATGTCGTTTGATGAAACGCGATACCTCCAATATTTAAATATATTTGAATATACAACAGTCTCATTGAAACCATATACGTATGTACATATTTTAATTATTTCTTACATGTAAAATTGTCAAATTAAAAGTAATATTATCTTTACGACTCTCACTGATGATAGTTAGGTTTCATTATAAGGTTAATAAAGTGGAAATGTTTCTTTAAATGAATATCCTTCTTATAGTTTAAAATGTATAGAAAATCGTGTTATTGTTAACGCCGCGCCTTATCACAGCGAATGCCTGAATCTTGGCCGCTTAGATGGAGGCGAATCTGTTGCAGTCCTTAGAGAGCGCGCGAACATAATACGCGTTAGTTGTGCACAAATAAACTAAACTAAAAATACTTAAGGTAAATATTATTTGCAATTATTTTATATAGATTATGCGAAATTATTTTTTATCTGTACTGTTCTAGTTGTATGCGAATTTTTTTTTTTAATAATGCATTCCAAAGTAGCAAGAGTTTTATGTTATTGTGTTTTTAATTTTTATATTTGATGAGTCGAAACTTTTTTTGTTATTTTAATGTGAGGTCGAGGTTTTATTTGATTATAATTCAATTGATATTTTTTTATATCGGTTGCGGTTTTGTTAATGACGTCGAGTGTAATTACATGTAATATATGGAAATGTTACCGTTTTAATATTATAAGATATTTGTAATTCAAATTGTATGTGAGATACAGATAATGTAAAAGGTAAAGAAGTTTAC